TGCCAGGTATTTTTCAGTTCTCTTAGCTGTGAATTGTTTCTCCACTATTTTAATGATTGCAAATTATTTACTACTTACGTTAGACGTTCTTAATGGTTTTTTATTTGGTAACTATCAAAAAATGATTCAGACACAAATATGTAAATATTCTTATATTTCACCTAAAAGCGCCACTAGCACATTCCTTTGTGCCTCAAACGCAGAAATATGCGATAAAACTATTCCTCTACTCTGGCCATAAAGCTCTCTCATGCAGGAGTATAAGCTAAATGCTTGTGGTAAATGTGCCATCAATCCAGCTTAAACATTCCCTTTATAAGTCAGAATTTTTTGTCAAATTTTGCTGATTGAATTTAGCTACCCATTAAGGCAAAAGAGGCCTGCTTTGGAGAAATTGCCCTGTTTGCCGATCGTCCTGCCAAGTAAAAAACAAGTTGGTATTTTTGCCATGCACTGACATCACGTAAGTGCAATGCTGACGCTATTTGCCTCTAGTCGTTGCGCTATCTGGAGGTAGACCTTTACGCCTACAACGCAAGCTCACTGTCTAGACCAAACTTATTTCCACGATAAGAAAATAACTACGTAAAATGTGCGCATTTCGAAAGTGTAACTTTTAAAAGTACATGGCGAACAGATGCAAGTGAACAACTTTTCGAAATCTAAGCAAAGTATGCGATAGGATTTAATGGGCTACCATATTTAACAATATCAACCAAAAGATATTTATTACTTCTGTAAAAAAGATTTTTAATTCCGATTAAACAAGCTGCATTGTGTTTCGAAGCAGAAGTTGCCACGGTTTACAGTTCCACTTGTTAAATTGATCTTTAAAATCTGGGGACCTCAGGTGAATGGGATGGTATATTGCTTCTGCTTGGGGCAAAATTTTGTTTCCTCTATTCTCTATGCAGTGCATCGCGATATGGCACGAGAGCAGTTACGTCCCAAGTACTTTAAAACACCCGCGTCCCACTATTTCCCTGTGGGACAGTGTGCAAGAAACTTGGGTTTCCTTTAACACCTTTCCCATGTTTTAGTGATCACAGCACTACAAAATCATCAATAAGACCTAGGAATTAACGGAACGTTTTATTTTGTTACACAAAATACTTATTTGTATTATTACTTAAGGTAGTCATCTCTACGTGCTTTGCCCCCAGTTGGATCAAGTTATTCTGCATTTTATAAGAATCAAATAACTTTTGAGAGAGATCCGGCTTTTAAACACAAACGTGTCATAAATTAATCACGTTCTATCGGATATTATGTTCTGGAGATCATACTACCATCCCGCCAGACAAGGGCAGACATTCTGACCGTTCTAAGGTCAAGACGGTTGTTGTTTATTCCAAACAAAACTCGCCATCATCACTTTATGCAAGTGTTTATTCCTATGGGTTTCAATTCGAACGTTGATTACAGGCAGAAGAAATAATACGCGAAAATGGATACCTTTGGCTCTTCAAGGCTGAATAAATAATAACCTTGTTACGAAAATGTCAGATCCAAAACACCAGCCAATTCCAGGGAAACGCATACGATTTTTAGAAAGGAAGGCATTTCTGTGGGTACAAACAATGTCCGGGCAAATGTCAACTTAATCCAGATCTACAGTCTTTTCTTAATTCAACTTTGCCAACTACGATGAAACATTGCAGCGCTGAATCACCACAGGAATTCACCTGACTAGCCTCATCGCCACCTTGCACATGGGACGCAGATGCCTACCCTTGGCGATACGCAGATCACCGGCAATGAAGAACACTTCTTCCCCATGCCACAGCGCCTTCCTCCTCATGAAGTTAAATGTTCCATAAAGTCACCTTTCGTTGCAGACTACACTATGAGATGTTATAGCAATGTAGTAATAGTGGGATGTCTTAGTGAACACCAATAGCTTCAGAATCGTAGAGTATTAACAATATAAATTCTTCCATTGAAAAAATTAAGTCCATTCTGGATTTGGATTGTCGAGCGCTATCACAAAGACTGGGAGATTTGTAAGTGAAAAACCACAAAATGATGCACAGTCCGACTATTGGCTGCCTTTAACATTCTAAGGCCAGGGTTTTAAATGCAATTGTGCGATCGTTTTGTTAGTGATGATTGAAATTACTCATAAATTATTTAGGCACAAGGTTGCTGCAGCATCATTTACGAAACCATGGTGGTGCGTTTTTGCACCTAAAACGCCTCGGATTAAATGGAATTGATGTAGAGCAGGCGAACATTACGTGGGCTTATTGATGTCACAGACCTAGACAGGTGATGGAACATAAATAAAGTCATTCGTTAAGGTTGAGTCTCAAGCAAATAAGCATTACGTATGCTGGACCTTAATCTGTTCTTTTGTGACACTAGACTTTTAGTCTTTACGCGGTGGTAATCTGTAATAAGTCTTGAAAAACGGAGATCTCTTAAAGCGTGGGCAGCAAGTGTGCATTCAAATTCGAAGTCGGTGATTTTCGTGCAAAGTGCGAGCGCAAGTTCCCTAGACAACTGAAATGTATGTTTTGCTAGCACTTTAAAAGTAATAAGGATTTTCGATTTATTCACTCAGGTAAACTAAAACCGCTAGTGTAGTCGTGACTAAGTTTTCGTTTGAAATAGTTGTCAGAATAGGCAAATATGTCAATCATCTTGTGGAACTTTTCAGAAGGCTAAAATATTATTGAATTACTTTTTTCTTTTCGTTGGCAAACACGGCGGTGGGGAGGTGTGAACTATCACTGCCAGTTGGAGTCATGGAGTTTGATGTAGAGCAAAGATATCCTCAATATTTGGCTCAGCGAAAGTGTGGTTTCATTGTTTGTGATAAAAGTGGTTCCAACTGTACCTCAAGATATATCCACCCTCAGACCTGCAGTTAACTATATGCACACTTCAAAAATAAATACATTTGGCGCATTTGTAGGAGCGCATCGTCGAGGTCAGGATTTATTTACGAAGCCATGCGGCGGGGTCATTGCAGCGGTGAGAGCAAGTCTGGAAGTTGCGTTTACCAGACGTCGGTGGCCGAGGCATTGGCGGCTGATAAGGCCTGCCTAAGCTAAAGTAACAATGTGGGCAGTGTATGAATCACCAGGAGAATTCACCTGACGACGAAAACGACATCGTTGGTCCAATTAGAGGATGCAGGTGTCCAGTCGCGAACCATGTGGCCTCGAGGACTTTTGCGCGTTTCCACTCTCACTGCGTTCGTTCGCTTGTTCGCACGAATGCACGCTATGGCCTCATTTTCTATTTGTATCTGCTCGGATCTGCGGAAAACTGCAGTCTCCTTACAGGTGACATTACGAATGCGCGAAAGTTTCAGTTGACAAATTGATAAGCCTATTTTGAATAAAGGAGAGAAACTGATTTCATATGCTACATTCTGATTGCTTTCACTGAGTTTGCAACACGAGGTTCTAAGATGCTAGGACTGATTCATACCCGTACAAAGTGTCGTAGATGTGTCACATTACTGAAACCCAATTCTCCTGCTTAAATCACGGAACCACATAAGCAACAAGTCCACCGACAACTTACAATCACTAAAAGGTTTCATGATAAATTCTCTAAACTGAGTGCCATTTGTAATTGCCAGGGATCTTAACTACCCTACTACACTTTTAAAATATATTTAATTAGGCAAATTTGGTATTCTCCACCTATACTTCGGATATTTTGCTTAAATTTGAATAAAAAAGCCTAACGGCTGATTGAGAATGAGGAAATATGGTGTGGATAATGTAATATGAATAAACTCATCCAAATGCATCGGTCCCAGTGTTCTTGCGGTGAGTGTAACAATCCCTTATGGTTTGCATTCCCTTTTGTTCTATAGAAATGGTAGTAAAAGAACTCTTGTTGATTTTTAAGAACGCACTTCTTTAAAATGCACTTAGGAAGCAGTCCTTTAAAGAACAGCAAATTCATCATGCATAGACCTTCACCGTTATTGCACCTTATGGACCGTATTTTCTCATTAAAACGTGGTAAAATCAGGCGTAAATATGAGAATTAGCAGAATTAATTTCTTCAGAAAAACTTCACATAAATGCTTAAATGCGGCATCGACATCGTAAGTAAACGTTGAGAGATGCCTTAGTCATTACAAACACATTAGCGAGCTTTGAACTATTGAACCAGCACTCCCCAATGACCACAATGTTCACCCTACAGCATCAGTCTACTATACAACCATGTTTAATTTAAGCTGTTTTGGCTTATAAGTACATATACTTGAGGTATATTTTTGATGAATAGAGTGGAGACTGGCTAAAGTGTATCACACGTCGGCAATAATCAGTAATGGCGTCTGCAAATGTGCTCCATTATACGATTTTACCGAACTCGGTAATTTGCTAAATAATCTTTTTAACAGACTTGTGAGCCAAATCTTTTTATAAATCCTAGCCTATCTGCTGAAGTGGTTTTGAATAACGATGGTACTTGTGAAAATCTGCACCATTCTGCTCTGGAATTATTTGCAAACAGTGATACGTCATTTAGGCATTAGAGATATGATACTTTTTTGGGTTCATATTAGCAATTCTTCATTTATCAAATCCTAATCCAGAACAACTTCTTCATTTAACCTAAATTTGGGTAAATCCGCCACTGGCATCGGTTGGCCACTGTGAAGCAAAATAAATCTTTATCGTGGAGCCAAGCCACAATGTTTCATGATTGGAACTTTGACTAGAATGAAGTGTAGCGTCCCGAGACTCCCTGAAGACGAAAGAAGACAAAATACTCGGGCAGAATATATGTATTCGGCACGGAGAAGGTGTCTGGGCTATTGGCATGGCCCAAAAGGCCAGCCCACCCAGCGAGGTACAAGGGGGCTAATTCGAAGCACAAAAGTGGCGCCTCACCGGAACCGAGGGATAAACCACCATCGTATTACAGAAGCTCTTCAAGTGAAAAAAAAACAAGTTGCCGTCGAATATAGGATAATGAAGGAAAAACGGTTTATGTGAAAAAGCTATAATACTTTTGATGAAGAAATGATGAAATTGAGAGTTGGAAAGGCGGGTGCTCTTCATGAGGCCTTGATGAGAGCAGTCTCTAAGCCGCCCTGGCCCGACCGCAGGACAGCCACGGTCTCCGGCCAGTGGCAATGCAGGCGCACGACCATTGGTCAGATGGTCAGTCTGACCTACTTTGTTTGCGCGCACACACGCCAGATGCCGGTAACCAGGTATAAAAGGGCCTCGTCACAAACGGACAAATTCAGTAGCAGAAGTGCTTTAACACACGTCGGCTCCACGTGGATCCTAGGCCTTATTAGATTCACCTCGCCCCCGTTCTCTCATCAACGCCTCATTCTGCCTCTGTACACTAGACAGTCAGTTCTTCGTCTCCTGCCTTTATTATTGGAGCTATTAGATGCCTGGTGAACATCATTTGCACCGCTGTCGACATCTCCCTCGTTGTCATTCACACCTGCGGCCCTGCATCCAAAGTATCAGTGTATTTTATAATTGAGACCTGGTACATGTTGAAGTGAACCTTCTTAATTAATTCTCTTGGATCCTATATGGTTGCCTGTATGCAAAACGAGAACATTGCGTAGTCTTATAAAGTTAATTTTTCTAAAGAAATTAGGCAACGTTGTTTGCGGCGTGTGGTACAGTTCTGGATTCCTAGAAGATAACAAATAACTCGCTCGTGTATACACCCAACCATTCGCACAAACAGGAATACATCCTACTTAATTGATAGTCTTTCACTCATGTACATAAGACACAACGCAGTTCTAGTCCTTTTCGCAATCCTCTGTCTGCTCATACCCTTATGTGACGGATTCAAGCAGGGCTTTCTCCCCCTTTCCTCCTTGCTACATCCAACTGACGGGCTCACACATGGATATGGGGATATCGACAATCATCAGACGATGCTCGGTATGTTTTTGTTCTCTTTTTAATTGGTGAAAAGAAATTCACGAGAACATCTGTAATCTACTTGAATGTGTCCTGACAGAGGTTAATATATTGAATATTTTACTAACCATAACCAAAGCACTTTTTTATTGAAATAATCCCAAAAAGGCGGGTTTACATTCAAACTCCAGGAAATTCCACGTTGACATCGTTACTTGACGGCCATAACAATCCTTAATGAATTGCTCTTGATGAAAGTGCTTAAAGTGTTGGCAATTAGCGTAATTGCAAATCATTTTTGTGCTAGAAAGTACAAAAGGGCCAATAAACTAGTGTAAGGTGTAGTTTGGTCCTTATATTTTGTAATAAATTTTTGGGAATATTTACCGAAATTCTGAAATATTCTACTATTAATTTTTTGAAGAGTAAATAATTGCAATAGTTTAGACTTATATCCGGCCATCAAGTGCAGGAGGTTCATCGAAAACGTCCTGACAAATATTGTCGAGACAGGTGAGAATGTAGCAGATGCTTTTACCGTCCTACACCCGAAATTGACCCAACTTTTAGTTCAGTTAAATTATTTTGCGAAGCATTAAGCATTTATTCATGGTGGTGGCGAATAACATGAGGGTTCATGAAATCTCCACTCCATAAGCGCATCAGATTTTGTGAATGCAGAGAAAGTGGTTCTTGTGATATTTTGCAACAGGCGCACAGAATGACACTTGTAAACTGCCACGACTTCTTAAGCAGCGGCTTTTTCCTCCGGGAGTGTCAAATCTCGTTACCCTATTTTTACTTTCGCGTAAACACTCAAAATCCCAAAAATCGCTTTTTCAACAGTTAAACAGATAAACCGTTGAAATGAACTGTGCAAGCACATAATTTTTATACATAAATTGCTTAATTAGACACAAATCCAATTCACATATCTATTCATCGGCCCGTAATTTATTTCGAATTAAAATAAAAGCACGCTTAAACTTGGAACCATTTTAGAAGTTCACGACATTTGACCGAGTTGGAATGCAGTTTGAAATGGTTACTGGATAATGCACGGGTTTCACATGGAAGTCTTTTCTAAATATTTTGAGGAAAAAACAAATTTAGTCACTTGTACTTAAATATTTATGCCACGTTAAATCGTGCCTACCAGAATTACTGAAAACATTTGGAATTAACTTCTTCAATGGCAATTTGTGCTTCATATTCCCAAAGTTATAACCACATAGTGCCCAAATATAAGCCCATGATGAACGGTGATTTATCTGTTATCCTCGCATAATATAGAAGTTTAATGGTATTCTGCAACGTTAATAACATTGCCTAATGTATAAAAAAATGAAACTTATCTGTACCTCTGTGGCATGTTCCCAGTCCCCAATTCAGATAATAAATGTAAAATATTGTTGTTTCTTCTCCATTCAAACGAATGTTTCCAAGATTTTGTGGGAAAGGCTTCTATTAGAAACCACAAGCTGCGTAGAATCATGGAAATAAGCATCTTAACAGGAAAGTAGTACTAAAGTCATTCATGATCAGCATGGTTTATTGAGAAGATCCTTTTTTTCGCACATATATGTGGATCATTTATGGGGTTGGCAATGAACTCACTCCTATGAAAGTCTTATTTTTTTGCTTAGCCCTATCATGTGACAAATCGGAAGCTTAAATTGCCTGTACTGTTTCATCTTCAATGCAATCATGACGTTCAAGACCATCAATCACCAATCAAGTCCGATAATAACATTGCATTTACTCTCCTCATCAAAGAAGGTGCATTAAATTTGGTTAAATTTAAGTGTAATTTGTTCTAATTTTTTGATCTGAAATCGACACTTTGGTATCAGTTCGGCTTGAAGCGGCCGGAGCTCTAGCGGATATGAAGTTGCCGGAGAGAGTGCTGAAAAGACCACGAGAGTTGCATCCTGTGATGATGACTCTCTCGAAGCGGAACACTGTAACCATGCAACGCCATTGGAAGGTGGAGCAAGCGTCTTATACAAACGGCGAATCCAATTCCGATGGTGGCGATGCTGACCGACACTGGGACGAGAGGATGCAGATCAACATGACAGCCGGTGAATCCGTGCCCACAGTCAGCTTCAAAGCGGCAGAGGAAAACACCATCGAACTGCTCGTTGTGGTAACCAGGAAGATGCATCTCATCCTCAAAGGCCGTCTCACTGAATATCTGGTCGCAACATTTGGCGCTGTATGCTGTGTTTACTCCTCTTGTTTTCCTTTTAAATTTTCGCTAGTCTTACAATGTACACTAATACCATGGTGATAAACAAGAATGAATTTGTGAAATTTAATGTTGGTCAAGAATTTAGTCATATTCTAGTTCAATTTCTTCCTGAAAGTTGAGGATTTTAGTTCTTATGTGATTTGTTACAGTAAGACTACTTTTTTTACCGTTTTAAGGTGGCCCAAAACTTCAAACACTGTAGCCTTAAAGCTTCGGTCAAAATCAGCATTGTTGATATTATTCTTCTGGATTCCAATTTCGCAGTAAGTTTATTGTCGATGATTCCTCTTAAGTAATCTCATTATTATAAGTTATGTACTTTATACACTCAGATTATTGTTATTTAACTCTGCAAAAAGCCAATAGGAAGATAAAACAATTCGCACTGCCCTTTAGCGCATAAGACTTAATGACTTTTGACTTAAAGTGAAGTCTGAAATAAGTGGTGTTTTGTTATCCTCTATTTGTTGTCCCGATGACTGGTGGCACAAATTCCCTAAAGTGCAAATACCGGCACCGAGATTCGCCTTTCGCCTCGTCAGCAAAGATTAAATAGCACAGTTTTCGATGCGTAGCATATCGCCGAATGGCATGGCTCATTAGTTTCGTCCTAAACCCAAGTGCAACAGGTGGAATTAGGTTGTTTACGTTGGTTACCCACAGTGACTCTGCATTTAACCGATAATGCAAATGCCAAAAGCAACCCATGTTACGAGACTCAGTTTCTGTCCACCTTTCCCTTGTAGCGACGTGAAGGCCTCGAAGATTGGTCAAACAAGAATCACGAAGAAGTGATGGGCAAATTTTGCCACTGGGTAAACAGGATTCGAAGACCAACAATGAATTGGGACTCGGCTATTCTCCTCAATGTTGGGCAAGTGGAAATGCATGTTCATCCAATCTAATTAACGCAGACAGTTTAGTGTCAGACGCCAGAGACAAGCAATGATGAACTTGATCAGTCGAGAATGTAATACCTAGACTTGACTTGACTCAAAACGTAAACGACCTACAAATAACTCCCTATTCTACAATATGTGAATGCTGCTACGTCATTCGTAACGCACAGGATCTAACAAAAATGTACTAGTTGTACTTCTTAGTCTAAACCTAGGTTTACTGCACATTCGAAATGTAATAAGCCTTCACTCGTAAGTTCAAACGCGCTAACCCATTTGAATACTTTGGTGTAGTTTTTTGTGATTTAAAAAAGCAGACAAATTTTCTCCTATCACTATTTTTGTATTCGGTCCTGGTCGGTAACACGAGGTATTATTATCATTTTAGGAATTTCAAAACAACTGCACTTGGTACGTTTGCTAGATTTATATTTCAACCGATCAAGTTATGATCCCAATATGAAATCTGGTATATATATTTTATTTTCCACAAATCTGGTCCACAATTAATGACCACTTCAGCACAGCGGTGGCTAAAGAAAGGGTACCTAGAAGTACCTGCCAGAATGTTTAATGCAGATTTCTATGCTGATTTACGTTACAATTTTAGACTTCACCATCCCATGGAATTGATTGGTAGGATTCGGAAAAACCACTTTGCGATGCTTACAACCCATACGCAATTGCACACATGCTTTGAAATTGTGATTTTCTTCCACTTTAACACATTTGAGCTAACAAGTAGAATATAACAACACATATGGTAACAGACAGTACTACTGACGAGAGTGCAACACGTTTTCACTGAATAAAGTACTGATTTCGCATAGAGTTGAAAACACCCGTCGGTGGCTTACGGTGTCAAAATGCACGTCTTAAAGCGCCATATAAAATCATGTAACCGTAGTGAATAACGCTGGCAATGAAAAAGCACACACCCAGAAGTACGGAATGCGCAATTTTTATTGAAACAGAGTGTCAGTCCATATTTTTGCTCTCTGAAAATACTGGAATATTGAGCTCTTCTTTAAACGAAATTACACGATCCACTGTTCAATGCAGTAACGGATGAAATCAGCTCTGACATACACTCCTAAGTCTCCACACGGTTTGCGTTTCCTAAATAAGTGAGCTAAACAGTACCATAACATGGTTTAAAGCTAATAGTGTATCCTATTTATTAATCTCACGTCTTTTAATCAAAAACGACTGATTCGCTGTGGATGATATTGCATAAACATTCGAAAAAGCGACTTCAAGCTTACTACAAATACCGGAAGAGCCCATGGGAATATTTAATGCTAGATCAAGTTTCCGGTATGAGAACGGGGATGTCCTAATTTAACGCGACACACATGATCCCCACATCATCCGGTCTATCCAATTAGCTGAATTACCACTTCGGTCAGAAATATCTGGGTCACGTATGACAAACTTTGATCTTTTCAGCCTTAAATAAGCGACTTTTATATCCTACAGGCGTTGCTCACTACCAAGCCATGTGTAGCCGAGAAAGCAGTTGTCTTGTTGTTGTTGACAGAGGCTTTGGAACAGCCGATATCATTGCCCACGAAATCGGTCATCAGTAAGTTACTTTTGTATTTTGTATGCATTATAACACTTAAAAATGGACAGCTTTTATTTGTATTACCTCCTATAACTTGGCTAAAGTACGATTTTATTAGTTATTCCCATTCATACTGTGCCTCTATGAGTCCAAAGTTTTCTTCTTGTGACATACCTCGCTTTGTGTTTTCTTATTATCGTTAATGTGATACAATAATTCAAATAGTCCTTAAATTGATCTGTACAGACTAGGAGCCAAGCATGACTTCGAAGTGGGATCCGAGTGTGGCTTAGAGGAACAACCAAGTCGCAAGAGGGCAGTCCAAAAACTAAGCCGTCGAACTCCCGACGTTGACGACCTGACAATCCAACGTGATACTATCATGTCTGGGATCCTCTACTTTGAACTCTACCCCTTCCGCTGGTCTGCCTGCAGTCGGGAAAACATTCAATTTTTTCTCTCGTGAGTTCCCTCTTAAGAGTACTTGATCAAATGCTTGCCAATCACATATTTCCTATCAGTTGAAGATCATTAAAATGATGACTACATTCACAAGCACAATCGATGACTAGAAAACTATAAATCTGTGTTCATAAACGCCAAGATCCAGTCTGAGGAAAATCGGGGGCTTGTAATTTTCTTTGATTTGCAATTTCAGCCGTTCTGATTCCGCCTGTCTGCGGACACAAAACTCACAGAGGACGGCTTTCACCTCAAAACAGTTGACACAACATATGGGGCAGCATAAACCAGGCCTACGTTTCACCCTGAACGAACAATGCGCCCTGGCAATGAGGCAACGCGGGGCCCGATTTTGTGGACACAGCGTGAGTGTTGGGGAGTTAGCTTATTAACACTGCTTGCATGCTATCGTCAACACTTATGTCGCCCTCCCATAGTCTCCTGTGTGCAAACAACTGCATTGCTACGACGTCCAACGTGGAATGTGCCTTCCAGTTGAGGCGCCTTGGGCCGAGGGCTCCCGATGTGGCTACAAAAGGGTAGGTGGCAATTGCTGAGCATAAGAGGCATTGGAATGGAACAATATTCAGCGTTGACCCATTTTCACGTTTATTTTCAGTGGTGTGTGATGGGACAGTGTCTGCTCCAAGGAGAGACCATTTCACCAATTGACGGCGGTTGGAGCGCCTGGGAGGAGTGGGGGACCTGCTCGCGATCCTGCGGTGGGGGGGTCCAATTCTCACGTCGTGAATGCACCAGCCCTGAGTGAGTCACTCGTGCGAAATTGGTTTGTCGGACCAGTGTTTAAATTTGACTACAATGTGACCACTTCTCCAATAATATCCGTCAAAAATATTCTTGGAGCTTAAAAAATGCTGTAGATATCTAAAAGTTTGGGAAGGTAATCCTTTTCTATTCCTGTTTGATGCTAGGTCAGTCCCTGCATGCATATCTACAGGCCTTTTTCTAGCTGATAGCAAATGAATAACCAGTGCAATTTCATAAATTCATGGCAATAAATCCATTTACAAGCGTGCACAATTACACAGAAAGCATTCCAGACACCCCATAAGCCATACAAACCATTATTTGTTGTTCGAATAGCGATCTCAACCTACGCTACTACGTTTAATTGTAGCAAGACTGCAGTATTACATCACCAATGCACAGTGTTTTCTGTAGGTTCTATCAAATAAACTTTAAATTATTTTTTTTTCCCATTTAGACCCCAAAATGGCGGTGAACACTGTCTTGGTACAAATGTTCGCGTTCGCTCTTGCAACATTCAGGTGGATTTCACCTACTAAATATAATGAGCCGCATACTTTTTTGCAGATAGTCAAATTATATCAGATTCAGTCAAGTTAACATATAGTTCCCTTTTTTTCTCTATCTCTGATTTTTTTTTCCTAGAATTGTCCAGATTCAGTGGATCTACGCCAGCAACTCTGTGATAAAGTAGGACAGAAGCTTAGTAAACATTTGCAAGCTTTCAAGCCAAGCAGTGAGTTGAAAATAGTCCTTTTAAATGCTTATTAGTTTCAAAGATCTCGAAATTATTGCAAAGAATAGGTCTCAAAGGTTGTTATTTCTCTCTCCAGAAATATTTCCTTTAAGTGGTTCGCAAGTGGACTCTGGTCCTTCTACATGCTGATCGTTTTCACTGCTATGTGTGCGCTTGTTTTAAACATTTTTCCAAAGTCTTATGAAAGATTTACATCTTAATGTACCCCGAAATCCGAAATCACGAACCGAAGATGAGCTGCTTAGATATTTTGCCCATCTGTTCATTTGCGATCGAGCTTGCACTTTCATCCTTCTCATTTGTGGCAGAAGTTACAGAAAAAATTTTATGAATTTCAGCTTTTTTTCAAAAATACACGAATATTTAGGGGTTGCTAACAATAATAACAGGTTCTTCAGAACAGCTGGCAATTCTTTCGTAGGATTTTCAACTGCTTAAAGGTTACTAGTGTCTTCGTCAGCCATACCCGAATTTAACGTTAAGCTGAGCTCCGATTTACCTCTTGGAAAATTAGACGCAAAATAATTTGGAGATGAAAAGGGACATTTTTAAACTGTATCTCATGATTTATCATTTAAGAATACCCAGATCTATCACATCATTAAGGATTTCATTTATCCGGAAGCTACGACAATTTCCCAATCTTTCATTATCCATTACGTACTATTTATTGGAACACATTTTTATGCTCACTTACTTTGGTCTTTTGTGCATTTCTGGAAAGTTAACTTAATTTTTTAAACACTTTCTTTCCAAGTTGGCGGTGCAAATGCCTGTAAGCTCGTCTGCCTCGATGGGACCAAGGAAGTCGCGCACAACGAAAGCCTCCCAGATGGAACTCCCTGTTACGCCCCTGGCACTGACATCTGCATCAAAGGGAGGTGCTGGGTAGGTATTTTCCTACAATTCCTATGACGTTAAGACCCAAAAACAGCACTCTCCTGAGTCAAACAACTAGGAATGTCTTTTGGGAGGCCATTTGATCGTAGTTAAATTTGAAATTTTGTTTATAAGTAGTTGGATAAATCGGTCGCTGTCATACATATTCAACTTCAAGCTTTTTTAGGTTGCATAAAGTAAGATGGTGGCTTTTCTGTTGTATTAAACACGCAAATCATCTTAGTGCGTGAGGCCATATTAAGTAGAAACATTTTATTTGAATTTTCATTTCGTAATGACAGTTGCTTAATCGCGACGAAATTTGGAAGCCATACTTAGCTGTTACATGCGGAGACCCACATTTAATGAATGTGTTGCAGGGCTTCTTTCTGAAAACTTACACAACAGATTATCCCATCAAATACCATGCTGCCAGCAGAATTGAACACGTTACCAACTGAATATGCTCTTTCTCCGAATCTCGAGTCCTACCATTGGAGATGTCATTTAAGGAGATGACGTGTTCTTGTGCAGTGGAGTTGAAAGCAAGTATGGATATTTCTTCTCCTTTATAGCAAGCTGGTTGCGACAAGATGCTTGGTTCACGAATGGAGAGGGATAACTGCAACGTATGCGGCGGCGACAATAGCACCTGCTACGCAGTCAGTGGCGAGTTCCACCACTCTGATGCACTCGCTCCCGGTGCGAAACCTGTCGGTAAGTCGCCTTACCTTTTTTCTTCCCGTGATCGGCAGTCCAGTGAGGACTCATTCAACCATTAAAGAAATACCTTTAATCTTATAATCTGGAGTTACAATGGTGTATCCAATACAATGAAATATTGTTTATTATTAATCCAGATGTCATTTGCGTAGATAAGAAGTAAAAAAGGTTTTCATGCGCAGCATTGCTGCTTTATAGTTTTGTAAAATTATAATAGGGAAACCTTTGCGAAGTATTATACTAGCAGCTTGTGTATAAGAAATTGCTCAACCATAAAATATAGTTAGCTCGGAATCTTAGCCTAATATGCGTATTTGGTTTCGACTATTCTGGGACTCAATATCTTTTTGTATTTGCCTTCAGGGTTGACCATTGCTGTGCACATCCCTCAAGGAGTTACAAACGCATATATTAAAAAGGTTTCAAGAAGATCTACACCCTATTCAGCAGATGCATACGACGACTTCATGATACGTAAGGTTGATGTTTCGTTGATTCTTCTACAAAATTTTTCGTACGCCTTAAGCAATGCAGAAAAACACGTAACCATATTTGCACAGGTAATACATGAAAAGACAATCCTATCTTGAATGCGAAATCGAATTTGCCAACTCATATACAATACATGAATGTTTTTGTTTATATCTGCATGTCGCTTGCTTGTCATTGGTTGGTTTGTCCTTTTTAGCTAGAAAATAATTTGGTTTTGCCATCAAAACACAGATTTTTCATTACCCATCAATTTTATTGCCAAAATGCTAATTTGCCAAACAGACTGGGAAAAATCACCGATGGTTAAATCGTTTCCCAGTGTAATGGACAAGTTTGGAGCCTGTCCCACCGAACTGTAGCATTATTTCAAATGTTTTTTACAAGCCCCTTATGACTCGGTTTGTGGGTCGCAAACAGGCACTTTCCCGTTTTAAGTGATATTCGAAGAGCTTAAGACTCGGATTCGTCGAGGCGAAACGCGGGAACCTTTCGCTGGGGCCGAGCTCTATTACAGTGGCAGTCGAGGGAAGGAAGAAATCGTACATATCAAGGGCCAAATCAACAAAAACGTCAACATTTTAGTAAGTACTTTTGACTTTGCGAAAAACTTGTGCTAATGTATTTTGGCGGATGCCAGGCACCAAATGGATCACAGATGCATGATAGTCGGTGGAGGTAATTGGAACGTTGCCTAAGCCGTCCCACTTATAAAATTTCGAAAAGCGATTAATTCTGCTACAAAGTAAAGCAAGATCGTGAAAAGCGCCGCTCAGGGGTGAATTTTCAGAGCATATCGGTTGTACCTTGGTCGTATCGATAAGAGGTTGCACTTTAAGCCATATTCATTTATCATTTCAGGAATTCGGTCAAAATACGTGTAAACGTCAATCCACAGTTTTGAATAGCAAGTGCCTCATATTACCTTCAGTGGAAGTGATATCTGGTAAAAAATGAATCAGACGAATATTTTCCTCAAGTGAAATCAAACGAATAAGTAACTGAAAGTCGTAACATGAAGTGGCATATAAAATAGTCATGAAAGCTACCCAATCAAAGTTCATTTACACACAGGGGACTATAAATCTTGTAGAAACTATGCTCTTCTTAGCTGTCGTTTATATTTTCATTAAAGCATTATCAAATTTTATGTAATAAAAGCTAATAAAGTGGTAAGATGGACAAACTTGGATTACATTCACACTTCGCACTCCCTAAAGAGGGCTTTGGTGCGTCACTGACAGCATACGATAAGAAATTGCCTCGAGCAATGTCGTATGGAGGGATCTGAAATGTCCTTTTGACCACTGAACCGGTGACTTTTTATAGGTTGTGCTAGATGCCACCAGATGACATTCAATGCCTCATTTTTTTTATCAGTTGAACGGAATAGAGAACCATTGATGCGGCAATGCGGGGGGCCTAAATTTAGCCTAGCCTGGTCCGCAAATTCGACCGTTATAAAGTTAAAATCCGTGCGCACAAGCGCAGACACGCACTCCTCGCCCTGCCGCTCTCCATCCATGTGCGTTTTTCATGCCCTAGCCCCAAACACGGTTTTATCTTGCAAAGGTCACCCCTTAGTACCCACAATTCTCATTTTCAGGGTCAAGCCCTCTTGATGTGTCTGGTTATAGACCCAAACTAGTCTTCATATTAATTTCCATAGTTTAAGCTAAGTACCCGACATTAAATTTACATGACTATGTGAAACTCTAATTCTGCGTAATAATTGCTACATATGTTTTAACACACCTTTTGCACTTCAAGGTAGCAGTCATTTGTAATTAGTTATTTCAGTGACCCGAGTCTTTCCCGAAGTCGTAATAAGTCAAGGTAGTCGGGAATAACATGCCCTACTGGCGTATAGAAGAGGTAGGGGGCTATTAGCATGACCCGAAGTCCATGCCGCAGTGTGGGAGTGCAAACTGCGGTGACTAAAGAGGCCGCGGAGTTAAACGCACGGTTAAACGAAATACTCCTCCCAAAAAATTACATGAATTTCCAATAGGTGTTAACGAAATGAGTCACTGAAATTTCTATAAGAATTTTGCATAAAGTATCTGGCTTTGTTCTTTGATAATGAATTCTATATTGTGTCTAATAAACCATTGTTTACTGTTCAGTGAGTCGTCCCAATTAAAACACCTAAAATGAGTACCTTATTAAGACGAAAATATGCACCAATTCGATAAAAGCGGATACCTGATAAACTGTAGTATCACCACAACGCACTACTGTTTCAGATACGAGTAGAGAATAAGAACACCAAACTCCCACTTCCTGACGTGGAGTACACCTACTATGTGAGCAAAGATGCCAGCGATCACCTACGCTTTGACCCTTCGGGTTTAGCTGTACACCACTACAATGATCCCCTGTTGCGCTTTCTCCGATCACCTCGCAAGGGAGCCCCAGCCGAGGAGTTAAACGAGGAAAACGTGGAACCAAATCCTCCTCTGGAACCGTCAAAGCCCGAGCACTCCTCACAGACAATTAAAGAGCCCATAGGCTTCGAATGGAAGATGGATGAAGTTCCCAAGGAATGCACGAGTTGCTCAGGTAAGTTTTGCTTCGCATCTTCGCAATCACATTACTGTTTCATCACATGCATTAATACTAAAGTGAAAGCAGATGCTGAGCTCTCACGCGGGTTATTATAATTTCTTTAACGAATGACTTGATTCGATGCACAAACAACGTATAAAGAGCAAAAACTTCACCCGTTGTGCCACTGTTTTTCAAACCAAGGCTGAATGCTTTTCCTCACCACCGTGAATCATTTTGCATGAAAGGGTCCTACGCTTTATCAATAATTTTTTTTCGTATTTTAACCTGCTTTCCAGTAATACCAAACCTTAAATAGGTTGCATGATACACTTCCTAAGGATTTCTTCCAAAAGACCATACGAAACTCATTTTATCTTTTCCGCAGTCATTTTTCATATTATAAATGGAAATGAAAATGAAAGAAAGCTTAAATTTTACTTAATGGCCTATCTTTCAGAGAGCCTCAGACAAGGATATGGTTGGATTCAGGAAAATGTTGGTATTGTAGTGATATATCTTTTAATTCATTTAGTGTGAAAAATTCACGCCTATAGAAATCTATTTCCACCTTCTTTGGGAGCTACGCTAAGGTGGGTCCCGATAGATGGAGTGAGGATTAGTTTGTATGCCTAATACTTTGGGGTCACTATCATTTACTGTAAGGAATTCGACCTCTGTTGACATATTCATTTGCACGTTACTTCAAGCAGATCTTTTCTAAAAAACGCCATTCTCAGGCTTAGCTAAGACAATAAACTTGGCAAATTTTAGAAACGAGGATCGAACTATAGCAGTCTATGTCACAAAAAATATGCTTCTTGCGAAAAGCGTTTCCGACTTTTGTCAGTTCCAAGATCATGAGGCTGACCTAAAAACCTTCTTATTCGCCCAACTAACACCTAAAAGTGAAGAAAGTTAGTAACAGAGAATCCCATTCATGTTATTTTCTTTAATTTCCCGCTATTAAACTGATTGCTTCGCCAAAATTCAATAGCTATTTTCCTCAAAATTACATCCCTCATCATATCTGACACGATGCATTCACTAATCTTGTTAGACAGTGAATGCTCATTAAACCTTCTACGCTCGCATTTTAAAGGTACTGTGCAGAGCCACGCCTCTTGTTACCCCGTGTTCAGCAGTCAGGAGGCGTCTAAACATTATGGGATTCACCCTCTCCACCCCCTGCCGCCGCGTTACTGCGGCGAGAGTTTACGACCCTCGCCGGTGACACGCAACTGCGCCGACTACTGTGGAGTGCGGTGGTCGTGGCGAGAAGTTAACGCCTCAGACTACACAGTTGCCCGGTCCACCTGCTCCGTGCGATGTGGTGAGGGACTCACGGAGGTGCACTTCACCGCTATCTGCGAGGAGAAAATTCCCGAGAAGGACACCCTTCACACCATTTGGCGTGAAAGCTCCCTCGGCGCCTATGCTTGCATCAAAGCGGAACTTGGTGAACCACCCGAGGATAGAGTGGTGACCAACCGTTGCACCGGAGATTGTAGACCTCTGCATTGGGTCTTCTCTGATTGGGACAAGGTGGAGTAATTTCCTACTTTCACTTGATTTGCACTACATATGCGCATTTCAGTGATGGAGCTGTCAATTTGTTACCCTTAAAGTGTTCGGAGCGCTGTGGTGCCGGAACAAAACAGCGAAGTGTGACGTGTGTGGATGATGTGAGCAACCACTGGCCGCTTACCGAGTGTCTGCAGCACATCTCTACAGTCGTGGTGGGCAAACTCAACGGAGTGGATGGGTATGTGGGTACCGAATTGGCTGAGTGCTTCGAGGTGGATGCCTGTGGGGGTCAGTTCATGTGGATCACAACTCCATGGTCCGAGTGTCGTTCCACAGCCTCTTACAGTGATATGGGCAGCCTATGTCATTCTGCGCTGAGGCGCCATCTTGATGGTGACAGTCAAGGTCTGCCCAGCACCTCTGCTTTCACTGGCTTCCAGACACGAACCAGCAGATGCGTGTTACGCTCTGCCTCTGGCGAAGATGTTAAGCATGAGGCTCCGCAGCATTACTGCGAACGTGCACACGCCCTTAAGCCCCCCGAGCAACAGGCCTGCACTGCAGAACTCACCTGCTATCGTTGGACGACTGTTCACTTTTCACAGGCAAGTTCGGCTTAACTATCGGCAGCATTCCTGTTTATTATGGAGTTTCCTTGTCCCTAAGTATTTTCATGATTCAGACTTTTAAAACATTATATTATTATTTATTCGAAGAGACATCTCCACTTACTATCAAATAATGAATTATTGGTGCATTAAAACGCCCCTTTTACCCGAGCTTTCGATATCTACTAACTACACTCTGGATACTGATATAACCATTGCTTTGTGTTATAAAAAGAGGATGGTTGTTTGGCGTTATGAAGTTAAAATATTTGAGGTGGGGATGTTTTAACGTAAAACTGACTATTAGTAAAGGGCATTTCCTTCTTTATCTTACTAAGAGTTCACACTAAATTGTACATTCTTTGAGGAAACACACAGGTGAAAACTAAAAATAAAGTAAGGGATAGGGGCTGAGGTGTTGCAGTGTTGCGCGCTTTGGACTGATGTTTAATGGCTTCTTATATTTATCGCCATGTACATTTACCAAAATCCATTCTCTAAGATGCCGCTTGCATTTACACAGATCCTTACTTCTCCCGGGGCTTGGTAAGTGGAGAGATTAAATCTTTCCGATTTTTACTGAGAGAATAGGTTTTTCCGACCACAAAACGAGGAGTTAACAACTCACTCAAATCTATTTTATAAAGTAAAACTTAATTTCCCTTCCCTTACAAAACGCCATACGATCTATTTGTCTAAAAAAACTCCCGTATATTATCTTTTATCAATTCATACCGATTACATTTTTTAAGAAAATTTCAAATGTTTATTTATGACCAGCAATAAACTCACTACTGCGGTTCTTTATGGGAGGAAATACGTGATCTTACGCTCTGAGTAAATAGTCATATTTCAAACTAAAAGGTACTTCAGCCAACAAGCATAGATCATTGCCAATCAAGATTTAACGTTAGGAACCACATGTTTAATAAAAACACTAACTTTTGTTATCTGACAGCATTCTAAAGGCAAAAATAGAATAGCATTCTGGCGTTAAGAAACTTGTTAGAATATCATCACTGAATGCAATATTTTAACTTATTATAAGAAAATATTCCAAGGTCTTAACTCGACACCTTATGAACACTCGGCTGAGGCGATATGGATACATTGAGGATATTTTTTAAACATCTGATTCACCTGTCTTCGAGAGAAATAAAGGAAGTAGGAAATCACAGACCAGGCTTTTAAAAGGTATTGGTATACCTTTATTCACATAAAGTGAGCCCCGTTACCTTTATCAACACACATTTACTAGACAATTTGCCGATCTTCATATTGCTTTTGGATATTGGCACCGTTTTCCAACTCTCTACTGTCTACGTTGCAGTGCTCCACCAACTGTGGGGCAGGCCAACGTGTAGGGCAGCTCTCCTGTGAGCAGATTAGTCTTTCACGAGGTGCAAGACCCAACGTGACGCCTGTGGGTGAGACTGATTGTCTCTATCGTCTGGGCTCCAACATCTCCCTCCAAATCGATAGTCGGCGAGAGAACCCGACTGTTTACATCGTGGAGAGCGGCTCGTCAGAAGAGCGTGAGGCTCTCCAACGCGTGCCCTACCTCCGCCCACTTCCTTTCACCCCAGGCAAGCCCCTCCTTCTAGCCTGCTCCAACCCTCCCTGCCACAGCCGAAGTCTCGAATGGGCGGTCAGTGAATGGTCATTGGTGAGAGTTTAGATACGTATAATTTAATTCGCTTAGGATCTCTCTTAGAGCTCACCTGCTCTTTGAGTAGCGCGTTAATGCGAAGCCGTTCACCATTCACCACTTTAAGCTATCTATAAACCTTGTACTGCCTTTTTTATACACTTCAGATAAGGAAAACACATAACGAAATACTTCAGCTCTAAACATTACTTAGCTAATTTTGGCTGTACTCCGCTGCAAATACGTGTTGCACTTGAAAAGTGAACTTAAAGTAATGCATATTTTTATTTATTCGAATGCATATTCGGATAGAAGTTACAATGATCAGTCATGCCACAGTGGGGCCCATCTTTTAAAGTCCGTCCTGTCTAAGTCCTACGAAATTTATAGCTCATTTGGTTTTTATGGTATATGAGATGAACTGAAGTCTGAACTATTTGTATCATTCAGATAAAAGTGGTCTTTAAATTTATATCGCCCTATTAATCTGGATTGTTTTATTTTTTGAGACTATGCAAGGATAACGATTCAAATTGTTAATTTTACTGATTTAGTCAACCATAATTTCTACGTCAAGCAAATGACTATCTATGTCAACGGTCCTTTACTCTTATTTCGCATGATTTACGGGAGAATTCCCATTGGTTTTGGCTTTTAGCTTTTGATTTTTTGGTGGGAGATTGCATGTTGTCCACTGAAAAAACAATAAAAATTCATGCCTTCTCATTTTGAAATTACACGAGTCCTCTTCCATTTGGCTCTAAAAATAGCGTCTAACATACACGTACCAGCATAATTTCTTCAAACTATTCCTAATTATAAGTGCATTTCAGGGGATTGGCACAGTTTTGGACTCCTTTGGTGTCTCTTTTCGAAAATGCGGATTTTAGTGCTCTGCAACTTGCGGTATGGGTTACCAGCGGCGCTCCCTCCGATGCATATTGGTTGAGCGACACACCGGTGCCCCTTTGAAGTCGGAGGCGGTGGAGGTAGAAGTGCCGGGGTCCGAGTGCACTGCCAGAGGACTCGCCAGACCTGCAGACATGCAGCTATGCGAGGCACCGCCATGTATCAAGTGGAGCCCTGGAGAATGGTCCGAGGCAAGGTTTCCTCGCTCTTATATTCATATCCTCCGCCCCATGCTACACTCACTTTTGTCCAACGTGGTTAATCTCCTATAGTACTGTGCTAGGTCTCCTGGAAAGTATCCCTCTATAGGAAATACTGGGACTGTGGCATTGAGCTAGTGGCATAAATGGCACAAACTCGTGATACTGTCTCCTGACTTTATAGTTAATTTTATTAGGTTTTCTATTAAAGTATTTCATCATCAACACTTTGTATCAATTGGTTTTAATTGTTGTTCCATGCTCAAGCAAAATATTATCAAAGAAAAATTTCTGAGTGAATTACGATTTTAAAATATGCTTTGATACTTCAGAAACTATCTAAAATATATCAAATATTATTTTTTGCTATAAACCTGGCAGTCAATGAATACATGATTCGCAAAACTTGACCTTTGTAAATGTAAAAACGTGGATTACCGTGAAACACCTAGATAACTCTGGTTTAACGGAAGTTTCCTCTTCACCAGTGCAAAGGCACCTGCGAGTCTGGCACACAGGAGCGGTATATTCGATGCATTCGACAGAAGAGCCTGTACACGACTTCGCCTAAGAGCGTCACCTGGAGTAGTTTTGAGGCTCCTTTAAACGTGAGCAGTACGATGATCGAACAGGAAGTGGATCCAGCAGAGTGCAAGTATCAGTCAAAACCTGCGGAAAAACGCTCCTGCCTTTTGGCCTCTGACTGTCCTTTCTGGTTCCAAGGACCGTGGTCATCTGTGAGGTTTCCCTTTTAGTGAATTCGCTTTTAGAATGAGGAAACAAATGCGATGTTAATTTATCATTTGCAGTGTTCGTCCACCTGTGGAGCAGGTAGACGGTTTAGGCATGTGGACTGCCGATTTCCCAATGGCACTGTGCTCTACGTCTTCGGTAGGCTAGCGCGAGACCGCAGTATTCTTCAAATGTCGTCCAGAAGAAGACGAAACCTTATTACTGAATCCAGAAAACATTTAAACACAATAAGGTGCTTGGAACCTCGTCCCGTTGATAAGACAGAGTGCCAGCTCAAACCATGTCAGGAAGATAGGTCCTTTTGGTGGCCAGTCGTCTCGTCGACCGTAAATCTATCTTATGCATTTATTTAGAGTTGAATCGAACCACCATCACCACAATGTTTAATCTCTTATAGTGTAACGCGAAAGGATGTATTCGTGGCTACCAGCAAAGAGAACTGCAGTGCCTCACACCCTCTTTTCAACCAGTTGATCCCAAGGAGTGTGTATACTCTCGAAAGCCCCTCAAAATGATTCCTTGCACTTTGCAAGAATGTAAGACCTACCGCTGGCGCACGGATACCTGGACTAGGGTGAGGCTATTCATGCATAGCTCTCCTCTTTTTTGGCATTCAAGAAAACCATAGTCAACTGATTTTGAACCCTGTAGTGTCCCTACGCGTGTAGGAAGCATTCAAGGTATAGGAATGTTCGCTGTGTGGATGATCTTGGCGAAGAGTATGCGGATCACCTCTGCCAGGCTCATTTGCGTCCTGACTCCTGGAGTATCTGTCCTGATGCCTGTCCAGGCAAGAAACTCACACGTACACGCTTAAATAATTAACTCTTTCAATTATTTTACGAATAACTTCTTGCACTTTGAATCAAAGTTTTGACACTGAGCTGGGAGTTTTGTGGTTGCAGAACCCTTTGTGATTTGGTTTTAAATCTCCTGCTGTGTTATAAAACAACGAAATTGTTGCACTTTGAAATTGCAGTCCCTGTAGCCGAGTTTGCATCAAAATTCGTACCCATCTAGCGAGCAGGAAAGTAACTGAATGTTTCCCATTCCATTATAGTCTTCATGATTTATATACAATATTAGCTATGCAGAAAGGCAGGTCGTTAACATCGACATTCTGTAGGATCTATGTCCACTGACATCGACTATTACGAGTATCACTAACCTAATTATCTTAATTATTAATCGGACACTTGGAGGTGTGTTACATTTAATTTCAAAGTGCACATGCCTTTCTTATACGAAAAACTGTCCACATAATCTATCTATAATGATAATTCTGCAGATAACGAAATGGTAACCTGGTTACAATCATTGGTTGGGGGAGAGGGGTTCCACCTGTGCGCAAATTTATGTAGAGCGAAAAAAAAATGCTTAATGTGAACCCCCACCAAGATTATATAAATATAGACACATTTGGTCATCTAAAGAGTAAAAGTAGCCCATAGCATGGAGATTCTGGTGTGAATACTTTTGTAAGAGTCTTGTCTGGTTAAAAATCAGGAAATGCTGGAGCCAGTTCCGGACTCCACAATTTAAGTGAGAGCTCCCGATTGCGATATTCTCAAATGGGATGCAATAGTGTTTTACAGAGCGTAGATTCAGTGAACATGAGCTATTTCTAATACACTAGAAGGTCAGTAGTGGAATAATTAGCATGATATCCTTTCCATTTTGTTTTATGCTTTATAGCACCACTTTTAACTACGATCTTCATCCTGTCCTTTTACATTAAAAGAAGTAGCTTCTAGCTCCCCGCCTCGAAGCTAGGGCAATAAATAATTAAACACTCACTAGATACTTGTATTTTTTTCCCTGAATGAAGTCATCGAAACTGAATACGATTGCATAGATCCGCGACTTCTACTCAATGTCCACCCAGGCTTTTAATTCATGCTTCACCAGACATGGCTCTTGATTTTCAATGCCCAAACTTCAGACCCTAATTCTGCGAGCATGGGATACCTTATCTTCAACATGTATCAAGAAAATAAGAAATAAAACAGCGGACATGACCCAACAATTAAATAGTGATGGCCGGGAAAACAAAGAATTCTGAAATTACTTAATCCCCTTCGCTGTACATCAAAATGTGAAACACTTGTCAAAACATAACCCGGTTGAAAGTTGCGTATCTATAATTGAGTGCAGGAAGCCTAGCGTTATATAACTAAGGGAAAAATCACATGGATCACTAGTGTGTATTCGTTATCACAGATACTTATTTCACATGCAGACCTTCCGATCAGTTGCTGGGATCAGAAGCAGCGCCATCCCGCCTCATCTGACGGTCTCTATGAGCTTGCTGTACATCGGCAAGTGGTCAGGGTGAGTTTTATATTACATTGTCCATAACTCAACCTCCTCGTCTAGTGAATAATCTAATAGTTATAAACTGGAGCCTTTTTTAAACGGAAATCAAATTCACAATAGAATGTAGCGATTCCATCGATGAAACGTTTGTACCAAAGTTTATTTTAGCAAATCCTGGCCACATGTCAACACAAGTTAAAATTATTAATGAATTTAAATTCAGACGTCAGATCCGCTTTACCAACGTATCCTATTGTACTAACTCTTTCGTTGGTTCAGATCTACTGTAGTGATATGGAATCGTCCTATCCTCGTGAATACCTTCCGCTTCACCACCTAAACTATGCATCCATCTGGCACTTCAAAGAGGCGTAAGTATGGTTTACATTAACCATCATTCAGCAAATTAACCAAAATTCCCGAGTTAAGTGTTTACCATCGCTATGGGCCTAATACATCACCATATTATTGCACACAAAAATAAGGAGCAAAGTGACCATTTTTATAATGCAAGGTACAACAGGGCGAATATATGAACATTGAAAGTAGACGTTTCACGCTCATACGCTAAATTTAACTATGCCTTAAACTTGTTAGATTTAAATTTAGAGCTCAGTCATGGATAAATTATTTCCTCATGGAAATACATCGTTTTTAAAGACTTACCTTGCTCCCCTTTTACTCTCGTGTGAAAGAATTATACTGCTTCATTTTCAACTTCACCTTCCATAATCCTATCCTCATTATCAATTCGACATCTATAGGAGTGAACAAAATTGCTCATCGACAAACGTCTACTATAAAGGCAAAGTGACGGATACCAACGTGACCTCCGGTACACCTTCCGAAAATCAGTCGCTCGAACTATCCGAATTCCCAGCAGACAGCGTTACTGTCTTTAAAAAACTGCGTATTAACCTCAATTCCCTACATGTAGACAGTAAGTGCAGGCTCTCTTTTAGTAGCTTCCATCTGTTTTACATATCATTTCAAAAATATTGTTAAAATACCTGTAGATTCCAGGCATGTGTAAACAATATTTTAAGAAAATGCAAAAAGTGCTTGCGAAGTAACTCATTTGTTGTAACTTCATTGGGAAGAATGCTGTGGACACAATTTAATGATTGTTAAATTTTCTGCCGAATCACATCGAGGATGTATGATACTGCCACAGATGAAACCATTTATTTCCGTAAATATGGCCATTTTTCTTAAACTAAACACGGTCCCCAAAAGCAATATAATGCATTTCCATAAAATTATTGGTACACCACCCCATCACTTAAGCTGAATGACCAGACTCTTCTGCATTTTCAGCAAAGAGCTTTGATAATAACACTGGAGCAGAGGAACTTCTTAATTGAGCTTGATTTGGGTTGTAGTATTTGATGGAAGGTTCAGTGAAACGTTAGGAACGCGATTTGTCCCCTATGCATCGGCGAAGTCCTGTTCGAGAGGTACCTCTCAGTTGGTATGTACGATCTTCAGTTCCGACTTTACTGCTTTATAGTTTATAATAAAACTTTCATGGTTTTGAGATCAATAACTTTTACATTCCATATAATGCGGGTTTTAAAGTTGGTTTCGTCACATTTCCATTGACTGTACGACTTTGTGTCAAAGAACTTAGATTTTGGAATTTTAATTCTCTAGTGTGTGTGTATTGCTTGTAAAACGTTTTTGCTTTTGCTTTTCAGGGGAAATTTCTGATAAACCTCAAAGGAACTGGTTTTACTGTGTCGAAAGAAACACAGTGGCGAACCTCCCGGTTGCAGTCATTTGGACATGTGGCACGGACCGGGGTAAGTTTCTTTTCTTCCGCGTACACACATCGAGTTGGCTGCAATCAAAGGCGATGGAATAGCGTAATATCAAATGCCATTTAATACTGTGCTATTTTTATTCTTGTAAATTCTGTAACACTGGAGCCATTCTTCCCATTAATTTGCAATATAATAAAAGAACGGATCCGCTTTTACAGATATCCTGTAGATACCTTAAAGCAGAAACTAAAATAGGATTTTTGTCGTTTTTAAATAGGATTCAATGATTGTTATGGGTTCCTGCGGCGGTGACTGTGGTGGCTGTTGGCCAGACCCGTTGCTTAAACTCGAAGCAGCAGATGCCGCAGAAAGGTGATATGCACGTACTTCTTTCCCCACAACTAGACTTCCAGCCACTTCCTTCTACTTTTCACCAATGAATACAAAAAAAAATAAAAACCCTAATGCGTTAAATGCAGTATCCATCGCCTCATCGTAGCAACCGTGCATAAGTGCAGCTTTGTTCAGCTTTGAGCTCTGTCGCACACTCACCGACCTTGCCTCCTCCTTTCCCTCTGTCCGTTTATTTTGGAAATTTTTATTTTTGTAAATCAGTCTGAGGAGAAAAATGTGCACCTACACATTCAGTACATCGATAGTCGTCTGCAATCAGCCAATATGACTACCTGCGATCCCTTAATTTGTCTCTTCCCCTTACAACAATGTAAACTGCCAATACACAGCTTTTCTGGCGCTGCACATGTAGACAGGGCGTGGAAGGCAATGTGACTAGACGGTATTTTCCTCCTTCGCCTGCTCACCCTTAAATGCACGCCTCATTCGCTACAACCATTTTGATTAGACCTCTATCCTAATAGCACCAACGCACACTATCCATAGCTATTATTTTATATTTAGCTGTACGTAAGTTACATTACTAGTCCCTTTGTTTGCCTGCTGGTCCTCCTCGATTGTCAGCATTCCTGATTCCTACAGTCGCGTGACGCTAGGTTTTCCATTTATCCTTTCTTCGATTTATCGTCCTATTTTTACCCCTCCCCTGTTAACAGTGAACATTCGTAGTCCTCTTCAATCTTCTCTCTGAACTAAAACCTTCTCCCCCAAGGGGGCCCCCGCACCAATCCCGAACCCGGGGTGACCATGCACGGAGCGGGATTCGCCCATCAACGTGTGCCTGTGTATAAAACATTTCATAATTAGAGTTAAATTCAAGTCGTTCCGCGGTTGTGCTAATAAATGTATTTTGTGCATAGACTTTCTGGGTCGGTGGGCTTAATGTGCGCGATTAGAAGTGAGTGAATGTCATGTCAAAATTATCAAACCTACTGCGGCAGTTCCTTTATAATTTACTAGTAATTATTGGGATAAAAGTTATCTAACTCATGTTCACTGTATTAAGATAGCTCGAAACTATCTTCTTTTAAACATGCATGTTGGTCAACATCGCCGCCACAGACGGATCTAATATCATCTCATCCGAAGGAGACCCCGGTCAGCCAATTGTCCGATTGGGTTCGGTGAATATCCTGAAAGCATAAATTACCACCGGGCCTGGGAGCTTAAGCAGGGCGGGTAAAAGCGACTTTGCAGGAAGCATTAGTCATTTCCCTAAGAGGGCATAAAATCAGCCACCTGTCAAGTCTTTTCGCGTTCACTTTGGCTCCGGATTATTAGTGCAACGCAAATTAGTCGCCGCTGTGTCGAATTAGGCCCAAAACGCACACTTACCAAATGTTGTCTGTGAAATATTAGGCACAGGAAATGTGATTAAACTCGTGTTTCACTTTTGTGCGTACGGACCGATAATGTTGGATTAAGGTAGCGCAATGCGCAAATGAGTATTCTACTATGTACTTTTGCGAGAAGCACATCGAACTTTAATAAGCAAATTTGGCAAAGAATGTTGTTCATTGAAATATAAAAGCATTCACACGAAAATCAATTGCGCCTGAGTTGATTATTACATCAAGCAAATGTGGTTGTATCTCGAACTTTCAGAATCAGAACTTTATAGAAAGGCCAATTAAGACGGCACCTTAAAAGTGATAATTGAGGGCACTGAAAGCACTCCAGGTGAGCGGCCAGACTAATTTAAGAAATCCAAAAAGCGACTATCGTGCACATATAATCGGCACTTGAAAATTGTTGTAAAGATATGTCTACCTTTTAGACATAGTGACTTGCTCACCAATGAGGACGAGCTAGGCCAATTAACTGATTATTAGTGCATACTGAGGCCATAATGACAGAACATTAGCGTACCGTCGGAAATCGTATTCAAATCATCAGTATGTCTTATCAAGCAGCGATTTGTTCCCAAACCGAGAGCCGACCATGCCACGAGTGCACGTGGTTATCACAATTACTAAGCTTGTAATTCGGTCGGGCTCCACACCATTTTAAAGATCCACAACCATCTCCACCATCAACATCACTGTCACTCCAACAGGCTTGTGCATATGAACCCGGCAGTGAAAGGGAAAACCGATTCAGTCACCACGGCGCCAAAACTAGCTTAAAAATCAAGTTTATTTTACGCTAAGGGAAAGTCATCACAGCCAATCATAAAAATTTCCTTGGAATGGAGCTGGCTCGTCCCTGGAGGAGGATACAAATGCCACATCGGAAATTGGCATTAATTGGCTTGCATGAAAACAACAGTAACCCACCACCAACTGGGCTGCACTCAATAATGTAAAAATGCATTGTGCATCAAAGCTCTGGCAACATAAAATTGAATTTCAGGCCCATAAACGGATGAGACTGGGAGACAGTAGGATTCGGATTTGTGAAGCAGAAATTGATGAGTTTATACACAGGCAGACACTTGGAAAACACGAAAAATTCAAATCAAACAAGGCCAAACTGCTTAATTTATGAGAAACCGTGATTCATTGACTAACCAACATCAACTACCTTCCACGATGTCAACGCAACCTCCAAATCAATGCAAGGAAGAATTCCGTGGTTATTTTTTGCGCAATTATTTAATATTTTTTATTTGTAGGATACAACGGATGGATTCAAAAATAAGACTCCTTTCCCTGTTCTGCTTCACGCTGCTGCCTTTGGCAGGTGAGTGATTTAGCAACGATTTCGAGGGAGGTGGAAAGGCGGTTGAGAGGGGAATGTGGTGGTGCATCGCGATGTTTTACGTAGGCTTCGATCTCGCCGATCAAAAGGATCGCTTGCTCGACGAGGGTGTCTACCCTATCTTCCTCTGTGTATGCACCGGCGTCGGTGTCGTGCGGGGCTATAAGACGTGCGACCAGGCGCTGACCCAGGACCGCGAGGGTTTGACACACTCGACTCAGGTGAAGCCGAGGTACAGGAGCCTTATCAGTGGAGCGATCGATCACTCGCAAGAGGGCAAAAGTCAAATCAAACAGATCAAGCGAGCCCCGATAGTCTGAAATCAAACAGTGGGATTCAGACAAACAGTGCATCAATTTTATTTAAGGATAAATACACCATAGAGCATTTCTTTAAAATGTGGTACTGGTGCTAATTTACCCAGAAAGGCCCCCAATTTTCGATAGTAATAATGACTTACTTGTTGTCGGTTAAATTATTTCGAGATTGACGTGTTAAGAATTACCAGTGAGATTTTGCGTTAATGCCGAAACAAGTCACCCACACTTATATCAACTAGAAAGAAGTTGTGCTAACTAAGCAAATAGAGCCCATGTGCCAAGATGCTTCGGCGACCATCAATTCGTCCTCCACTTCTTTCGCCCCGTTATAAAAACGCACCACACTTTAGGTTGTTTGTTGGCTGACTGATTGACTGGCTGACTGACTTGTGATGCAAAACACTATGTACTTCAAGGGAACAAACACACGATTGGTTATCTCTAAACGACCCACTCACTACCTACCCCACACCTCGAAGACACGTACTACTCCATTCCCACAAAGCCATGCTTGCTTTGTGTGTATGGTGAAGTGTGGACGAAATTGTTCACTTGCTGAAGGTCAAACAATTACGACCGAGATCCATGTACTTGGGACTACCCGACAAAACTTGAAGATGTGCAAGAAAAATTTCTCTTTCAAAAATGGACAAGACCAGCAGTGAATCAGTTAATGAGAAGAAAGTCCTATTTTTACAGGACAAAATAAGACCTCATTCCGCAACATCTACCCATGGGAAGAATAGCACTTTAGGCTGGGTGAGGGATAATACATTTCCTCATCCTTGCCCTCACCTATTGCAAACCCCTCACATTGTTCTGTATGATTACTACCTTTTCGTGCCATCAGACAATAATATGCGAAATAGACAGTTCGGGAACACAAGTGAAATAGAAATTGAGATGGCTAAGATGTGAAAGCACAGAACTTACATCCTAAGAATATGTCTTGGGGTGGGGAGGCGGAGGGGGAAGAAAGTGCAGTAGATCGTAATGTGAAGGGGAAGGTGATAAGATTTCCAGCAGCAAGTTGGTCCACGAAGCCGACGGCACGAGCCCAGCGATCAGCCGCATCCAGCTCATCCAGCGGTGCGATTCGGTGAAGAAACTGTGGAGAAAAGCGGGTACGTGGTCAAAAGATGTTCAAACAGATGGGTCAACTATGCTGCAGTTCTGCCTATGCATGGATGAATAATAAACCCAAGGAAGTAGATGAAGCTGAACCGAATATCCGTGTACACCATCACTGATAGGGCCACTGGTTTCCTATTAGGAAAAGCATGTAAGAGCTCTTTAGTAACTCCAGCGAATGCTGCAGAAACTGGGGTAAGAAAGAGGAAGTTTGATGGCCATCAAAAAGAAGTGAGATAATCAAGCGCAGTTAAAGAGGTATGTATCGTTAATTAGGTAAAATTTGAGCATTAAATTGCGATTTTATTGCTAAGAATGAGCACAGCACTTAGAGTGCAAATTTTTAGGGTTCCAACTGCGTTTAGCGTTCAACAAAGGCATGAAAGGGTGGTCAGTTGGAAAAGGCCGAGTATTATCAATGTCACACCTTCAAAACAAATTACGAACTGCCTATGCAGCCTGACAAGAGGGCATCATAACAACTTTTGGTGGCCGAGGTCAAGGTCAGCCAGAACACTAACCGGACAAGCGCGCAAGAAATCATCCTTGCCAGTAACCAACACAAGGGGCCATTGCAAAACACTCGACGCTAAAGCCCATATCAAATCTGCAGCTTCGGTATCACACGCATGCCTTACCGTGTGAAGGGCAAGTAGCAGAGTGGGCACTGAAATGCAGTTCCAGAGACTCCGAACCTCGGGTGCCTGGGAGGACGTCAGGATGAAATTCACAATCGCATACCACGCCCCATCACAAAGGCTCACCAATTGGAGGACTTCCTCCAAATCACACGACGATAGCGGTTTCGCGAAGCAATCGAAAGGATCGTCGGTTTGTGGCGATTTGATGATAAATTGGAAACGATTTTTGGCACTAAGTCAATAATAGTAGAGGTCAGAAACCTGTTCGATTAAGCGAGAAAACGGAGGACTTCGTGAACCCTGTTGAAGAATATTCAAGACGAAAGAGCTCCTCTCTACTACCGTTAGAGTCGATGGGAAACCCTATGTGTAGACAAGTAGATAACGTGCATAAGATTACACTCATTTATCGCATCAGAAATGAAAATAGTACTTACTATGCCGAACGACAAATATATTGAGCACTTGAATGCTCAAGAAATTACGCGAAATTTGAGGAACCTCGCTACTTCGCCAATGTCATTCCGTCGTATTCTCGAAAAGCCTTTGCACGATATTAATGCGAATGAATAACTTTATTGAATTAGAACGGAGCCAATTTCAAAAAAGCCCCAGCTCATTCAAAATGTACGAACAAAATTCTGAACGATTAAAATGGCATACACTCATGGGAACAAAGCAGTGCCGTTCAGTTATCTACAAAATTTTAAAATATTTTCTATACAAGTAAAGAGAATCTCCTGCATAAAAAAGATTAGAATTTAGCGAAGAGTCGAAATAGGATGCCTCACAAACCACAGCACGCCCTAGAAGTTAATCAAAACCGATATTCAGAATCAAATGTCAGATTTTGGCGAGAAAAATGTGAAACACACTCGGCTGAAAAAATGAAATAGTGTTTCTCAACATATGATAGATCAGAAAATTTAGAAATAAATACCATCAAGTTAGTGATATTAATCAGTGGTTGCAGTGAGGGTAGGTAGGAGCGATGGGAGATAGATGCATGTACTTAAGCATGTGTAAACAGTGCCCATGTATGTAAGCGGGCAAAAAAGCGCACTGATTTATCTCAACTCTAGACCCATTAATAGGGGCGCTCAAAAGCTAGAGCATCTACCTATTGGCCTGGGCGCGAGACCTCCAGTTGAGCCCATAAACAGAGGTCAAAAAGTTAACACACAGACTGCTGACTAATTAATTCTGTCTAGATCGCCTGGTATGTATGCGTATGTAAATAACACATAAGGCGTCTTAAATGGAAGATACCATCAATTTAACCTCTTAACGTTCCAAAAAAGTTATGATTTGGTTCGGCGACTTCAGAACGGTGCCTGGAACTCCACTTATTGTGGAATATTTAACACACTTTGGTGACCCGTAATGGAGTGTGCGGTTTATGGTGCTGCTATTTAGTAAGGCATTAAGCCTAGCCAATAATAAAGCACTATTCAGCAAATGAATCGGCAAATAACAGTCACAGATGAGGATTATATTTCACAATTTTAGTCAGGCGACTACTACGCTAAGCTAGCACATTTTTGGCGCAAAATCTTCACCAGGGAACGGAAAAAGGGAGTTTTTTTTTTCAGAAGATAGGTCGCTAATACAGCTCATCAGCGGATCAAAAGCACAGAGGCAAAGTGGCGAAAGAAGACCTAATCTCCAAAGCCGGCACAAAGAAACGCCGACATGAATGCAAACTTGCGTAGCGCTTGAAAACTTTTTATCCAAAAGATCTTCTAAAGAAGTCGATGTCAGTGAAATAAAACAAGCCCTCAGTGGAAACGAAAAGGTGATGCAAAGAGCTGACAGACCTGGAGGTGCGCTATCCGCCTCAAGGGTGCACGTTTTGGATGGTGCTATGCCCTAGAACCAGTGCCGATGAAGTTCGTGTGAACAGTCTGCCCCGAGGTACCGGTGGCATGGACTTCTGAATAACTGTAAGTCACCAATTCGGAGTCAAATGATCTAAGCATTATTTCGCTGCACCAAATTCACAACATTTTAGGATTTAAGGGAATCAAAAGGGTGTAGAAATAAGTGTTTGAACAAACATTCCCATATCTAGGACAAAGTACTCAATTTTAATCGCGTAAATATCCTTCGCAAATAATCTTCAAAAGAAGCAGATGGATAATTTTGCCATTAGGACATGTAGAAATAGGTGAAACGGACACAATAAAAATACAATTTTAAGAAACTAACTATTTAGAAGTAATAACAACAACAATTTCGGAATGCATTTTAAATACCGTCCTCAACTTTAGGTTTAGAAATAAGGGGATCCGAGGGACCAGAGTTCTACTGTCTTATGCACATCATTTAAAAATATACAGGGTACTTAACGTTATAACACTTATCCTGCTATCGTCAGACCACAACAGTTCCTCACGGAAATGATCGACTATTTCGACTGGAAATAGGATTTGGATCCAGATAAAGCGCAAAAGAGGTGAATCAAAAACGAGCACTGCAATAAATGCGATCAAATGAGGCAGCTAAAAAGACCCCCTAAAGTGGTAACGTGTAATTGGCCTCCAAATGAAATTCGGCTCGCCAACTAGATAATGCGAAGAAACCACAATCGAAAAGAGCACAAGACCCACGAAAATTTCTAAAGTATCACAAAATAGAGAAATTACTAATCCAAACCAATTATGAGGCACAAGTTATTTAAAAAATTGGAAAATTATAGCAAACTGAACGTCTATGACAGGAGCACCTCTGCTTTTACAATGGTAAATATGCCATTATTACACTTTATTTGTAATAGTACATTTTCAGTGCATCACTGACACAATAAAAATATTTGAAAATGAAGTAAAAGTCAGTGTCCAACACTGACAATAATACAAATGAAAGTGTCCAGTCAATAAATTTCTACACTGGTGACGCTTTAAGGACTGGCTTCGAGGTAAAACGCTGTTAAATCGCAGTAATTTGGACTAAATCAAAGTGACCACTTTAAGGAATTCTAACTTGTCAGGTTGTTTAAGATTTGAGAACAAAATTGGTTAGGCAGTGAAAGCGATTGTGAGCATCCCAAAGAAGACTTCTGAATCGCTAAAACTATTATTAACTCCTCATAACTGATCAAATCATTCATTTGGATTTCATGTAAACTGAATTCATCAACAAAATCACTGTAAAAAGTCTATGGACATACTTTTTTTACGCAATATTCTTCTAGGAAGAAAGATGATAATTGAAAGATAATATACACTAACGGCAGACCCATAGAGATCGAAAACTATCACTGCAGTGAAATCAGGTCAAAGGTACATAAAACAGACCTTTCGTTAAGTGCAGCCACATCGATCAGTTTGGAGCGGATAAGACAGCGGGGCAATGTGATGACCACAGTGCCAAGCAGATCGGAGGGGAGGAAGTCGGCGCACTGCCTGAGCAGACGGCGCTCGCGGTCCTCGGGGTCGGAAAGGACAGCACGCAGTCGCTTGGCCAGTGGACACAAGACAGTGTCTGCATCCGGATCGGCGTAGGAGATAGGAGCGGTCAGAAGAGCGATACAGATGCGTACCAACAAAGGCGTGCGCAGGCGCTCGAGGAGACTGGCACAGGGAACCGTGAAGAACTCCAAGGGCAAGCCGGCAGGGACGCGGGGCAGGAGGAGGAGCGCCAGGCTTTGCACCACCGCTTCTGCATGCGTTCGCACCGCGAGCACCTCCTCGTCCACCAAATCCATCAACTGTGACCACGATGCTGCCTATGAGAGAATTCAGTCTATTAAAATACCAGCTAGTATCGTGGCCTCTGTGGATGCTATCAAAGCGGATGTTCTGCGGGCTTACGTGCACACACCTCGCCCATCAACTACAAGGTCCGTCTAATTGACTTGGGATAGATTAAATACCACAAATGTATCACATTCCCGTGGATCTATATGCGAGGTGAAGCTCAACGCAAATACAATAGTTGCGACTGCGCAACGCTTTTTATCCCGCAAATACAAAATAATAAATTCCGTTACCTCAACTCTCTAATAATGTCTACATGTATTAAGAAGGTTTTATCGATGACTTAAGATCATCGTAATCGTAGCAGCAGCAAAATTTTGGAGATGCTACACCAAAAGACTACTATAGGGGTTGGGAGCTTCATCGAAGAGATCAATGAAAGTGAAAGAGTATGGGCACCTTTGGTGTAGCGAGTGTGTGCACTGTCAGAAATAAAAACTGAGGTTTGGATGAATGTTATCTTTTTCACCCCTAATCCGACACACGCGAATAGCAGAAGTTACGACCGAAAGAAAAGCTAGCCAGCCCGCTCTCCACAAATACCGCAGCTCGTAGTGGTAGGTGCCGAATGCGAAATTTGGCACAAGGGTGTGTAGTTGTTGTTGCCACTGATGCTACTACCACTGCTATTGCAGCCGGTACAGAAGAGGACGTTGCATTGACAAGTGTCTCAGTTTGTGTGCTATACTGCGCCCAAAGTATGCACTGACCACCCTTGGTAGGTGAGTTTTGAATTTCAATACAAGAAAATGGTAAAGGAATCCCTACTGCATTTAAGATTACACAATAGGTATAAGAAAACTTAGGACAAGATAGTTGTCTTTGAAAGCATGAATAGTAAAAATAATTTGGAGCATATTTATTAAATCCATAAAATCATTAAAATCGGAGATATAATTTGACAGAGCATAAGATATTCATAAATATGACGATGATAAGGAATGGAAGTTATCTTTGCCCAAACACTAGAAGCCGAGAGCATTTCATGAATTCATTTATTTTCCCCAGGAATGAATGTTTTTAAAAAATACTTGGAAATTTGAAACAAGTAAAATACCTGTAATACTTCGTTCAAGCGTTGATTAGCTGTACTCTTGAAAGTGTTAATTATTTAGTAAACTAATGTGGACTAAAATTTGTTTTTAGGAACAACTGGTTCCCCATTTATCAACAAAATTAACAAAAGTTAAATGCATTAATATCGCAGCACACCATTAGGGATTTCATTGACTACTCAATAATTTTATTATAAAAATACTATAACAAGTCATATTTACTATGTCAACACGGCACATATGCATTAAAAAGGCCTCTTAGCAATTCCCTGGATCACACCAAAAGTTATTCTGGAACGGTTCTCAGGATCGTGCGGCAGTGTATCAGGAATATTCGCAAAACCTTTGAAGATGTGATAAATTTAGTGAACAACTCAGTGTAAAAACGCCATTAAAAATGAGAAAACTGACCATGGATTCAGTTAGTTTCCTAGTAAGCCTACTGCTTAGTAGCGGTCAGATCAGATATGGTAAAGCATTTGTGCGCTATAGCTGTAAAAGAGGCCAGGCTAACCAGGTCTTAAAGTGATAAAAGTCATGCAATCTTGCTTAGATCACTGTGTAGGAGTGACACTTCACCGTATCTCTGTCCAGACACGGCATATTTGGCAGTCAATCGTTGTTAGTGAATGGCAATGCAAAAGAGTCAGTCGCCCTCAAAACGACAACCGAGTGCGTAATGAAGGTAAATGCTTGATTGGACGAGAAAGTGCTTATTCGAGCTGGAGCCTATTATTGCGTAAACTTAGGCACGGTGAATAACGCTTGGATATGAGAAACTTGGAAAACGAGTACTCTTACAATACAAACTAATAAGGACGTAGTCCATTTGAAGTTAATTAAAACTGCAGACAATGGTGTATTTCCATAACGGATTGGCTACACCGACAGGCACACATTGTTAGACATTTGGTTTGTCGATGGCTTCCACTAGGGAAACATGCGTCAAGTAAAGAAAAAAGGTGAATAGACGTCGAAAGTTGTACATAGACCAGATCAAAAGAGCAGATGTAAATCGGCTGAGATTTACACCACTTTATATCACACAACCAATATTACAGAGAATCAGACAGACAACCAAACTTAACCTATTCCTTAGAATTTAGCACTAAATGGGAGCATTTAATGTGAATTATCAACCGTATTCGAACTATTTATAAGAATGTCAAAAAATCATCACACGATTGAATATTTTCATGCAGAAAAAGCATGGAAGCACCTGAACTGTAAACGACTTCATCCATCATGGTTGAATATTTGTCGATTTAGCAACAAATCAACAGTTTTTCAAATCGCCTGTTGTCAACTTTCCTTTAACCCACACCACAATCATGAAGCCTACTCTGACATTTAGTGAAATTTTAATAGGTTAAATATGAAGATACACAATAAAACATGGGTGTACCAAGCTGATCACTTGGTTTGAGGTGCTTATTCCAATCGGTACTCCCCCATTTCAGGTCTTGAACTGTGCGTTTTCAAAAGGATTGAAGACATATTGGCTGCTTTCGTATGCAGATATGTGTATGTGAATACTTAGTTAAATAGTCGACTTTGCATCAATGATGTGGTTGTAAAACCGCTTTTGGGACTGGTCATCTGAAACTCAATTTTTAAATAACAAACGTAAATTGTTGGTGCTAACAAAGGTATTTATAAACACCAGCCATGTTAAATTTAGTATTCCTTCACATAAAATCATTAAACGTTTTATTTTTAACAAAAAATCTAATTCACCTCTTCATCTTGGGGAAAGAGGTCATAAACACTAAGCAATAGAAATTGGACTACTGCCTCCTAAGCAAATGAAAGGCACATGTTGCTCAATTTACGCAGACTCTATCTCCGCTGCATTTGATCTCATACTTTCATCAATGTGGTTTTTAGTGGTAAATAAACGCTGAAAGTGTCAACACGTGAACTCGGCTCCAAACGGATTCATTATGGACCCTTCATAAATTACCTGATCGAGTAGACAGACAAAGGAGTGGACCCAGAGTTTTTGCAGCCCATGGGTCGAGATAGTGGCATCCTTACTGTCGTCATCACCAGTGGTGACAAAGGTGGAAGTAGCAAAGAGAGCGATCTGAGCGGAAAGTGACACTTGGACGGGGTCAAGGTCACCACTTCTAGGCAGGTATCGCATCAACGCAATCCGCTGGTGGCTTTCACCTCGCCAGAACCCCTCCGTCTCCTCCCCTTCCGACGTCTCTGTCTCAAAAAGTGCCAGGAGTTCAACCATCAGCTGTCGCAGTACCGAGGTCCCGCTTCCGTTTATATGAACTCCAAGACTGTAATTCACGTGGCTGAGGATCTATCAATCGAGGTGAATGAGATACATACTCAACATGTCTTAAGAGGTGCTCTACTTATAAAAAATGGGTTCCAAGACCAAATGAAATTTTCGTGAAGGATTCTTCATACAAAACTGATTGATTAAATGCAAAGAATATTTCAAAATCACTCTCTAATGGCTACCATGATTTTTGCGAAATTCGATGTCTTGAGTCCGCGATTTGCATTTCACTGTAGTAATCGCAAGTGCAGCCTAACATTATTTTTGCGGCTGTCATGTTTTCTTACTTTATTTTCATGAAGCTAATCAATGTGATTTGTATTCATTTACAAAGGAATCCTTATTTTTTGTAAGAAACCGTGAATCTAGCAGATTCCAACTTCGAATTTTATAAACACTTTGCCCCACAAATTCCGCTCGAAAGGCAAAACTGTCAACAATAGTGAAGGTACTGGCATATTATTTGAAGGACAAATTGTACATTCTTATTACAAATGAGCACACTATTGTTTTATCGTGTGGCATGGAAAGTTCTGAAAGCTATGGGAACAATTGATAGGGTACGACGTAGCTTTGACTCGGTAGTCGAGTAATGTGGGAAAAGAAAGTCGATAACGTAGTCCAGAGAAATTTCAAGATGACTTTGTCAAAGCATAGTTTGAATAATAAGGAAAACTTGCCGAATTAAAGAAACCCATAAATTCGAATGTTCCATCTTTTTATCACAATAAAAAAGTGAACACAACGATGGCGTTGTATTTCCTACTTCGCAAATTCTACTTTCTTTCCACGAAATTGAAATAAAGAATCAACCCAACTGGTGCTTCAAAATATTGCTTTGACTCACCTTAAAAAAGCAAACCCCACTTTGGAAGAAGTGGCTGTAATACTCACACTTCAAACAGCTTGGAAATTATTCAGCAAATAATAATCAGCAACTCCAACTTCAACGCCGTTTTACGACCATTTCGAAAACAGAGTAGGTACACATCGTACGCAAATGATAGCTTATAAACAGGAGTTTAAAAACACTTTGGTGCCAAATCAAGGTTCAGTTTTATTTAAGTGCCAAGTAGAATCAGCGAGCTATTCAAGACCGAAGAAGAATTGATGGCCGGGTAACAGCTAGGACGAGTTTCTAATCAACAATCATGCAAAAAACGTTAATAACGTAAACTCACTTTATAGACAACAGGAAACAGAGCAGTTGAGTTTTGGATGATAGGAAATCGCATAAGTTCCACCAGAAAATCAATCGGTCGTGTTAACAACAACAGATCGGCGTCAATTAGGAACTAAAGATACAATAAAATTTGTGAAAATGCTCTACTTAAGCATTCAAAGTAACAATATACAAAAGAAGTACTTCTTTGGAAACGGTATTTGCTGCCCTGGGGTCGCGCCACGGTTTCTCAAGCGTAGAAATTGGTTTTAAGTCTGATAGTCCGGGTCCAGCGGCAAGGCGATTGAAAAATTTGCGCAAATAACACCGGAATTTCAAGTCTTCGGGCGCAAGCGGAGTAGAACATTCATCGGGCTTCTCGTGCAGACAAGCCAGGATGTCAGCCTTGACCTCTGGCGTAAGAAGTGACACCAACTCCTTCAGTAGCTAAATATATGTATATATATAGCAAGGAAAAACTATATAAGCGGTGGCGTAAAGTAAATCAAATTGGCTAAGAGAAAGGAAGCTTTGGAATAGTTATACTACCAAAATACAATCTGCATCCTGTTCAAGGAATATGGTAAAAATAAACCGAGATGATCGCAAAACTGAACTACCTTACAAAATTCGCTAATACACTGATTAAACCAGCTCATAGAATACCAACTCACAATACATCGGGAAGGGATGGCAAGTAATGGGTTCTCAAACTCGAAAAGCTTCTAAATGCCGGATAATACCAAAGCATATATGACGATTGAAGAAATATTGCAACGAGTTGTAGGGGAAACAAAGTTTTTAGCGTCGTGAGAACCGATAGGGCTAATAAGAACCTTGATCAAACGAATAAACAGAGAAAATTTTCAGCAAGTTCCCACTCCAAAAGACGGCAAATCTAAGCCAATGTGATGGGAAAGGGTCGAATTGCACAAGTTAATGATCATTGACTAGAAACCTTGCATTTTCATTGGTGCTTTTATCCAAGTACTCAATGAATGTATTGAAACAGAACAAGTTGTACTGAATGAAAAAAGGTAGCAAATTTAACCTAAAAAAGTCACACACATCTTCGTGATGATTAATTGGTAAGTTCCGTCTACGTAGGTTGCCCAGTTTTCGAACGAGTGCCAGAGATACATCAGAGTCTTCTATCAGCTTGGAGACTTGCCGTAGCAGTCGAGGAAGAACTCTGAAAGGTGATCAATCGAATAACTCCAACGTTTTCTCCCCCGAATTCTAAAGCATAGCCATAGATCAAAATGCATTTTTTGTGATTTTTCAAACCAAGTTCGACCAAACTAAGTGAAGTTTTACTCTTTGGTCACCCAGAAATAGACATAGACGTGAAATGGATGATAAGCTCCATTCAAGGCAGTGTAATTTTATAACAAAATATGACTCACTTCGCAGCGCACAAAGCATCATCAAAAGTAGCGTTCTTCAGAAAAACCAAAGCAAAATCTAAAGTAATAAAAGACCATCAACCAGATTCGTCGCCAGGATGATGCAGAAACCATAGTAAGAACAGGTGACATGTTATGCCCAAGCAATTAAGTGACTTTCGCATTTACTAAGTTGAGTGAGAAATTTGGACTCAGGTGAAACTGTTTTAAAACTTATACATAGGCAAAATGCATAAATACATTCAGATTCTTACAATAAACGCAGAGACAGCTTCCGCTGTCACTACAAGCAATTCGTTATCCAGGCTTAAAATGGAGATGCGCATAATAACGTTCTGACAATCTCAATAACTGCTCACCTTTTACGAAAATACCACGGTCAATAGCCCATGCCATCAAATCAGCATGACACCATTCGAGATTGGTTAGGTGAGGAACAAGAAATCGTTGCAGGCACGCGAGGTCACGCACGGTGAGCCGTCTGTTCCACATGGAGGGAAATTGGTTTCCAAATTCTGGCAGACGAGGGAGGAGACGGCAAGCTCGAGCAAGATATAAGTTGTTAGCCAGGTTCATTCGAAGCCGCAAAGTTCGGTCTCGAAATTGGGGAACGAAATTCGATAAGTGTGGATGTTTTAAGCTAAATTTACCGCACACCCTGGAAATGAAAATGCTGAAATGCCTCAAAAATAATGAAGATTACTTATCTGTTAGTCAGCCCTATTTATTTCACAAAAAACATCTTAAGCTATAGATCGCACGGCTACTGAAGTGTGCCACCTGTAATATGAATATTCTTACTTGCAGGATTGGTGAATAAAGGAAAAGGCACCCATAAGGAAAAGTCCGAAATCGGTGGTTTTCATCATTTGACCTTCGTCATTAGGTTCCGATAGTTTTCCAAAAGACAACTCGTATATTAAATTCAGGTCGTTCAAATCATGACTAGTTGGTTGAGGGTTACAATTTGAGATACTGCTGAAACTTTAAAGGCACGTCTAAGAATGGGATAAAATTTGGTAAAATAGGAAGAAGGAAAAGCTTACAGATTACCCGTCAGTGAGAGGCTGCACAAAGCTTTATCTACAAGACGAAGAACAGAGACAAACACAATTTCCCATGAGCAGATTTCGGAGCTGACATATACGAAGTTTTCAGACATGAAGGGCCAGTTGAGAGGAGCAGAGGAAATTTGGCTTGCAAGAACGTTTGAAATGATTTGTGCAAGCAATTGCTGCGAAGGAAGGGCAAAACATTCGCACCAAGACAGCAAGCAGAGTTGAGCAAGAAGGATTTCCGTTTTCTCACTTCGCGGTACGCTAAGAAGATGGGTAAGGAAGCCACCGAAAAATTTCTCCAGTGGTAATAATGAGGTTTCACCGAGTTTTGACACTAATTCAGACTAAAAAAGTGATGTGGAGTCGTCAGTGAATGCATAGTGGTGACCGTAATTACATTACATGGTGAATTATGTTAATTTTGTACCAGTTATTGAAAACAAACGCACATCAAAAAATATATCCATTATGGGCAGATTTTCCATGAACGAGAACAGAGAACTAAGCGGAATCTCTAAGCCGGTTGAAAGCCTCACAGATTCTGAAAGGCAGTGCGTCGTCAAGACAGTGTTAAGACAACGGACAGAAAGAATTCGTAATTCTTCATCACCAAATTCACTTAGGCGTCGAATACACTCTTCTCCAAATACTTCACATGGACATACATCGGCCACTTTGGCCTAAAACGAATTCACGTCATGTACGAGTTGGCATACATTAAAAAGTATGGAAAAGTCCGAAGGCATAGTCCCATCCATGGTATTTTGATTTAAAGGAAGAGGTATCTCATAAATAGAGAACCGATGATATCGAGTACCTCGTACTTCCGGAATGAATAAGAAAATATTACCAACCCTATGAAGAGAAATGCTAGGGCTGACAAATGAAGAAGTAGCCAATTAAAACCAGAATTCAAAACTTTTACAAGGCCACTGAAATCACACTTTTGGTCAAAGTTTCAAGTACAAAATATTTTTCTCGCAACAAATACCCAAGCTTTCCACTTGGTGATTTAAACTTTTACAAATTTCTTGGTATTTTGAATAAAAAGTTAATTATTTGATCCGACAGAACTCTCTTATTAATTCGATTCGTTAGCCCATTCCACATTGATATAATCGTGTATGACATGGTGGTGTAGAACCACAGTAAGCTGTTCGCCTGATTTAGACCGGTATTTTCTGGAGTTTCTTTGCTGATTTGTTATAATTAATGTATATTTGGCACGACATGTGTACTTGGCAGCCAACCGTCAGTTAGGTCACGTTCTTATAGGCTAAGTTAAAGTACAGCCGGCAATGATGAATAAACCACTCTTGTTACCAGAGGTTTTCTTATTAATTTACTGTAACGTAAATGATTACCCGTTACATAGCAATGTTTAATTTGTGATTTGAGTGTTTACCACTTCACAAACTCAGTTGAATAGAATTTTGTAAATTCGCAGTCAAGTCCGTGTAATAGAAGTAGGATGTTGACTATGCATTACGGTTCCCTCCGTAACCGATAAGGTACTAGAACAACTATGCAGGCTGGTCAAATTAATATTGCTGTTACCATGCAGTCACCAAACGGGCAGCTTCTTCACAGTGTACGTGATAGCACTAAAATTGCAGGGCAGCGGCACTACATCTCGCAGTCATTGCTCTCACCATCTTTCCTAGGGTGTTAATCATTCTCACCCTGAACGGGTCCAACAAATGTCCTTTCAAAAGAGTGCAAGCAATTTCAAAAAGGGATTTGCCGCTGCGTAAGTTCATAAGTGTCAGGCTTTCATCCATTACTAGGGGCGTTTTGATGGGCCTGAGTTTCCTTGGGTTCTTTGCTTCAATCAAGTACACGGAACGCCTCCAACGGGAGCACTGGCGGAAGAAACGTGAAATACTACGCCAGAGGGAAACATCCGAACGTGGCTCGTGACTTCAACTGTGGTCCTTCTTCACTGTTTTGTAGCAGATCACCTCTGCTTTTCAGAATTGTGGGATGGAAAGTCCTACTAATAAATGCACATAGTGAGCCCGTGTTTTGCCTGAACAAAAGTGCGTACCCAACCCTGTCAATATTTCCTGCGGGCTCTAACAGCGTAATTGGGAACAAGTGCTTCAACATTCCGTGCTACAAACGCGAAATAGCAAGCACTAACTACTTGGTACCACGGCGAAAAATTACTTACGATTAATTAGCTTCTAATGCCTGCAAGTTCAACAAATCAAGTTTTATTAACAGACGCAACAACTGCTTAAATGACAAACCGTGACACTACGCGAAGCATATTGTATCAAGTCCGAAATTTTGCAGTTTTTACCAGCATCACAGTGTGCAAAAATACGCAGATGTCCGTTAACTTAAAATAATGCGGTTCAGAAGGGCCGCAGTGTTTCGGGCGTCGGCGATGCCACTGTGAGGTCGACCCCTGAAGGTGAGTCCAGCAGCATTTAGCGCATCCTGGAGACAGCCCTGGAACCCCTGCTTTGGCCCTATTTGACCAGCTGCACACCATTGCTACAACAAATTCATGGATATATTTTATAGCCTACCTTAAACACGGCCTTTAAATCGATTCTAGTAAGTAAATCCACCGGAAAAGACAGTTGTTTTCGTTGGCACTCATTCCAAAGGCATGTGCGAATGTCCCAGTCTACTGTTCCACAATCACAAGTCAAGCTCACCAGTCCAGGTGACGAAGACAGCAGCGTTTGGACTATCCAACTTAAAGGCGCAATTAAGTTCTTTTTTCTTTAGTTTTAGCCAGTTTTCGAACTCCTTCAAAACATGCCGCAAGTCAGTAGATGTATCCACAGTTCGCTGGAAAGTGGTTCCCATAGGAGTTATAGCAAACCTGGGAGATCCCAGTTAGTTTTTTGCAGAAATCGCTGAGTATGGGACTTTCAGTCGGTCGAACGTATCGATGAAATTCCTCAATGATCTGTCCGGTTTCCGCCCGAACTACCACCACAGGGAACTCAACTGGACCATACACGTGCCATTCCCAACTTACTTATTTCCGCCTTAGTGTCAGATTTTGGTTTTATGTCACACGTGGATTCAAAATCTAAAACAAAGTACCAGTGTACTACAAGCTGGGTAAAATGAACCAAATCACTTTGATCTGTCTTCGAAGATAAAATAGCAGGAGGCACAACATGATGTACACAACCAAGAGATCTAAAATATGGGAGCGTTATTCACTTGACTAATACTCTGCAAGTCTCAAAGTTTGTTCCATTGATCTAAAACTGATAAAGTTACATGGATTTGACGCGTACTTAATTCAGTCCCTGGTCCTGCGGAGAACCACATCCAAGTCCAGAAGGTCAAGTGTTTTAACTGCCCGCTAGAGTTGGCCAATGGTTTATCAGTATAGGCAACTAGTAAAACGACCTCGAATTACTATGTGCATGGAAGGAATTGAAGAATATCTAGCGCCATCAACCGAATTTGTCCTAAACAGATGGTACTTAGGTAAATGATTATATGCTTCTAAAGGGATACTACAAAGGACTAGGAGATAATTACACGTAATTATACTGAAGCATATGTAGGGCAATACTCGTTGATTTCCTCTTCCCTAGTCTTCGTACTCTTAGAACACCTAGCTCCATTCGACTTAGACATGTTTATTCGGTTAAGTGGAAAGGAGAATAAAGTACAAGTTCAGGGGTTATGGACGCTGAAGCTACCTCCTGGTTACTCGACATTTAATTAGCGTCCCGAGACTACCTGAAGACGAAAGAAGACACAATACTCGGGCGGAATATATATTCAGCACGGAGAAGGTGTCTGGGCTATTGGCACGGCCCAAAAGGCCAGCCCACCCAGCGAGGTACAAGGGAGTTGATTCAAAGTTCAAAAGTGGCGCCTCACCAGAACCGAGGGGTAAACCACTATCGTATTACATTTACGCCTTATTCACGAGGTTCGACTCGTATGCCCGCCTCCTCTCTAAAGGAAACATTAAAACAACGTAAAAATTACAAATAGGCCACTCTACCGGATAAAAAACTTCCGTCTCTATTCATGAACTTAATAGGCACGTTTGATCGTAGGATGGGCAAGACCACGGAGTTGTACGTAGTCTACACATATGTGAGTCATCTAATACTTCCCTAGTTTATTGGAATGGAAATTTTCAAAACAATAGCTTTGATTAAGTCACGACTCTATTTAAAATACATTAGGAATGCTGATGGATAGCTAGATTTATTTGACTTTACCTTATCGAAACAAAGAATTCAAACGTATCAACCGCTCTGAAGAAGAGCTATCGTTTTTGCCTTTTGCGTGTCAAAAGCTACAGACCCGTTTTTTTTCGTTAAAACGCTACGAAGTGGATTGTGCCGCATTATCGTTCCAATGTCGACTTCGGTTTTTTATCCTACCAAATATATGCATAACGGGTTCAGATAGATTATGAAAGGCAATGATTAGTTTCTTCCGTCCAATTTTGCAAAATAAATTCGCCACCTTTGTCGGTAGTCTTTGGGCAGTATATATTACTTAGGTTGCTATGGGAATGTGTTAGAGGTTCTCAAATGGGAACCCATTGGCTCTCCTAACCTATTTCAGTGTGGTTTCATCACTTCATCTACTTCCGACTGGAGTCTCATGGGAATGCAGACATTCCAATGAGATCTGTCCAGCTCCTCGTATTTTATTCGCAATTTAAAATTGCTTTAGTTGTAAAACAATGACTGTCAGTTTTTTTGCAATGCTGATATTTTTCGTGATCCTATAATGTCCCTTCCCGGCTTGATGTTTGGTTTTGTCTGTTTTTAAAGTGCTCTTGTTTTGTGCGTTTATATTTTGATAATCTTGAACTTCCCCGTAAGTGTTCACTTCCGTTGCCTTGCTGCTCATTCCTAGTGAAATTGCCTATCCTAAACTTTTGTAAGAAATACTGGTATTACTATCAAAATGAACTTATCACTAACTCTAAAATGGCGTTACGTAGGTGAAAGTGCTTTCAAACATAGCATATCCCCATTTCTATAAGAGTAAGTCACAATGTATCCATCACTGAAATGCAAAATGGGATTTATTTCGGTTATAGCCTAAAAGGTGTGCGAGGGTCACTATGCCTATTGTGATTTCACTTATTTACAAATCCCTAAGTGACTATTTGTGCGCTATTTACACATATGTCAAATATGTCGAAACTCTAGATCCATTAGAAGTGCCAATAGGGATTAGTGACATTACAGTTACGTATCTCTTTCATTTACATGGAAAGCCAATCACTGGCACGGTTGGCTCGTGGGTGTTTCCTTATAGTACCCCTTGTGTTGTGAGGACCGACGCCAGAGGTCGACCAAGGGGAGCATTGGGGAATGACAATCAAATGGGGGAGATGCTATGTAATACGTGGGTTGATTAATTCTAAGTTTTGATAAAGGGGCCATTTTGGGTCTTCAGCATTGTAGCTCTGCGGGTTGGCCTAGCCTTCGTACCATGCCAGTGGCTCTAAGGCCTACTACATGTCGAATACATACATATATATGTATATTCTGCCCAAGTATAATGCTTCCTTTCGTTTTCAGGTAAGTTTAGGGCGCTACATTACTACTTCTAAAGTCACAAGTATTTACTGGTTTTTAACCGTGAAACAAGTGAAGAGGTTGCATTAGCTTATTTAATGGGCGGTACAACTAATCACAGTTTTTTGTGCAAATGGAAAGAGGGAGTCTACCGGGTTCGCAAGTGGCCTAGTTCTTCTTCATTGTTTCAGAAATCCAATCCGCAAATCTGACCACTCGTGTGAAAACGGCGGGATAACTCTGCGGTTTTTTAGCATGAATAGCAGATGTTACACCCGCAAGTAACCGCTCTCCTTCGAATTCACAAACCAGGGGGCCTCCACTATCACCCTAAAAGAGAGCAATATAAACAGACAACCTTATTACAATTGCCATCAACATCATTCGAAAGGCAAGCACTCAAACCTTAATCACTACTCTTCCTCATAAGTTTACACCAGAAATAGGAAAAAGCCTGACTGGCTTGGAGAGAGTCATTTGATCAGTCTGTATTGTGATCCATCACCAAAGCCCCTTTACACCAGCAGATGTGTAACTGACGTGACGCCTCGTTCAGACTGTGATTGGTGTCAACATTTGGGTTACCTTGATGTAGAATTCGTCTATTTTGGTGGAAATTTTGAGTGATAAAGTTTTGACAACAATATGACCCTGATTAGGACAGGACATCAGCAAGTGTAATTTAGTAGATGGTTTCTCACTAATATTTGTCCAAGGGATAGGACCAGCAAGCACTAGTTCCGTCATCTTTGTCAGCATTAAAAACGAGAAGAGTAAGCTTCAGAGGTGTGTTCTTATAGGTTTTATGTGTTTATTACTGAGTACTGGACATGCGGCTGAAGCAGGGTAAGAAAGTACAAAAAGAGTGTTTATTTGTCTAAAGAAATAAGATAAAACAAAAGCGAATTTATGATCCCGGAAATGAATGAAATACTTGGAAACCATTTAATCGAAATAATGCTTTACTTTCGCTTGTTAAATTCATTTTCATGCTTAGATGATCACTAATGGGTTTATTTCCACAAGAGTTTTGGTTTTGTGGACTCGCTTACTACCTCTAGCACCGTTTTTCAAAACAAGGTTACTCTTTTGATATGATTATTTTTAAGTGGTGGTTTTTAATAAATTGACTATACATCAATGCGCCACTGCCATATCCAGTTTTTTTTTGGCGTTGTTAGTCACTTTAAAAAGCATTTCAGGAACTAATAATCACTGCCAATTATAAGAGAAAAGAAACGAATCGTCAGACATTTCACAGCAACAGTAAGAATTTCAGTCGTCGGTAGATAGATATCAATCAGCTAGCAGTGAAATCAACAGGGAATTAGAGCTTGGATACGGCTGTTGGCAGCAAATAAATATACATTTCCCACCATGTAAAGATTCGTATACTACGCAAAGTGTATATCCCATGTCGCCAATGAAGCTGCTATTACGAAAGTGGAAACTTGTTGAACCATATTTGCATCTTCAGTCAGCTACTTTAAAGAGTTGAATAGCTCCACAAACGTTTGATCACATTTTGCAATGTGAAGTACTCACTGAGCAAACGCCCACATTCTTCTTGAAGTACCCGGCGCAGAACTCACTGCTCTCGGTCAGGTTAATCGAGACCTTGTACATACTTCTGCACTTGTTCGGGTCAATGATTGGCATGTTGACCACTCTCATGTACATCTCCGGCGGACAGTTAATGCAGGCGCTTCCCCAACCAACCGCGGAACAATTCTGCACAGGTGAAAATGCAAAAGGAATGAAGCAATATAGAAATGTGCAATGAGATTCCTATCAAGTATGGTCGATTATGCTCTAAACCAAGAGCGTGACAGTTTCATTTCAATCTACAAAGAGTGTTGTTTTCCGTCTCACTGGCATGCCTGTCCTCCTTCGTAATGCTGTCGTGCACCTAAAGCCAATTGTGGACAGTGGCAAAACATAATGAGTATTTAATTCATGTGTCGAAGCTGTAGACACGATAAAAAGCACTGACTCTTAACTGATGCCTAGAATATGAATATTAAGCATACCAATCACCTATGCTTCGTTAGAAATGTCGGTACAATGCAGTCAAAACTGTGAAGATGCAAAATACTTCGCTGCGGAATATTTATCACAGCACAAACAAGAATGAGAATCCGACTCCTTTCGTTCTATGCATCATCTTACCTGCCCTGTTTTAGGCCAAATTTTGCCTACTATATGAGGATTTGGAAGAGCTAGAAGGTCCAACGATTTCATTCGATGTACGAGAACATGCTCCTTCAGTTTCAACAAGGCGATATCGTTCTCGAGAAAGCCTGGAGCAATTTTTAAAATGGAATTATCTAGTGGTAGCTTTCCAACTGGCATAATCATTAGCAAGTTTTATAAAACGAATCATTTTGGATATATTATATGCCTCAATTAGTAAAGGAACCATTTTATTGATAACAATCTTGATATCTGTGCGTAAAATGCTAAAAATTCCACTGACAATATGCTGAAATTAGCCTACTTACCCTCCACATAATCTGGATGAAGAATTATTTTCGCTAGGTGGTAGAAAGTCTGTGGCTTCCTGTATCCAAATAGCGTATTGAAAGCCCGATGGAAGAAGCCTTTCATGCGATCTATCACTGAAGGCTACGTAATAAAGGGAGTGAACATAGTACCATTCCTTAACCTCTCCATGATATTCACCAAGTCATCATATCAAGAGGTATGAGGACTGACGCTAAGAGGTAATAGATTAGTAAGCATAAAAATATATTCCCTGTTAATTAAAACTCAGTATTATATACACTGTTTGAGTATTAAGAAGTTCAAAGCATTTTTAAACAATACTTGAGTTATTTACTAATAATCTTTGCAAGATTTTCGATAGATTTCACAGTCTACTTATTTGACGTGCCCAATTTGTTGGTAGAGGAACCACTCACCCTAAGCTTATCCGTGGCCATTCTTACGTGCCAAGCCTTGGGGTTCAGAAGACTAAAGTAATAAAAAGGCAGCTAATTTACTACCTTCTGTTCCAATAAACCACCATATTAAACAGAAAAGTGGATTTTTAAAGCCAATGGAAGCGCTGTTTTCTAAAACCCTTCTCCATTACCTTCTCATTCATTGCTGGACTAAACTGTCATATGAAACGTGAGGAGAAAAGTAATTCGTACTGTTGTATGCATTTATAAAATTCGCACTGGAAATAATCAAAGAGGACTGTTAGGGATCAAAATGTTGTGTTGAAATAATTTCCCCATAGTGCACTAAGAACTGCATACAAAAAGTAAATACAAGCTTCGAATGAGTCACTACAAATCTGCTTTTTAAATTTTTGACTGATAATATATCTCGCCTAAAATTTTAATAGCAAACATAGTCACAAAACCTGCGTTACTCTTCGTGGTATACTGTCATCAATTTATTGAGTTTTAAAGGGCAGCGAAGGGACTATCAACGGCCTACACCGATGTGTCCAATTCCACCCCGGGTGATGCCTTTCAAACAAATGAATAAGTGGAAAAATGGACGGGACTTACGACACCTGCTTCCCATCGTCAGTGTAGGCGAACATGCAATGGGCGGCGGTCAGAATCCACCTTGGAGAAATCAGAGTGCCCCCACAAAAGTGCTCCACCCCACCGAAGATGCGCGAATAGATGTCGTTGCTCAGTTTGGCCTGAATGGACACGATGAAGGGGAACTCGTCCATTTCTGCTAACTCGCCGTTTATTATCCGACGAGTGCGGTGCAGCACCTCGTCGGGCTGGGACACTGAACACGCATATCAATAAAACGAATATTTTCCTATTATTAAATCATGCTCACAAACCTACTTCCTTGAAAGGTAAGGTAATTTTAGGGCACGAGAGATGTATGAGGAAGTAGACAAATATCACCATCGTGCATAAAAGAGTGCTTTCAAAATCCATGCTTACATATTGTAAGCAGATCTGATTGACGCTCCCAATACAAAGGTAAGTAACCCGTCTCCATACGAAAAATTTGCCTGCACAATTTCCACAAAAGGTAATCTGTGGATTATCTTTCCAAGAACGACGTGGTGTGAGTGTGTCACTGCTAGAAATACGAGTAGGTCCAACCAACGCAAGGCTTAAGCTGAATGTCAATTTTCCCATCAGTAATGCCTTCATTTTGATAGTTGCTAAGACTCGAATGTATAACCTAGTTGAGACTTTATATTAAATTCCATTGTATCTGAGACTGGGGATGCTCTCACCTACAAAGCTTTGTCAGATCACCATAGAGTCAAACGAGCTTAAGCCTATATAATACCGCCACTGAAAACCGTTACCATCATTAACTATTTGAAAGGTTCATCTCCCCTTGATGACAGCTTTATTTGTAACTAAGAGTGCAAATTTTGTAACCGAAGGGCTGATCTCCCAACTGAACCTTTGTTTGCGAAAACATGCTCTATCCTGAAACAATGTTTACAAGATGACCTGAGCTGAGGAATTATGATTAAACCTGATTTAACCGATTATTTACGCAGCCTCCGCAAAACGACAACCATCTGAAGCCCATTAATGTGGTAACATCTTAGAGAAGCCTTGAAGATAGTGAATATGATTGCTTTCACGAAGTGGCAAATGAGCGAAAATTGAGGATTGTTCTCTTGAACTTGAAGATGTATATAAAGCGTGATCCAGCAAGTTAATTTTTCAACAACGCTTGACAAACGACCGCACACAAAGCTTTCCTTCCCATCAGAAATGCAAGATATAACTAACATTTTTGAGAATAGTAGAAAAAGAATGTGGTCAACTGCAAAATCGTAGTGACCAAATTGACCCTATGCATTACGGTTCTGTTATTACTACTAACTGTTAGTGCCCGAAATAATTTCATTCTACTTTGATATTCCCACGACAAAGGTTAATAGAAATGGGCTTTTTTAGACAATTTCGTGCAGAAATGGCAATTGCAACCGGAAGGGAAACAGTGAATAACTTCCGGATTTATAATCGTTCTGAGAAGTACTACTGTTTAAGATGGACTTAGCATGCCGTTTATGGTTTTTGTTGCTTTCATAAATGTCCGTATGGTCATGGTACGGACGTCCTCGCAGTGTTAGTCTTAGCGCCAACTGTAGTTCCGAGGAGTGGGGGTAACGCTCCTTGGAGAAAAATCGTGGAAATGTGAATTAAACACTGAATCACTAGTCATTTCAAAATTTAAACGTCACTCACAGTCCAATTGTGAACTCCACCCAGCTTTACGCAAAACCACGGAAAGAGAAACAATTCCTTACCGTCTGTGAATTAACCGGAAAACTAAAACAGCAATTGGGAAGGACACTTTTGCTAACGCAGATGAAATCATGATTGCGCCTAGTGATTTTTTTTAAAAATCTTATGTAACCCGATGCTTACAAGGGTTTTTAAATCTCGTTATATGAAGTTTACACATTTTACGGTCGAGAACTTGGGAAAAAATAGCCCTTTTTATTGAAGCCAAGTAAGAATGTCCAAAAGTGTACTATTGTCCTCGAATAGACATCTTCCTACTACCTAGCTTCCCGGATAAACTTAAGATGAGTTGAATCCATGACTTAACATCTTTCTTCTCGATACGCAACACTATCACCACAATTCTATGATCGCCATGTCTGCCCCCGTGACGCCACAGCGCACTTACAAAACTGCTAAAGTGCACATGCAATTGGTTGGAGTTGAGGCCAGTCCCGAAAAATCCATATAGTATTTCATTTAGTAAACTAGATTTATCCGTATTTATGCCCTAATGGCTCTGAATGCACTTAACTGCGGGGATAGTGACAATGTGATCAGTCGCGGCAAGTTTGACACCACCGAGCTCACACTTGCGGCGTGCCCACTAAAGCGTATTCGTCAAGCATTTCACTCATTACATGGGTAGGCAAGTCGACGATATAATCCAGGCTTTCACCGTGCGCTTTTACTAACCAAACAGTAGAGAAACGATGGATGGGTGTGAGCACTGCGTCACTGTTGAGATGGTGTTTGGTGGAATCGCGTGCGGTTTGCTGAAAGTTGTACTAGAGCACTCTTAGGTGGCAGTTATTATGTTCCAGGCAAACTGCACATGCAACGACAGTGAAGCACCAAGGTCTGTCATTTTACTAATTCCTAATTTTCCAGTCGGTTCAAATACGGCCCGTGGAGCCCTGTGAGTACAAACTCTCTTCGTTAAATGCACTAGGGCAAAGGCCCAGGTCATAAACTGAATGATGACCCAGGGGCCGGGCTTTATTCCTCACTTATCCAGTTAGTTCGAAAAGCAAGTTCATTACGTGATGACAGTCCTACCGAAACCTAGTCGCTTGTGTGGACTACCCCCTGACTTTTCACATTTCAAAATGTGAAGCTACTGCGTTTTTCCCACCTAATTCAATGTAGGCCGTGGGTAACGCTGTAAGTGCATTACGTACAGTTAATGGTCTTGTCAATTATCACCTTTTCTATCCCCTCATCGAAGTAAAATGGATGGAACATTACGTGGACGCAGCATGAGAAATTCCCTCAACTTTTACTAGAATTCACTAGAGCCAAGTTACACAGCTAAATCAAAGCAAAAAAATTACACGCCTCTAGACGTCCGTAAACTATGCAATATAGACTACATCCGACACTTAAGAAAGTACGTACAAGGAACTCCTCCAAAAACATCTTGTCCGAGGAACAGCAGGCCTAACCATAAAAAACACGAGCCTCGAAGACGCATCCTCCGGCGCAAATGAAGATTCTACGCATCGGTACCGTTTATAGGCCTACGATGTTCACTTGCCGACCAATCAGTGACCGGACAGCACACAAACACTGCACCCGCGCGTGCATTAACCCAACTTTGCATTGTGACCGGTTCAAAAAATTCAGCAGTTTCACTTTTTAAAATACTCGATTACAAAGCACAGAAGCCACAAGGAGCCTCTTTTAGTTCAGTTCCATTCAACCATGGAGTGCAAGACTTAAAAACATGACAAAAGATAATTTCCTGCACAAGTAAGCGCCCTCAAACGTACCACATCACAGAAGCCAAGCCTAATGCTAATGAAGCATACGAGATGTAATGAAGAATACTACGTAGAAATACGGAGTCTATAAACTCTCAGAGTGAAGTTTGTAGGAAATTTCGAGATTCTGTAGGGCAGCAGCGGTGGCGTCAAGATCTTGTCGCACCTGGAGAAATCGATCGATCAGACGCTGAGGAAAAACTCCAATGAAGGGAGACAACTCATTCCAGTAAACGGAAGAAGAGGACACTGGAGCTTTACTGAGCTGTTTCTCGTCATCCTCAGGACATTCAAGTTGATGGAGGGCCTTATTCAGCAAATCGAACCTAAATGAAGTTAGACAGAACAATTCAAACGTTTCCCTAACGTTTAATATTGTGGATATTTCCTCTTCCGTCGGTAGATAAACAGGGTAAAAGGCTTGACCTTCCATAATCCGGGCACTCAGGATGGTAATTAAAATAGGAAGCAATTCAAGTAGATTACTGGATACCGACGTAAAAATGTCTTTAAGACATTTAAATATGCACTCAAGTGCTCTTTTCTGCTGAAAGCACCAATAATTAACAAATTAAGAAAAAGTTGGGCTGGAAAAATCACGGCTGCGTATGAAGAGAAAAAGCGGAGGACAAACTAGTACAAATAAAATGACATTTTAACTCGGCCGATGACGGCAGAACACCAATGAGCTACGACAATTCGCATTTTACCAGCTTGAACTACAAAGAGATAAGGCTATCTTTGGTATTGCTCTGTAAACACATGGACATTTACGTTAAAAACTTACACTTCGTGCGTGATACGAGCAAACTCCTTCAATGAGGATAGGGAAGTGGCACTTTTGCTATCCGAGGCTGAAACTCGTTTATCCAAATGACTCAATACATGTGCATTTAACTCCTCATCCGAACCGTCGAAGACTCCAGCAGAACCTACATAAATAAACACTAGTGCTCAATAGATGCTCATCAGTTTGGGAAATGCTAAGGAAAACTAACGTCCAAATAGGCTAATCAGAACCGCTCTCAATTCCGAATCAATAGCGCTGAAATCAGGAGAGGTGGCACAAATATTCTCCTTTTCCTCAGATTCGTTTTCCGATTTAAGTCGCGCCTTTACCTAAAACAGTGAGGATTTACTATTGATTTGGAAAGTTGTGAAGTAGCAAACCACGATGCAGTTTATGGAATTGTGGTGCATCACCTTAAGAATGCGCAAACGTCAACTGTTGTGGTAGTACAAAGAGTAGTGAAAAGCAAATATTGAAGGGCCCATAATATTCCCAAATCGAAACTATATTGGTAGCTTACATGAAGATTTAGTCACTCACTCACCCTAAGTTCTCAATTTAATACAATAGCATACTTGCAAGCATTCAGTTCGTATCATAACTGGTGAGCAGTTTGGAATCGGGTACAGAGAGCTTACGTCAGTCGTTATGTCCAAATACTTTCGGAGAGCGGCATAAATCTTATCAAGGCATTGAGTCAATTCGGCAAGGGCACTATCTTCCAAAGCCAAAATGTCACAAAAGATCTCCAACTTTGAGCAGTTCAACCTGGCCTCCATAATTTGCTGGGTGTAAGAGAGAGAAATGAAAACAGTGATAATAGTGCGTGCAATACAAGTGCATAACTCACGCGATCCTGCGCATTAAGATGAGACGTCTGACGGGCTTTTCGGTATTCAAACATCAATCGACTTGCTTCCAGCGTGTCATTGCATGCGAGTTCCTTGAGAGATTTTAAACACGCCTTCTTCAGATAATCACATTGCCGGTCGAGGTTTTCAACGACCTCCTGAACGCTTTAAGTGATATGACATTATATTTCCCATAATCCACGTAAAAGCAAAACCGACAACAATTGAATGCAAAGCCGAAAAATACAAAACTAATGGTTGTGAAGAATAGTAAAACGACGTGTGGAACAGACATCACCTGCATAATACTGAAAAACAAATCCAAAACTGAAGCTAAAATGCCAAATCCCAGGTATTCAAAGACCAAAAAAACATGTGAGGTAACCACATCCATACAAGGAAAAAAGCGGCAGCTATGGATGGTAAAATTGAGAAAAGCAGTTAGTGGTGTCAACTACTCTGAGCTGACAAAGATACTGCTAAGAAGTAAAACACGTTGAACTCATGATGTAAATGCCCTAGCTCGCCAACTCACGCCGTTTCATCAAGATCACTCAACACATCTTCTGTACAAGCGTTCAGGAAATTAATTTCAGCTTTGAGACCAGCTTCCTCTGTGAGAAGGTGCAACATGGTCAGGTCCGAAAGATACTTTGCATTTTCAAGACGAGCACATTCAGACTTTTCTGCACTTTTGCCATTAATGTCTGAATTTTTCATATCGGTAGATATGGCTGCGCTCCTTGACGAGGGTTTAAAATTTATCCACGTAGACTGGGAAGCAAAGTGTTTGACTACATTTAATGCCAATGACAAAAGTTGAGAAGCATGTTTAACATGCTCATGATGCAAAAAATGAGTAAATCAAGCAAAAAGAACGATCAACAGTGAAAAATCTAGGCAACAAAAATCCAATACGAGAAACCAAATAATGTCTGGAATAACCAAATCCAATAAGAGGTCAAAGATGTAGCATCCCACCGAGATTCCAGGATCATCGATGAGAAGCCTGCTACGATCACAAACCTTCGGGACCAGATCTTCACAACTTTCGGCACAAAGTAGACGACCACACTTATATGAACAATCATTCGGGCGATCGACATGAGAGACTTCAGAAAACTGTTTAAGATAGCTGCCACAAAGCAGTGCATTCATACCAATCTAGCAATCCGGCGGTAAGAATAAGCGTAGCAGTACCTTTCTATCAAAAACTTGACATTTATCAGCATCTTCTTGTAGCCGCTTTGAAAGAACCACCTCTAGAACCTGCTCGACACTGTTACGCGAATACGGAAAGGTCATATCATCGAAAGCTCGGGCAAACCACCAATTCCCCATGCATTAAAACAAACGTAAAAGAATAAAATATTATTATTAAAATGCAGGACAATTAGATTTAAAAAATGTCAACAATCGTAAAGAAAACATTAGGCTGTGTGGACATTCAAATCTGCACATTTCAGGAGTTAGATATCGCGATATATTGATTTATTTGGCAAATGAATTATCTGCGAATAAGAATTTATGCAAACTTATCAAAGCAAAAGAATTCGAATTAGAAGCCTAATGCTTTTGAATTCAGGCAAACTTATGCGATGCCTATGCAGGTCTTGAATGGAACCTAAACAAATGCCCCTATCTCCTTTTCTAAGTTGATGTTAAGTGCAAATTTCGGCGTCGCGCATCTAAAAAATAACTTCCTAAAGAGCAAATAGAAGCAATCCTAAAGGCATTTGATGGGTCAAAAGTTCTTCTGATTAATTACTGGGGATAGTAACCTGTAATACGATAGTGGTTTATCCCTTGGTTCTGGTGAGGCGCCACTTTTGGACTTTGAATTAGTCCCCTTGTACCTCGCTGGGTGGGGCTGACCTTTTGGGCCATGCCAACAGCCCGGACACCTTCTCCGTGCTGAATATATGTATACATTCAGCCCGAGTATTGTGTCTTCTTTCGTCTTCAGGGAGTCTCGGGACGCTACAAACCAGCGCTGCTAAGAGGGCAATAAACGAGAAAACTAACTAGAAACACAACAGCTGAATCCTGGTGATCAGCAGGGGCTCTAGTTAGGGCATGAAGGGGCACGTTAGCAGATTGCGTGACCCTCTGCATAGGAGGCTTGGATTACGCGGTGAGACATGTTGAATCTATTTGGAGTGTGAAAGTCACCGTTAATGCAGAGAGGTCAGTGCAAGTGAAACCATAGATCTAGATTTTTAAGCTTCATTTAAGCACCAAAGATAATTACATGTGAGTCGTGCTGTACAGTTGTTAAAATTAACTCCTATTAATCGATTTGTTCATGAGACCAAATTCTGCTGAATTGATATACTGCAGTTTGCAGTAATTTGGCAAAAAAAATAGAATTTAGCCACGTTATTTAAGTTTTTGTGCTTAGCTAGCTTGAGTTATTTCGTTTTTAACCCAGATTTTTTTGTTGCAAGCATATTATTTAGCTATACCAAATGTTATGGCAACCATCGACCTTCACTAGTGATTGGTTGAAATCGGTAAAGTTTTCGTGGGATTAGCTGTCATCGAATAAGTGGTTGTTTGCACGCATCGCTTTTCTGTATTGGCTTCGTATTTATGCCTTATTATCTATGGATGTCTGTAGTAGAAGTTGCAGGGCATGCTTCCACACACTGTTAGACTCTGTCAACAATTAACTTTTACCGTCAATAGTGAATTAACTGTACGGAGCTGTACATTTCATCGCTTTTGCTCACCAGTTTTCTCGTACTCCTTTTCCTTTTCATTTCCAAGAATGCCAACGCAGAGTGATTCAGAGCAAATCACCTTGCGCAGAACTGCACCCTGCCTGCCAAGTTCTGTGTTGATACCGCTGCTGTCAAGTCCTGTACAGGGTGATATAGTAAATCCAACAAGTTACGATGTTTCCCAGGATGTTGATCCTAAGCATTGTTTTAAAACCTTTCATCAGTTAAAAAAGACCAGTAGCAATCGGTCTGGCTTCTGTCATCTTGATTGTCTCATGTGTGGATGCTTACCAAAGAATAGAAAAAACTCGCTTGAAGCCTTGCACACGATGAATGATCGACATCCCTATAAACCCAAGTTTTCAAAAACCAGTGGGGCTCCACAGTCCTCTGGATCCCACAACAATAACATGCCACCGGAGTCATCGATGAATGATGCAAATGAAGGACAAGAAACTCTTCGCCCCAAGGTTGATGAGAAATCTCACGCCTCTTCTCTCATTTGGTCCCCATTTTCAAGATTGAGGTGTTACATTGCCAAACGGCGCCGGAGAAATGAAGTCATTAATTCGGATGGTGGGATGGCTGTTTTAGCTTTGTCAAACAAAGGTAGTGCTGATAGTTCCAAGCCAACCCAGCTGGGAAATGATTTAAGGGAACAGGTGTGCCTGCTTATATCTCTTACAGCATAATGTGCTTATCACTTATCCAGGTCCCCTATTTCTCCGTATGATTTGTTTGGGAAAAATATGGAAATTTTGGGGTTTTCAAAGATCTATAGCCTTTTCGAGAAAACCCAGTTTATTATTTTATTGACTCTTGGAATACAGACTTTTATCATTGTTGGTGATTTATTTTTTGCTCTCATATATGATTGAATGTAGCAGGTGATTGCATAATAGCCAATTTGCATTAGAGCCCTTAAAACTAACTATTATTCTCTAGTTGAAAACCAAAATTGGTAATAGCAAGGCGGTTGATCAGAGTTTTCACATTAGATCATTTTGTTGGAACGCTTCGACACTTTTCTTCTTTAAGCGTCAAACCCTCCTTGGTCCCCAAAAAGAAACTGATCGAGGCAAGAAGTGTTTCATAATTGATCTTGATGAAACACTTGTCCACAGCTCCTTCAAGGTAGGCTTGTTGTGCCCAATTAATTTGATTACCTCATTGTATTAATTTGCAGTTATGAATTTTCCCTTTCATGGATGTCTATTACTCCCTCACATATATCATTTTCCTTAATAATAAGTAAATCTACGTGACACACAAAATCAGCAACTCACCACGGCTTGAAAGTATTAGTGCACTGATAATCCTGTCCCCTTTACAGTTGTCGAGAAACATACTTTGCGATTAGTGATAACAGCTTTCACTTCATTGAGGGTTTGTGTATCAAGGATCCACTTAAACATCTGCTTCTAACTTCTTCCCAAGTTCATTTTACTTCTTTTCCCCAAAATGCTGGTACTTGTGTGTGACTTTGAATTGCAGCTAAGGGTGCGTATAATGGACTAGAAGGAAACCTAGTGTTCAGTGCTCAGGGTTGTTTTACGAACTAGTTGGATACAGAAGGAATTCTGCTTAATTGATTAGTTTTGTTTATCTCAGTAATTTACGTGGCTAACATCAGACGATTTCACTATGTGAAATCCTCTTAATGGACACACTTTGAGACGCTAGAAATTGTCCTTACCTTTTAGTGGTGTATACAGTAACGCTTCGTTTAATTTAAACACTCTGTTGTTATTTTGTTGGGTTAAGAAATTTGAATCGATTTTCTAGGGAGCGTCGTACAATCCGCTTTTAGGTGCTTGACTTGCTTCTGAATACTAAACACCTTTCAATTTTTGGACTGATTATCATCTAATGTTTTGGGATGTAATTGATTAACTAGATTTAGTTGTACATCTGCGATGTCATCCTTGCGGGCATTATCTTAATCACCGTGACAGTTCTCATGACCACTCAAATCTCAGGACGAAATTTGTCTGGAATCGCTTTATGTGGCACAGTTTTTGACATGGAGGCGATTTATCACGTTAAACTTTCTTAAACGTCCCATATTAGCTCAGCTTTGGAAATTTGTGCTAGTTTCCTTTAGTCTCATACATTTGCCATTTTTCTTGCAATGACACCCATTTTTACATTACCATGAATCTTCTCCACATTGTCAGGCAGTAGACAAGGCGGATTTCAAGGTGGGAGTTGAAATTGACAGTGTAGTACATCAGGTATATGTACTCAAGCGGCCACATGTGGACGAATTCCTCCGAGCCATGGCTAACATCTACGAGTGTGTACTGTTCACCGCAAGTCTTTCTAAGGTATATATCCCATACACTTTTCTTATAATTTGTTTGAGGATATCAATCTTTCACTCTTTGCTAGGTTTTCGTCGTCCCTTTTATTCATGCCATGCTGTGTCCAGGCAGCATCGCGGTCAAATAAGTTACAAATGACGTTGTTTATATTGCAAGGGGTTTGGAATTACATTACGACATTTTGAGTACATGAAATTCCGCTAAAATACTTGTGTCATGGATTAGCTTCTTTTTTAAGCAAGGCGTTTTGTTTCAAGACAGTTTTTTATTTGCGGTGTAAAATGGTAGTGTCTCAGTGATTCACTATTTCATAGCAGCATCAAAATATGGTGTTCTCATCACATTTTTTATTGCTACATAGTCAACTACTTCATTGTGTATCATAAATCGCTTATATGAACGAAATATCACTGTAGCGAACATATATTTCGATTCTCAATGAAACATTGTCTCTTGAGGTATTTTATATCGTGTCATTGTACATCAAAACCTCGCGCAATGGGCATAGGTGATTACGCATTTTGACTTTGTATTGGGGATTTTACCACTTGATTCTTCATTTTACTCGGAATGTTACCATTGTGTCTTATGCTTTAAGAATTAGTGGTTCTCATTTTTTTTCTCTTTATTATATATTGAAAGGTCGGCAGGTTGTCTCATCTATTGATGTCTTTGATTTTTCCCCGTCTTGTAATTTTTCGCTCGCCTGAAACAATTCTCAGCCGCTTGTCCGTCTGTGTTTTTAACCGATTTTGCCTACGCCTGTATTTCTCAATGTTATTGAAAGTGGGTAAAAATACGTTGATTTTTACCAGTTTTCCAGACGCCGAGTTTCCACTTCGGAATCCATAATTTATGATAAAACAGCAATTTTTTGAAATGTTTGCAAGCTACAGACTTTACTCTAACATTAGTGAACCTTCTAAAAAGTGCTTCCTGGCGAAGCAGAGTTCTTATCGATTCATTCAAAAAATGGGACTTAACCTTGGAAGGGTTGTCCGGTTCATAAGTATTATTGTTCCTTCTCTTGGCTTTGTCAATCGGTATTCTTCCAGTTAGGCAGTAAGTATGTCGAACACTTGGTCCAAATGCCTTTTTTGAATCAGAAATCACTTCGTCATTACCACCGAACACGCTGTTTAAGTGATAGACACTGTGAACATCAAATGGTGTTTTACAAGTTTACATTTTGTTTACTAGCGAATCTTTTAAGTCCTTTGTTTCGCTTGCAGATGTTTTTACTGAGAATTCTACTATAGAGTTTAATGTTCTGAAACTATTTGCAAGTTTTGAGGCCAAAGAATAGGGATTGTTACAGTTACCAGTAGTGTTTTCCCCTTCATCCAGTTATGGCACTCTTTCCCTTTTTCCTCATGGGAAGTGATTCCTATTTGATTTACCCTTCGTGTAGAACTTAACGCCTAAATAACGAAAGTGATGTGTAATTTTAGTACCCATTTTCAGTAGATTCGTGATAGTTTTTTTTTGAGTTTGCACCTAGTCAGAAGCAACCTATTAGTACTGCTTATAATGGCTAGCTTATTTCTATAGGGAGTTCTTTCGCTTTTGCAGAAAACAATTGGATTCTGAATACTTCATTTCCAATGCCTGGCATTTGTATCTTGGGTTATCTTTTACTCGAGCCACTATAATCACTTAATGTCACGTTTTTACATGAAATGGGTCGAGAGATAGTAATCGGTGCGCTAACTGAGGCCCCGTGATTTATACATTGAACCAAGACCGGAGATGTGCCTGCTTGCATGGAAGTGGGGATCACTACTTGTCGTAGGAGATCATCTGCCTTTCAGGAACCAGACTTTGCAAAACAGCGTTTTTTTTTCTAGCTTTTGTGTGAGTTTTATATGGGCTCTCACTAATATCTATTCTGCTTTAACTTCTCTAGTCCTGTAATTACCTTGGTGATTAAATCGACTCCTGGTTGGATAGTAAATTGTCTAATCTAGCTCTCTGACGGAACTTGACTGTTGTTTAGCCAAGTTTTTTTCACTGCGCAACCAGATTGGACTTGTCGACTTACAAGTTCTTGTTTATCAGAGAACAAGTCAGGCCATCTTTAGGGCAAATAGTGTAAAATGCTTCGTGTGTCGTCTAAAATGATTTCATGGTATTGCATTCATATGCTATTTTTTGTTTCTGCATTCATTGCGTAACCCACATTACCGAACCTGAAGGGGCATTTCTCGAGGAAAGTGATGTGCTCATTGTTATAAGCGGCTACTGAAACATTTTCAAAAAAATGAACTAACGTTGTTTTTTTTGCTTGGCAGATCATTCTCCCACTCGCAAGTTTAGATGCGGCATTAATGTGGGAACTGCTATTTTGCTCACCTTTGCTTCTACTTAAAATAATAATCTCATTATATATAACGCATACCTGAAAGACGTGTCAGTCTTTCAATGCTTGTAATAGATTCTAATCTGTGTTGCTTTTCTTTTAAAACTTCAAGGATTTTTTCCCCTTCGCCGAATGCTTAGTATGCTTTAATCCATTGATTTTACGCGAGCAGTAAGTTTTTAGCTTACTTTTCATGTGTGTGAATACACCACAGCTTTTTTTGGATCCGAGCGAACGCCTTTGTTAGTCCCAACTCTGGACCAATGTGTTACTTTATAAATCGTTCTCATTTGAATGAAGGTCAGCAGCTAAACGTGCGTTTGATCCTGTCAATTTATTTGTAAGATAATTTCTAGATTGTCATCTTTGCATTTACTTCGGTCTTTAAAATTGACTCAACGTAATGTCGTAAATCGTCGTTTCATTTAGTAAATGCAATCTTCAGTGCAGTTTGCTACAAATTGCCTGTCCACCAATAATGGCATTAGGTAGACCTTAATGTAGCCTGTGAAATTGAATCAACTCTGTGGAACCGTTTATGTCGCATGGTTACCTGCAGGAACCGCCTCTAGTTAAAAGGTGATGTCATTGCTATGAGCGCGAGTAAAAATATTTGTGAATAAGGCATAAATACTACCGTTATTTTCCCCCATTTTCACCACTTCAAGTGCGCCCTTGCTTAATTTTGCAGATTGTCAGTTCATAGCTCCGTTGTAATTGTGAGGCCTACCCAGTGGGCCTTTTTATACGAACGGACGCGCGATTCCTCTATTTAATTGCACTACCACACTAACTACTAGGCTAGTAGAGCTCCTTCTCTTAGCAGCTTCAGCATTTGTCGACCTTTGTTCTCTCATTTTGGGCGACCAAGTCTTCTCTCAAGTTTGGCACGTTGCCAATGGCACAGCCACACGGGGATTAGTTTTCGACGCTAATCATTGATCCCCGTATAAATTGTCTAGTGTATATCGCCTTAATTGCTTTGTTGATACCTTAAAAATGGAGCTAAGTTAGTTTTCTACGGATTACGTTTCGCATTTCGCTTGTGCTTACGTTTCCAACATACTCGCGGCTGCTAGAGGCCGTGACATTTAACGTTTTAACTGTAGTTTCTCCTCCTACATTGCAAATGCAGTTATTACAAATTTACATATTTCTACACATAGTACGCTGATCCTGTGGCTGATTTTTTGGACAAGTGGCATGTTTTTCGCTACCGCCTTTTTCGGGAGTCTTGCGTTTACCATCAAGGCAATTACGTGAAGGACCTGGCCCAGCTGGGTCGACCTATTGAGCAGGTCGTCATCCTCGACAACTCCCCCGCCTCCTACATGTTTCACGAGACTAATGCGGTAAGTCAGCTTCACTGCCACACTGGATTTCTTTGCCAATATGGTAAGGATCCATAGTGACACTTTTCATCTTATCCCTTTTTTGATATATCCAGACAGTTTTGTTGAGAATTTGTCTCCTTACGAATTATTTTGCTTTTTGGGAGTGCTTTGAAGTTATTTTTGCTTAAGACTTCCAAAATATAGGTCCGGTGAAACTTTTAAAGGCGTTTTAATGGTTTGTGTTGGCTGTCAATCAATACACTAGGAAATTTTGTGCCACTGTAGTGAAACATGTACCATCCATAAATGTCCGTGAATTGGTAGCGTATATGCAATTTCCACAGCATTATTGTATTTTGGTGTTGCTGTAAAAATACCTGAACGTTCGTGGCTGGCGCTTTTTTCGTTAAAATTGTCATTTTCGCTTCACATTGACACAAGATTAACGATAGCAATACCTTTATAATTTACCTCTACATGGGCAATGCTTTGGAGGTGGTTCGTCAAAAAGGCTGTTAAGGCAATAGCTCCTAACCTAACTAGCTACTTGTTTTTCGTCTGAGTTAAAATATTTTTCCAAAAATTTAACTGGTATATTAACCATTTTATTTAGTTCCGGACACTCATACCGAAGTACAATCTAGTAAGTAGTTCTGTTAGCGTTTACTCCATTCTAGCAACCAAAAATGAAGAAAGGTGTTTCAAGCAATTTGAATTTTGTGTTCAAATGGGTCACTTTTATAAAATCATAGCTCCATCCAATGATGATTCTTCTGAAGTTTTCTGGCGGACTGCTTCCTTAATCCTTATCTCCTTTAGTTCCAATTGGTGGCTCGTTACTAAAAGTCCTTTTTATTAATGCGTGTTCTACATGGCGCCTCATTGCACGAGTAGATGCTTAACTTAGTTTAGACAATACGCTTTCATACCACGTTCTTCACGGAAGTTGGCTATCGTCCGTTCAGTTACATTATGTAATGTCACCATCACCCTTAGGTCATTCAAGAGAGAAAGTCGAGCAGTTTTTTGTGCTTAATAGGGGTCGAAGTCAAAAAAGCACACGTGTTTTGTTTGCTTGTATGTTTTTTCAAAGCTGAATCTATTCCTGAAGCGGTGGGCATATCCTTCGTACGAATAAAAAACTGTTGTGCAGGTATGCAGCTAAGCGAAAAACTGAACTTCGTGATATAGGCAGAATCAAAGGCGTTGAGTGACTTTAATACATTATAAATAGTGCATTCGTAGCTGTAAGTCCTTCTACTTGTTTTTAATCCTGTCTGTTTCCTGTTTTTACGTGCAAACTTTGTCGATGTTATTATTGTAATCAATTCATTAGGTTTTATGCAGACAAATATAACTTAACCTCAGCATTTGCTAGAGTCGCTTGACAGTGCTAAAGCATCTACTCAAATGATTCATGAGTTCTGCTTTTTTTAGAAATTTTCAACCTAATGTTAGTACTAATGTAAGCTAGGGATTGGATTTTCTTCCACATAACCTCCACTTAGTTGACTCGACTTTCATCTAGGTAATTAGTGCAATGTTCCTTCGTCCGCCACAAACAGTGAGGCTTAATTTTTTTTTCAGGAGTGAATCGAGTTAATTTATTTCTTTTTTCTTGAGAAACATACCACTTTGGTAAAAGGTTGATTTTAATGTAGCTAATTTCTCATAGGGTAAAACGCAGATTGTACCATACGTGGAACGTATGTGCCACACGATTTGTGAAAACTACGATGCATAGTTACCGGTTAGGGGGAATTTTCATGTTTCTCATGCAAATAACCCTGATTTTGTCGAATTCTAGCTGCATTGAAATGATTTTTAACCAAAAGTACACTAACCGTAATGAAATCGGATGTCATCTTTGTCAATAGGTGTTTTTTTAGATGGTGTATCTAAGGCTATTCACTTTGCATCCGATGTGCCGCGGATGAAAGAGTGAACAGGTGTTATCAGCGTGATTTTGTGAATTGCATCAAAAATGTGTCCCACAAATCGCACATCTTTCATCATCGATCAGGAGGTCGTTGTGGTTTGTGATGAATTGTCGCCCAAAGCCGTTACGAAATAATCTTGTTTCTCTAAACTTCCATTTTTCGTAAAATATGGCCTTCGGTCTTCCTTCTGGTGAAGTGCGCCGTTACAGATTTTGTGCCTATCTTCGTGGCCGCAGCATGCAACCTCAACGGTACGGCGTCAAAGGCGGATGACACTATCGCTGTAACGAAATGAGCGTAATTTATAACCGTTTCCCTCTTCTGATTTTCATTTATTTACTGGGAGTATTTCAGTGCCGTTTTCACACTACAACTATTTATCGTGTTTGTATGATCTATCATAGGTGCATATAACCTCGTGGTTTGACGACAAATCGGACAAGGCGCTGCTGGAACTGATTCCTTACTTCCAGCGCCTGGCAGAGGGTGAACCTGGTAACGTGGTGGAGTTTCTGCGGAATAACCCACCACCTGCACGGTACGCTGCGGTGGGCTCCAGCAACGCAGGCGTTCTCGGGTCTGCCGCCGGTCCCTCGGTAGTTCTCGTGGGGCAGCCCTCCGAATCCAGCTCCAGCAGCAACCCTTTCTCCTCGCTCCCCCTTCCTTCTGGTGCTTCTCTTCCCCTCTCTCTTCGCGGCAAAGTCCTTCCTTCCGACTCCAATCCTATTACTAGCGCCACCGCCATCTCCACTGCCGCCGATTCCAGCAATGGTAGCAAGTACGTCTAAATACTCCATCACATTTTTCTCTCCGGGACGGGAGAAGTGGTAATGAGGCTCTTACGTTGCTTTACTAGAATCTCGTTATTTAGTGTCTTAAAAGGATTTTATATGCATGTCCATTTGGATCATGACGTCGGGTATTTGAATGCCTGCTGTAGTGCTCTTTCTGAGGAAAAGTCAAAACTTTCTATTTGATATAATGACGTTACATTATTATCTTACAAATTGCTTTTTGCTCTCCGGCTTATAGCTTGCTTTTATCTTAGTGGGCTAAGTTGCAATATGTGAACCTTTGTCACATAATTGAGCTCTTGAGCCTGTGATTTATATGTAATGGATTCACAGACGTATATGTGCACATTTTGTGCTTACATTTATAGCAAGTTCACTGGACGACTTCTGCCTTAATGTTTTCCTTACATTGACTGCTATTTTTTCCGTAGAGCAGGATTTTCCACCTTGGTGAGTCCCACTTTAGCTGAGTAGTTGCGACTTAGTGTGCTTCTCGCTTGACTTAGGACTTGTTCAAATTAAGAAGCAGTGCGAATTTTGAAATAACCTGCAATTACGTCTTTACATGCGCTTTTGCTTTTAGTCACATTCGTCTGTTAACTAAACTCTTCATAATTTGGGTGAAAAGCACGATCTTGTTTTACAAAAGAAATCGCTATGGATTCATGAACTGAATGTTAACAAAATGCAGTTACCGATAACCGTTGTCTCTCCTCTAATGGATAAGCCTATAACTTTATTAATTGTTATTTCATCATTTTATATGATTTTTTTTCAGGTTACTGGGGGCTGGTACTACCGGATCAAACTGCTCGAACGAGGCATATGATTCCACTGAAAAGAAAACCAAGAAAAAGTCTTCCATCTCATTACAAGGTCACCTGAGGTGATTGTGCTGGGGCAAGCATTTTGTTGTCCGCTACCTCTCTTCACACTGCCTCTCCTCCTTTTCCTCCTCCTGTGATTCCAAGTAGAAGCGAGTTCTTCTGCATGCATCATTACCCACATATACACAAACACCACCTACACCCGTAGATGTGTGTACAGGCGCTTCCATTCAACATCATTCGCTCACTCAAACTAAGCGAGTTGGTCGCCCCCTTCAGCGTTTCATCAGTACTTTCAGCCTGTTCTATTTTGTGCAATTTCTAAGCTGATAATCCTCATCCCCTTTGTGTATACATATTTTAAGCGACCCCGCATCCTCTGATTTCTAACCATTATTTGATTTATGGTGCTGGTCTCCTTGATGCAGTGCTCTCCTTGTTGCAAGTTTTCCTCTCGCTCTATTTTCAGTCTTTCCAGTCCCTCGGGTCACTGCCACTTATGACTCATTTCCTTTTTTTCTCATGTATGCCATTCCCCTGTATTCGCTGTATGTGTACATAACTAAAAAGCGAGAAATACAAAACGGTTTGAGACTGACCCAGACAGTCTTCAACATTATTCCACGGCCACAAGTGCAACAGGACTTATGGAGATTGCCCTCACAAAGTTCGTGATCGTACCCGCAAACAATGCAGCCTTGTAATACTAGGTTATTATTCCATGTCGTTATTTGGAGCTGATGCACTTCATGCTAATACCTTTTCTTGCATTCCGGGCTGCTGACGAATAGGCTGGGGAATTTGTAATAGCAAAAGCGCACTTTGAATGTGATTGGTTACGCAGACTATTTCATTCAAATAGCGAGGTAATTAGGTTCGTAAATGGCAGTAGGAACTGCCTCGTGTGCTCAGTAAATGCCCAGAAGCTCAGAATGTCTTCTGCTTTTTCCTCCCAATGTGTTGTCTTGCAGAGATAGTGCGCGTGTCAAAAACCAGTCGAGATTGTGGTGGTACTTGAGTTTGCCGTCAATATCCGTAAGTTCAGGTAATTAAGATTATTGCTACTCTGGCCTATATCGGGGTTTTCATGCGACTTACTCAATGCAAGCAAGTGTGGAAGGAGCACGGATGGTGCATTCCCCCGCGCTCTTGTTCTTAGGCTATGTAGCTGACCTCTTGTGAGGCAGATTTTTTGTTGCAAAAGTCGTACGTATGTCATTTAGGACGTGATGCCATAATTTATTTGGATTAATGTGGTATTCGTCTGGGTAGTTAACCAAGAAGTCAGCTAAGCTATCGCTACAAGACTTTCAGCGATATGCTTGCTCACTTTAAACTTTTAACTCATGGTGAACATTCCTGTTAGATAAGGACACAATGAAGAGGAAATACCTGTTTGGACAAAATAAAGAAAAATGAGGCAGTTCATCCGAAAATTGCAACACACCTGCAAGTTGTCAGTTGAGATTACCAATCTGTCTAAATCCGATTAAATGCATTGCATTGTCGAGCTAATGAAGTTGCTTAGAAAATCAATATTAGCAGAAAAGTGCTGTTTTTGCAAAATCAACGCAACACGCTTGAGATTTTAACTGTTCAATTGTGTGATAAAACGTAGTTTTTTATCACTAGGAGCAATACATTCTTGGATGGCGGGAGAATTTGCATCAAGGTAGCAGCATAATATTTCCCTTGTTGGTTGATTGGCATAGGTCTCTATTAAGGTTTTTCATTTGTATGAATACCGCCCTACGCTAGATGGGAAAGTCAGCTTAATGATGACAAAAGGTGCAAATTAAAAGGCCACAAAAGTGGAAGACTGTAGAAAGAACCGACTGCAAGTCTAGAGGCGATTGTGCCATTTTTGAAGCCCAGAACAACGGATAGGCACATTTTTGCTGTACAGCAGCCAGAAAAGAAATCGCACCACATTTTCATGCCTGGCGTATTGCACGTAAAATAGACGTGGCTCGGTTGCTTCGTAATTCGTGGTATCCATGATTGTACAATTTCGAGTGCCGCGAAACGTGTCTTTTGCGTCATCATAAAATTTTCAGTTATTTGAAACTGACTAATCAATAATTCATTAGTGCCTGATTCGCTCCCACTGATGTTTGAGAAATTAATTACTGAGTGTGTAGGTCGTACGGGTCAATGACCATTCTTCCGCACCAAAATCAGACATGCGATTTCAAAGGACCAAGCAATCGCTTCCTTTTATATCATCCCCAAAGTGTTTGGACCTCAATTACTTCATGCATACTGTCAGAATTTGCTAGGATTCCCACCTATGGCCTAACTAAAGAAACAACCTCACGTAAGTTGCCGACTCTGCCTGAACAGTGAAGTGGGATATTAATGAAGCCAAACTTCCAATCTCTTTAAAGGACTTTTAGAATTTCAATCCTGCTTGTGAGCTCACACGTTTAAAAGCAACCCAAAAGCAAAATTACTTATTCCGTGTTCATCTTTAGCACTGGATCCAGTCGGTTGCTAGAGTGAACTAAAACGCCGCTGGCGAAAAGGAGTGTGGCTCGAATCATCGCATTTTCGCAGTAGATTTAAGAGCACCGATAGCAAAATTTCATGCACCGAACTCAATTAATGAATATCCTACCTACACAAAGCAGAATGGAGTAGTAAGCCACACGTCGCTTTGAACCACTACTGACTTAGCAAAGCAGGGGAGGGAAGTAGTCCCAAAATCCAGCATGTCCACGACAGTTTCTAAAGTGCAGTTTTGGCGAATCAAAGCAATGACTAGCACCGGTAGCGTAGGAGGTGCGACCGCACATTCGCTCAACGCCGTGTTGTCGAATCTCAGCGATTGCAAAAGCGCCCCAAACCCCAGCCACTCCACTCCTAACTCCAGGTGATGTGTGTCTTTTGGAACAGTTTGCATACTACCCTAGGCGATAGCAACTGCTCGACGTCAATTTTGATGGCTAAGCGCTCAGCAACCGTTTGCTACGAAAGTCGAGCAAGTCTACGTTGCCGACATACACAGAGACCCAGAATTGACATTTAGTACAAGCAGCCAACCCCCAAAATTGGAACTGAAATATTAGGACAGCGGGCCCACCTATTATGAAGGGCCAACAACCAATGAAAACAGTATATACAGAGGTTTATTTCAATTTGAGAATAAAAAGAGCTAGTAGCGATACTTAGTGGAGTAGTCCTTGGGAGAAACGACAAGGCCTCGACCTTTACGAGCACCTCGATACACAGTTTCAACAATGTCAATGAATTCCTGTTTATCTTCTATGGGCCAATTTATTTTGTTGTTGTTGCCAGTTCCGAGATCGATCATGATATGTTTGTTTCGATAGAAAAACATAACCGTGCAGGGATCATACAACTCATACATCTTGTTGAAATCAGGAACCTGGGATATATCAACAAGGTAGATAACAGCGAAATTCTTTATTTTTTCTGCAACTTGAAACAGTGTTTCATCCATAACCATACAAGAAGGATCCCAGTCATGTCCAAATCGAATTATAACAACACGGTCCTCCTCCGACAAAATGGCTTGATCCACCTGCCACCCATTCGTCAAGTGTGCAAGCATATAAGACATCCTGAGAAAAAAAAACAGAATCCCAACGGAGGCAATAAGAAACCAACGCAAAGCAGAAGATTGGAACAACACAAGCACCAATTAAAACAAAGCGGTGAAAAGAGATTTGAATACACTCACAAACGGTAGTCGCTTAAGCCTCCACTTAAAACGCTAAAAAGGTGATGTGCCTCTTTTGTTAAGTTAGCAAACATTTTGTCCAGAGTAATGGTTTTGAGCATTTTTAGCCATAACATTTTAGTGATGTACTCAAGTCTCTGATAAGCTCTCCGAAAGCAATGTGCTAGGTGGATTGCAAAAGGTTTGCAGCAACTGTAGTGATTAAATTATTCGCGTAACTCCTGATTTTTTAACGGACCACTTAGGGTCTCCGCCAATGAACCTCCGTCGGCGGTCTACCCTACTAGCCGTGCAGGCGCTATTGTGCCCTACTGTGCGTCAGCATCACGTGCCACTCTCTAGTGCTACGTTTTTAATGATAGAAAAGTCTCAGAGTGCTAAAGTTGCGTCTTTTAATTAGCTACATAAAATCCTTTTAATTGATGGAATGTGATTTTAGATCCTCACTAAAAGTAGGGAATGCCCAGGCATTGCCGAGCAATTTATATTATCTTTAAAATCATAATAAGCTGAGCCCTTGCAAGGAACGACACTTTACTAATATTCGGAGAACCGTACCATGAAATAAATAATTTGAGGATACCGAATGGTCCGCTTTGCTAGCTATATACCCTGGCAAAATCTTGAGTTTTATGTCAATTTTTAGATATTGTGGGCTTTTATGAAGTGATTTTAATTTTGGGACATTTAGTAACAGTATAATCACTTACAACCCGCTTTTTGATATGGCCTTGATGCGTGCAAGGCATTGGCTGTAGTTCTCTACTCAACGGGGAACCGATTGCTGATGTGCACGTGCGAGGTTGTCATGCTATTGTAGATAAGTTGGCTTGGTGCATTGACCGCTTGCGTATCCCAAGATTTAACCGTGTATTTTTGTCCGAAGTCAAAATTAATCCCTTTTATGCAATCTTACAGCCGTTGGATAGTATTGTTGATTAAAAATTGTGCAAATTCCAGGCCTTAGCTTCAGATGATGATTCGTGAGGAATGCTAGTCTCCGTTCTAAAGTTAAATCTGGTCCTAACTGCCGTCAACCTAGCCTTTTTTTCTTTTAAGAACCATGGTTTTGACGGATGTGCCTCGCTTTCGAAATGAATTATCGAAATTCATTTTGCATGAATTGAATCATGTCTGTGGTAACGATTGGTAAGATCGTGCTTATAGTGTTTCTATCATAATTTAGCCCCTATACTGAAGAAATTGATATGCTTGTTGCGCATGGTCTCTCTCTCTGTGAAACGGATTTGAACCGGTTACAGTTTTTGTTGAAGGTTTACAAACCAGGTAAATATGCGTACATATTTTTGTTAGTATTATTGCATTAAGCTCATATATTGGTAAGTGGAGAGATGCTGAAGCGGGATTTTACTTTTCTTTTGGAGCTTCTCAGTGCCTCCTCGAGGTAAGGTTGTGTCATTTTTTACGCATTTAGCGAATCGAAATACAACGACACACAGGTCATTCTGTGTCTACGAATATTTGCTTTAATGATATCGGGTTCCGACAAGCTGAAATGTTCCTTTTCTTCCAGTAATTTGGACAAACTAACTCAAATTCAAAGTGACATTTTTGAACGTAACTACTCTTCGTTTCACGCATATTTATCTGAGTTAGGTGCCACCTCCTTCAACTGTCTCTTAACTAACAGCGTCCTTCTGGCACAAGGTCTATGCCATCTTGAGAGGGGACCTATTAGTGAGAAGGTGTGGGTGTTGTTAATAAACTTTATTTGAACCAGCTAGTTGGGGCTACTGCAGACAAATTGAAATCCTTCTCAAGACTTTACAGTAAAATTATGATGCATTCAGACTTCCCATCCAGACGTCTGGGTGTTATTTTTGGTGTAATGTCTGTTGTGCTTGAACCTGACTTCGTCGATATCGCCAGCCGTATGCTTAATCAAATCACACCACAGAACAGGTGATTTTAATGATTTGGTGATTTAGTGCAGTTTATATCGCACAGTTTATTTATGACAAGCACTATTTTTTTCAAAGGTCTACCTTACCCATTCCGCAGCATAGTTTTTTTTCCATTCAAATATCGTGATGCACTTCCCATATCTTTAGAAACGATGACCCTTTTGTTGGATTGCTTACGAGCTATTGTTTCCGTCAGTGGACTATTCGCGTTGTGTAAGTTGTTCCTGTTACCATCATTTTACACTTCATAGGAAATCTACCAATAAGTCCCTACTTAATCAGCTAACTTCGAATGATGAACTCGCGCCGATATTTGAGTTCATTTTTCATCATCAGAATGATCCAATTGACGTATGACAACTAGCCTTTCCCGGCCCATTTTTAATATGATTTAGGCCGTCAGAGAGGCCGTGATGGATAATTTTGAGCTGCTTGTCAGTCTCCTTATGAAGTGGCCTACTGTCATGGTTACACCTTCTCCGTTCTTGCAAAGTCTGCTGACCCGAGTCGTGGAGCAGCCACTGTGGATGCGCAATACTCTGGTTCTCGTCCATCGATTCTTTTCCGCTGTCTTTAAGGAAACCAATCTAACCAGCGAGCAGACCATCGAGTGGCTTATTTCCGCAGGTTTTCCTCTTATTGATGTGGCAAATCCATCCGACCTCTCTTCGTCCGCGATGCCCTTTTTTGCGCTGGGCTGCACTCTTATTCTTACCGCACATGATGTCGCTTTATCGCAATCGGTACGCCTCCTTTCCTTCTATGAGCTTCATTTTTGCGTTTTTAATACTTATCATTTGTTAGGGATCACCCTTTATGCCATGTCGGCCACCATAAGAGACCTCAAATTTTAAATGGTTTGTATTACAAGGTAGTGGACGAGGTCTTACTTTCCAGGTCTAGAAATAAGAAATGCCAAGACACTCATTTCCCCTTGACGTGAATCTTGTTGACGACTGGGCTTCTAGCATGCACTATTATAATCCCACCTTTTCTTCTAGGCGGGTGAGGTATTTGCACTCTTTGCTGTACACTTCTCTTCGGCGGAGAGTGAGGCCATGCGCGCATGGTTCCTCGCCCTTGTTTGGATGGCCAAACAGCTTCGCGGAGTTTCTCGTGTAAGATGGTCCTTTTTTAACACATTCTACCTCCTTTTCATTTTTTCATGACTGTTCCTCGCCAGGCCTTCTTGGATAAAATTTTCAACTTGGCTCCGTCGCTTCCATTGGCCCTGATTGAAAACTACGCCCAATGTGAGTGAAGATTCAAAGCTAAACATGATCTTTGGTAGAGGTGGACTGTAAATATAGCATTGTGTCATGCCTCATCCTAGTTATGTACATGCTTCAAGGATGCAGTCTCTTGGTTACAACTTTGAGTTTGAATATGCACCTGTAATTTATTAGTTTCTAACGGTAGCTCTGGGTGCATTTTTTTTTATTACTGAACCTCCCATCAAACATGGCAGTAGTTCAATACTCTGTGGGTGATAATATTTATGCTTACTTTCCAGAGAAGAGTTGTTCCGTTTCTTGGTAGGTTTCACGGAGGAAGGTCTATCGACTCTCCTGCACTCTTATCGTTATTGCTTGACTAAAAAGGGTCTCAAGCGTTCACTAATCACCCTACCTGATTTGGCTCTCATATCTCGTGCTCTTCGGAGCCAGGATTATCAGGTATGCTTACTCTCGAAATGTTACCCTAGCCATATAGACTTTCCTGATGATGCTACCTAATAAGCACTTTGTATTTCAGCTCAACCAGCAGACAGTTGGAGCGATAGAGTCTCTATTTTGTCAAGCCCATCTCAATGACGCAGATCTGATTAATTTATTTATTGAGGCGGTTGATATTGGAACTTGCTGTTTCGACCGAGCCGCACGCAGTCGAATGTGCATTACGATAACTCGAGTATGAAAACATACAGACGGGTAGCTCCCTCTCACTTTCTTTCCTTATCTTCAAACTTTATTTTACTCTTCTCAGGTGACAGAATATTTTCTTTCCCTTCCTGGTCGCGAGAAGAATGCTGTAAAACGGAGTGAGATCATTGAGAATGTCATAGTAAGTTTGTTGGGGTCTTTCTCCTTACGATATCATGTTTCAGATTTTCGGACTAATTAGTTGTGAGTCTTTAGGAGGCTTTCAGGAGGGTAGCTTCAGCCATCTTGCGTCACTTGCATACTGGCGGTGTAGCCCTACACACTACCAACGCCCTTGCTTTCCTCGTCTCCTTTATTGAAGTACTTCTGAGTAACAGGACCGAAACCGGTGCGCTTTTAATCTATCTTTCCTTTTATTCCCCTTTGAATCACTTCTTGCTTAGTGCGGCGAAAAGGGATTTACTCTATTAGACCACTCAGTCCGTGCTCACGAAGAAGCCACTACACCTTTAATTTCAGTTGGGATCATCAAGTTTATTAATACTCCCATTGTAACGATTAATTTGTCTCCAAAAATGTGACGTAGGCTTAATAATATGTTGGTGCACACATCACCTTGGATATTATTTAGTCCAACCAATAAGGTGCGGATAAACTGTGGCAGACAAATTTGATGCAAAACGACTCCAACATGGCAATTGCGCTCATTTGTAAAACCTTGACGATAAATTGCCCCTTTGGGAATTCTCATTAGTTCAATGGAAGGACTATTTGATGCTTATTTTAGTGGAGGGCATTGCACATAGTTATAGACACTCCGTTCTTACCCTAGGTCTGTCCCAGCCCCTCGCTCTCCTATGCAGTGCCATGAGTGAATTGACGGGTGGTATTTGTGAGGACTTCGATAGTTCGGTGGAGGTTCTCCTCTCTTCTTTTATGGTCGGTCTGTGGAGCACTTTCTCTGAAGATAGGGAGAATGCTCACAAACTCATCCTCTGGTTGCACTTGCTCAAATATATGGTGCGTTCGGTCACTCCTCATCCGGTCCCCTTATTGTCTGTTTTCAAGGTCGATTTACGAATAAGCTGGCAGTTTAAGAACTAGTGGGGACCTAGAGATAGCACGATCCCTGCGTGGTTACATGTATAGACAAATCTGCTTCGTAGAAATGTATGGAATTAGAGAAACGACCGGTGAATTACACAGGTTACCCATGAAACACTTATATTCAAAGGTTATTACCCTGAGCCACGTCACTTCCATCAGTGTAGTTTCTCCTATCTTCGGTCTACTAAGACAAGATAAAGTCGATGTTTTGGAACTTATGAATCTTGGCAGAGATTCATTTTCTCGAATCAACCCGCAGGTAGTTAGTAACCAACATCAGTGACAATGATGGTCTCATCTAACATAGTGTAGAGTGAAACCAATTGCACTACAGAAACCTGCCCCGCTTGTGCACCTGTGGCGGAGAACGCTGAAGGAGGTGGCGCGGAGTGTGCGGCCCGATGTAAACGTGGTGGGAGGCCACCTGGTGCGCACGCTGCTGGCGGCACCGCCATTGCCACAGATGGAGGTAGGGATGGGGGAAGAGATCGAGGTAGCTCTCTTGAGGATTCGCGTGACGGCTTGCAAGGCGGTGGCCACGGTGCATCATCTATTATCTGCCCTTGACGCTCAGATTCGCGTCGCTGAGGCGGGAAGGGGCGGCCTCCTCATGGTTTCCGCCACCGGGCCCTTCTATCCTCTCCTTAACATCCTCCGCACTCTCCTTCACGATCCCGAGCACTGTGTACCTTCGCGGTAAGTTAATGCCGGCTCTATTGCTTTCTGGTCGTATAATTTCTTTTCTATGATCATTTAATCTTTTGTAAACTGCTCTCTGAATTCATTTTTGACGCTAGTTTTTTTCAAATCGATTCATTTTGTGAAGTTCACAACTTAAACATTCAGCGTAACTAAAAAGTACCAGTCATTTTAATGCTAAATGTTATCGTTGCAAGTAAGCCGTTTAGACTTTACGATACCTTGATTCTTTTATGAAATCCAATATTTTTTCGCGAGCTACCTTCAAGTACTGTAATCTAAAGGTGGCTTTAGGATACATTTCGTACACCAAGAACTGATGCAAACTGCTCGCAATAGAATTTTCCTATCTTCTGTGTTTTTGAAGGATTCATGAATTACACTGCGATGATAATTTGGTCTTAAAAATCACTATTTGAGTCAGTTATTATTACTCACCGTCGTAATCTGTCGCTTCCTTCCAGGTGGTTTTTCGAAAATCCACCACTCGACTCTTTGCCAAGTTTTCCAGCAGGGGATTCGATTTGTAATCGTCTCTTGAACATTGCCATGCATGTTGCTCGTATCTGCTCCTTCGTAGTCTTCCACTCCTCGCCGGAAGGGATCCTCATTTTGGTCGATGAGGATAGACAGCACACTAAGGTATCTTCTTTAAACTTCACATTGTATCTACTTAGAAGACATAATCACTACTAAAAGACACTAAAATACGGGTCAAATTTTTTCCATTGGTAATCTTTTATTCGATTTTGAATGCTTTTTGCCTTTCCCAGTCGAAAGCGGCGGAGCCTGATTCAGTCTGAGGCAACGACTAAATGCTGTTTGTAAATTAGTGGCCTTTGATTGCATTAGTCTAAGGTTGCTTTGTTTTTACGGTGAAAGTTATGAGTTTCGCAAGAGGACCTCGCTGGAGCTGAATTGTCTCATCTAATTGCCGATATAAATTTGGTTGTAGCATGGGGTCTGGTGTTTCTAAAGAGTGATTAGAAAACTTGAGTCTTCACCAATCACAATAATGTCTCGTAGGTAATCCTTCATCCGTGTAGTAACATATTTTGCTTCTGATAGATGGTTGGATAATAACTGCACAAGAGGAAGATCATATTCACATTTTTCCGTTCTCTCTAAACTGAGGTCATACCAAGCGGGGCAGGCAAGGAGGGTCAGTGGGATAAGACGGAGGAGTTTGCCGCTTTGATGGACGACTCGGCCGCGGACGCGGAGTTGGTGAGTGCGCTGCGTCGGGTGGTGGAACGACCAGAGCATCTGGTGGTCAACTGCTGGCGCTCAGTGCGAGAAGTCGCCCTCCTCTTGGGAGGGCGTCTCACTCGCGATGCCCTCCTTTCCGATCCTTTATCACCCCAAATTGACTTTGTCCAGGTGAGCTCTTCCAATCAGTTCAATATAGTAGACCTTTTGGTCTTTAGTGTGCTTTCATCGTATTTCAGAGTTTTTGCTCTAGTCAACACGTTGGATTTTATCCTTTTTTCGCTCCAGTACATAACTTTCGATGATCAGCCTAAAGTAAAAATGAACAATATAGCAATTTATTTGGATGCGTAACTTAAAATAATCGTTTGCTTATTTAGTTTGCATATGCATTAGATGGTCAGATAAAGTTGGATATTTTGTATGCTTATGAAAGTCTTATTTTTTTCACAGCTCAATCTCATAGCAGACTTTTTCATCAGTCAATTAATACGCTCCAGACATCCCGGCGCCTTTGAGCTAACAGCTTCAGGATTCCAGTCCTTCTGTGAAATTCTCCTCAGGTAAGCACTTCATTTTTGTCTTGTCCTTCTTTTGTCTAATAGCCAGATTTTTTTTACTATCTAGTGCACAGGAGTACAGAGATGTCTGCCAATGGCCAGAGCAGTGGCTGAGCGTGGTGATAGCCGACCTGACTGACGTCGCCATCCTTCCTGTCACCTCACAGATAGGACGCCTTCCGCTGAAGTACCTCCAGGACGCTGCTTACTGCGCCACGCGTCGCTCTGCTGGTCTCCCCTTCTTTGTACAGGTGAGGCTAATGTGACTGCGATAGAAAGTACCATTAACAGCCGTGCTGTTTAAATGTGTAAACACGTTTTATGAAGCTTATTTTAATGTAACCTATGGTGTACAAATGCACATTTTCATCAAATTTCCTTCAATTCATTAAAAACTTTGGGATTCGTGGTCGCAATCAAATGCCATTCACTATCAGCGTTTGTAAATACTTCCATCATCTGAATTGTTTTCGAATTTACTCCCTGGTCCCATTACATGATTTGTCTGAATTTTCACCGTATCGAGATTCATTGCATTGCTTCTATCGAGTATAATCACGACTTATACCGTAATTGTCACTCTCATGAAAAACGTGTCCCCAATTATGTTAATCAAACTTCTCCAAATTACCTTTATGCCGTTTGAGTTGGCTAGGGGACCACTTCATGCCTCATTAATTTATTTTCATCTTACTCTTTGCTATATTCAGCTGTTGATCACTTTTGCATAGCACTAACGCAAGTCATGCATAATACTTTTGCTCAATCATGAGTGACCCATTTTTGATTTCATAACTGGGGTCACCTTAATGACATTGCTTTGAGACTGACCTAAGGGTTCCTGGTTTCTTGACAGAACTTTGTGTTGCCTTCTAAACGTAACTATTTACTATAATTTATCTTTTCGAACGTGATTGTAGACATTATTGGTGGTTCTTCACAAGACCGGTCGACTGGGCGACCTGCTGAATCGGACAGCCAGCGCTCTTCTTGCTGAGATAAATAGGGAAGCAGAGGCTACAACGGTTCCGTCAACCTGTAATGATCAGACTAGCCTCTCAGCCTCTGAGGTGAGGGTTTTGTATACATGGAGAGGTTCCACGACTTTATTCCATTGGTGTTTACTCACATGCTCTAGTTTTCAACACCATCCACATCGTTGAATGTCTTTCTTTGTCATTAGCGTCGTCTACACGCCATGAATGTGCTGCGAACATTGGTTCGAGATGCCACAATCGGACCTCTGATGGAGGTCCATCTCGAGATCATTCTAGCCTGCGCCCTCCAAGGTCTTGACTCCTTCTTCTGGATGGTGAGACTTTTAATTTCCTCCGAGTTGCCTTTGCTGATCTTTGCATAATATCCTAGCTGTGATATGAGTAGCACTTCTGCTTTACAACAATCCAGTTAAAGTTGATAGGTTGTTTTCGGTTTAGTTTTAGAAAGCTTTGCACCCTACTCATGAGAAGAGCAATAGGCGCGTCGAAATAGTCAACATGGTGTAGAATGCATCAATACTTCATGAATATAAAGGTGACACCGTATTTTAAAGGCCAAGCACTATTCATACGTAGCTTTGATGTCTTATTACTTTTCATTTATTTGGCATCTCCAGTTTCTCTATACCAGCGGTATCCAAGTTCGAATGTCAAACCTTGGGAAAATTTTTCCTTTATATTTTCTGCTATGAAGCGACAACTTCTTCTAATAAAACCTCACTTTTCTCAGAGATGAAATGGAACTTGCCTTTTTTCTTGTGGCATGATCTGGAATGTCCCGTGCTGGTTTCTGAAAACTAAGTTCTCCTTGGAGTTTTTTAATGTTCGATTTATGCAGCAGAGAATATGTGGGATGTCTCTTTTGTTAATATCTGACGTTTAGCGTTCTTCTAGCTCCCACTACCGCTAGCATTCCCTGCTCTCACTACGGTTGCTACTTTTCCTGTCCACCTTTTAGATACGCAACGCGGCACTCATGCTCTACAGTGCCTTGATGGAACGCATCTTTGGCGTCAATCGAACGCGGGACTGTGAGAGCAAGAAAAATCGGTCGGTTGAGTTAGTTCTCTCAAATTTTCGCACAATTTTTTTTCCTGATTTCTTAAAAGTAGTTTTCGTTCACATTAGAATGGTCTCCTCTGTGTTCTTTGCCAAATTTCCTGGAATGCGCAACTTTCTCCTAAAGACCATCGAAGAAGCGATTGGTGGACTCCAGTAATACATTTTTTGCCTATTTACAAAATGCTTGATTTTTCATTCACCTACCCAATTCAAGCGGATGTAGGCCAAAAGTAAATTCTATCCCTTACCTAAAATCACATTTTCTTGGTCGGAATTCATAAACAGCTCTAAGGTCTTCCAAGCTGTCTCAGAATGCTCAAAATTTAGGTTTTATACTGAAGTTTTTAAATTGGTTCCTCTGCTTAACCAGATCATGTAATTGGCAATGTCCAAATTTAGGTATGATTCTTCAAATTTCTCAGTAATGCAGAAATCCTTATTTCGACGTCGAGGATTTCGTTCTATTAAAAAATCGAAAATTTGCTAACTATTGCTTTCTTTCGATATTAGGGATGTACTTTGTGCTTTAGATTGCCTGGAACCTTGAATTCTTACAAAAATCGTTTTGTTTTGCTTGTAATCGCCACTGAAACCGACATCTTTCCCTACCTTTAAGTACTTGAATGATTTTTAAGGCACGCATAGTTCATTTAAGTGAAACTTAATTGATGAAAAATAGTTCAAATGTCGAATTTTATATCTCATCCGTTTCATTAGGGTCTCAGCCGCTCATTACTTTTATCAATCTTCCTAACAGGCATTAAGGCTGAAATGCCTAACAAACCAGTGTCACTTTATTTTCTTGAAACATCTTTTCCTAAAAACTTTTCAGTTCACCGACGATGGGCAGAGCGAAGTTGTTTGCTCTTCTCAACCTCCTGAGGCGGCTTCTGCCCCCGATACAGCAAGCCACCACGGACGGCACCATAGTGCAGGCGTTTGTGCCCCTCGTTTTTAGGTGCACTTTCATTTGAAAAATCGTCCACATCGGTTTGGGCAGTTCTCAGTGTGCTTTTTTTGAATATTGGCATTGGTGCATAAGTACTAACGTAGCTATTTGTCGCGCATGTTAACAGGTGCGCTGGAGCCGCGGACATCAGGATTCGCCTGATTGCCGCCAGGGCGTTTGTCGCTGTGCTGCAACCCGCGTGTCTGCCACGTGTGGCACGTCGGATTCTCCTCATCGTTTCGCCCTACTTTACCACCCGTCAACCTCCTCACCTTCAAACCAACTTTGTTCATGGAATGCTCCTTCACGTTAGTTTTTCCCACCTTCTCTTGCTACGATTTGCTATGCGTATTTCGATAATTGTTCATTCAAAGCATTAACACGGATTTGGTGTGTTACAGGCTTCTTAAGCTGTATAAATGGTCCCATACTTTTTTAAAATTTTATTTCAGGGCATTTCAAGGGGATGTCGTAGTTCTTTACGAGTATCTTATATTTTCAACTAACCGTATCATGAGTACGACAACTAGTAATATCTATTGCCTCGAATTGATCCGAAAACAAACCATCTCTCCTGTCTCATTCAGTAGCATCAGATCGAATTCGTTAGAATCTAAAATCTCCCTCAAACTTATATTTATAGGATCTTGTTAGCCCTATATATAACCGTACGCGACTTTTTGAAACCTCCTTCAAGCTCCCGCACATGCATTAGTTCATGCTCGATGCGATAAAAAATTTTCTTATTCCTATTGCAAGTTGAGGCGTGTTTCTTTTTCAGCTTTTGGAAATTCTCAAATGCGAATATTTTCCAGTGTGTGATATGGACGCGATGCAAAACAGTCCCCATTATGCATATTTAAGCGAAATATCTGCTTTACTTTCCAATATGGTCGCGGTGTGCATAGACTCGACGTCCAATCTCTGTCCTATCATAATTCAAACATGTTTGGCATGTGGTTTGACCTTTGGTCTGTCAAATATGTTCCCAGTCATCAAATTGAAACGATGCCACCCTTCTTCGTCACCATGCGCTCTTGATTCATCCACAATGGAGCTCTTGATTCAACTTTGTAATACATTTAAGAAAGAAGATCCGTCTCTTCAGAGTGTTATTAAAGATGTGATTGACGTTGCTAGTCCGGAGGTAAGACTTTTCAATTTCACCTATGGATCTGTTTTTAGTTGAAACGTGTGGCCTTAGGCCTGCTCGTAAGGCGCCTCAACAGCAATGATGTCGATTTTTCACGAGGTAGGCGTCTACTGTGGTACGAGGATGCCATCAACCTTCTTTCGGAAATTTCTTCTTCACCTTTTTACACCCACCCAAGTGGTGGGCATTTGGATTTATCGACTTGCAGTTCACAACTTGGTGATGAGCTTATTGCCTTTGTCAATCTTTCACACCAGCCCTACTCTCTGATCAGTTTCCATACATCGCAATTGCTTGCATACCTGGCAATTGCCTCAACTTCTGATCAGCTGAAAACCCACAGTAAACTATTGGCGCAATGCAATCAGCTTCTCACTTCGATTGGGGGGATCCCCGCTCATTTGGGACCGCTGTTAACTGTCTACGCGTTGGTCTCACAGAATAAAGACGAAGTACTAGACTTTCTCGCAAGGTACATAGATCCGAAACAGAACTGTCCTTACTGGAGCACTCGTGCTGAAGCTCTTCTAGCTGTCGATCGCTTTCTCTCTCAAAATACTGATAATAGAACCCGTAAGATTTTTTCATACGACACAACATTTCGTGTTATTATAGTCTTCAAATGATTCACTTTTCCATTATGTCCAGGCGTCCGTCGCCATCTTCATATCAATCTGGCTGTTTTGCGAAATCTTGTTTTGGAAACTGATGACGAAGTTCTAATGATAGCTTCCGCAACGGCCTTTAAAGTGCTACCAAAAACTGACAAGTTTCCTCAAAAACCTCTACCACCGGTTATTCTACCTGCTTTCTTATTCAATTTCATTTCCATATTTAAAAATTGTGCTGTAAGTACCCTTCTTGACTGGTTCCACGAAGACCTCCTCAAAGAAAAGACAGCACACTGTGGTAGTTTGGAGGTAATTTTATTGTCTTATTGCTTTCTCTCCGTGTGGGCGCGGTAATTATGGGTTCTTGTTTGGAAATCTAGGCTCCCGCGCGTGTGTTTGTAACAGAGGGATCTACTGTCTCAACGAGTATCATGGTGTTCACCACTCTTCTCTGCTCAGCTATCAAGAAGTGGGCTTTGACTTCTCCACAGGAGGACAAAATCACCTTTACGCTGGATCAGATACATCGGCGTGGTTTGGCACAGTTATCGTCTGTACTCCCCTCTGAAGAAGAGTTCTCTCATTTGAGTGGAAATAATAGTCTTCTACGAATGGTAACACATTTGTTTGCTCGTCTACTAAGGGATCTTGAGGAAGAATCGAGTTTATAAATTCCAATTACAAGTCAAAATTTTTCGTACCTTTTTTCGACTGCTTACCTGTTAATGGAAAACTATTCATTTGTAAATAAATACTTTTTTATTGAACTATTTTTGTTAAACTAAACGGGTATTTTTTTATTATGAAATTATTAGCACCATATCATCAGGTGCTCAAGCTTTAGATTACCAGAGTTTGCTGTGGTATTGCGTGGTATTTCATTCTGAGTGATTATGTAATTCAAGTATTCGAAATATTTCGGGAGACTGGAGGTCAGAATAACTTAGGTGTGAAAACTGTTATTCTCAGTTATGTGTAAATTGTGATGGATTTCCTAAGTGTGTTTGTGAAAAGCAGAAATGTTTGCCATTGTTTTGGATTTTTAATTCTGGCTCTTCTCCGGTTTATAACTTTGTAGTCAAAATTGTACTGATTTCCGCAGAGTCAAATACTCGGTTCTCAAATCGTCGTGCAATGCCTTGAAGTTTATTCAATTTCCTGCGATCGGAACTGCAGTGTTTAAACTGCACACTGTAATTTGGATGGTAGTGTTAAAAGTACGGTGGGTGATGTCATTATTAAACCTCAACCTTCAAAATGAACTAAAAGGTAGCTGGTACCAAGCAGACTGGTACTGCATGAACTGGAGTCACACGACAAAAGGCATTCCAAATTTTAGCTTTTGATATTTGCCGCCACTGCAATACCTATTCAAGAACGTCAAAAGTTTAGTGATAAATGTTCTCTACATTAATTCCAAAAAATTTACCATGCATTGTACGTCACAATGTCTGATTCATTTTTCTCCATTTCCTAATCGGATTATTGCCACAACCGATTAAAGCCTTCAAAAATGCAAGTCCAACCGTCGTTTTGCTAAAAGTAAGATCTCTATTAGCCCACTGACCACGCGAATGAAAAATTAGCAATGGATTTGCAAGTTCTGAAGGGGAAGTAGGAAAAATTGCATCAGAAAATCGCCTATCCTGTGCCCGCTGAGAATAGATGGAATTATATCATTGGAATATGTCCATCGAATAGCCACGCAGAATAAAGTGGTAATACCAAGGAATGTACATCGAATGGGGATTTAGAACGGTCAGTGTGACGCATAATATGGTGAACACACCTGCTCCAACTGTAGTTTATAAATCAGATGCAGATGCTTGTACTGTGTAAGGTAGAAGGCTGCTACATGAAATGTGGCTGTACTTTTAAGTAATTTATTGGCTATACGGACTTTAATTATTTCGCAAAACGTAATTAGTCATTTATTCATCTTTTACAACATCTATTATCTTTTGCCTAATTAGCTTCCAGGGCCTGGGGTGGTACTAAGATTAGACGCTAAATGCGTGGCAGTAGTGTAATCAAAAATTAAAATCACTCTTAAACTAGTCCATACCATATTCAACTCCTTACGGTAAGTGTTTTACCCACGAAGGCTATTGAGCACCCTCGAAGTTAATTTCTGGCTGAGGGAGCGCCATCCTAAGAGTTGGGGACCACAAAAACGAATTTATTTTCCTATGATCAAACCAAACGTTGGTGATTGAAAAATCCACACGTCGCCTCTGTAAGGCGCTGAGTGAAAGTATGAGAATGCAGCGGCCAGTGTGAGTACTTAATAATAATAAGCGGCAAGCAGTCGTCATCTAATTTTACTGACGCTGGTGTCTTTGGTGAGAGAGATTTGAAAATCACTGAGTAAAAGAAGAGGAAGAAGTGAGGGACGGGAGTGTTCGAAAGTGGAAGCAACTGAGGAGGAAGCAGAGGGGGAGGAGGCGAAGTAAGCAGGCTGAAAAGTAGATGGTCTCTACTTTCGCAACTGCTGTTCGTGCCTTCGAGGGAGTTCTTCACATTAACTGGACACTGCGGCTCTGTTCAAGAGACAGAAATTAACTATTCGCGGCACTTCCTGGTTTTCTGTTGGAGTTATCCACTATGCGTGCATATAGGGTATTGCTTTTGGTTGAAACACAACGCATGGGTATATCAAACGCATTCCGGCTCGCCTGAGGTTCTGAAATTGTACCCTCTACAAAGAAGGAACCGCGCTGTAATTGATTTTGCAATTCATTAGGTTAAAAACCGTCAACTAACTTTAAAATGTTCTGGTAACGTATTTTCGCAAGGATTACTAACTGAGTTGACCTACCCTGTATAATGCAATCAAAAGAGAAGAATTTTTGTTTTGTTTGGATAAAGGATAATCTAGGCGAAATTGTTTATTTGACTATACTTATCATGAAGTTTTTGCTTACCTCACCGTGGTTAAATAAGGCACTTTTAAACATCCCAAAAATATGTGTAAATGATTAATATTTCATTGCCCAAAAAGTTACATATTAAATTCAACATGCGACAACAGGTTAAAGCCTTTCTTAAAAAGTTGCGAAATGATTGCATGATATTAAAGTTTGTCGGATAAATGATGATTTTCAACTGTTTTGGTCAATTTCATATCGGCTAAACAGTAAAGCATAATTAAGGCTTATCAACACCAATTGCAGGACAATGATAAATTTGTGGGGTATAGCAACTTCAGCAAATAAACCTATTATTTTCAATATCTTCAAAGTTGTAACCACAAATGCATGTTTGAATCTTATTTTATCAGAAGCTTATAGTTTTAAACAACAAGGCAAAAAATATTCATCTTTAGAGGAGCAAATAGCCCCATTCATATCAATCTGCGTGATATGAAGCATCGCACCACAGATCATAAACTCTAAAAATGGGTTTGATTAACAAATTTGCGCAGAAGTAGATAAGGTATGTCAAGTTTTTAACGCATTTATATTGCAAAAAAATTTAAAGGCCTACCACCTCCATTCAAGCAGAGACCTTCTTCGAACACAGGTGAGTTTCGACCGTTGGCAGCGAGAAATGTCTGTTGGTGGGGGGACTGTGTGGTGCCGTAGAGGATGAGCGCTTTAGGTCGGGATGGTTTGGTCCACTGCGTGAGGGCAAGGGAGGCAGCAGCGGATGTGGTAGAGGAGCGTGCGACGCCGAAGCGTAAGGCCTCGCAGCGAGTAGAGTTATGTACTCGAGCTGTCACCGCTGAGCCCCCAGATAGTACAGAGAGCGACGGCTGCGGTTGCGATGGCAGTTGAGGTGGTGTCAGTGACACATCGCGGAGGTGTAGGCCGAGAGAGGAGAGCGCCACCCCTGGAGGTAGGGTGTCAAGATGGGCCTCCGCTCTACCCTGCACATTCACGAGACACTCACGCTTCACCCTCGGGTGCACGCAGCCTCTGCCCAGAAGTGGGAGGTTACGCGACATCACAAGCTCGTTCAGACTGATGGGAATGGTGCGACGCCCCGGTTTGCTCGGGACGCAAGAGCGCGAGTTGTTCGATTGCCGCTAAATGGCATTATAAACGATTCTATGTAACGAAACTATGCAAAATAAGGAGATTTCTCTCCACTAGTTGTACAAGACACCTGGAAGTCATCATTGCTATTCCAATCTCGTGAAGGAAAATTTATATATCCTACAATAATTTTTTATTTAGGGTATAAGTCTGAATCGAATTGAATTTCGTCGAATTTATCAAAATTTACAGTCGACATCTTGCCTTAATTTTTCAATACCTCAGTATTTTGGATCAAAATGAATCGGCTAATTGAAGCATTCGGTAGCAAAAACAATTTTAAATAAAAGTTAATGACAACAATTAATAAATGAATCATTTTAACTGCAGAAACTAAGCCTTCAAGCGAAATTTTTGCTCTTGGCAGCCTGCTGACATTGGGACTATAACTATTTGTGGAATTTTTTAAATGCACCCAAAATACAATTTAAACCCCATTTGTTGGCCTTACTTTTGCGTAAAAAACTTTACTTCATCACATCTTACAGTTTGCTTCGGTCACTTGTCACCGATACGGCAAATATCTACACAAACGATCCACCAAGGCGCACAAAATGCACCATTGACTCTTGGCACTTTAATTCTTAAAAATTAATTCAATTAGGGCTTGTTTTTAAGGAGGTTGGTGCACTAGTATTATACTATTTTTGAATATTTAGAGTACAACAGGACTATGGTCTGACAAATACGATTTTGGGATTGCATTCGAGACAAATTTATTAAAGAGAGTGCGGAATCCCAACTCGCTTAGACTGTAAGCTATGATCAGACCGCCACTTTCCTCTAGAATAACATATTAAAACACAGACATGGGCAAATGTATATTTTTAAATCGATGGAGAGTAGAGACAGGTCATCGCATGGCTGAGATTGACTTTTAAGAAATGAGATTAAACTCACTGGTCTCAGGTGCAGTCCAAGCTTCCGAGGTTCCCGTGAGGACTGCACATCTATTCATAAATTTGTAGATAATGAAAAAGGTGTTGAGAATGATGATCTGCATGCAAGTGTTTATGTTACTATATAAAAGGAACTGACATTAAATGCAATCATTTCAGTTGATGCACTAGTCCTTACCTTGATTCTCAACTAGCCAAGGTGATGCGCACGACGACTGAAATTAGTTTTATTTAGGAGTCCTCCTTAGCAAAGCTATAAAACTATTTTTAAATCCACCTTTATACGAAAAAAGAACAGTCGGAATTCCTAATAAAGAAAACATTATCATGTAAGTGACCAGTCATATTCTAAAGTCATTGTGATATGTTGGAAATTTTATTACTGAATGCAGAAGTAATCTTACTACTCGTTGAGGTGTTTGGAAATTGAGGAAGTACAATCTCGATGGGTCTAGCCAATGCCTGTTGGCGCGTCCTTTCACGATCTGCGATAATCATCTTTTTAGGCAGTCCACTGGAGGGCTCGACACCGGGACTTCCGGAGAGCAGTCTATAGACGGCGTCTACCACTCCAAGGCTGCGAAGCAACACAGCGCGCTTCTCCATGGCTAAACAACGCTCGTGCTCCTCCGCCTCGTCGATGCGCGTGGCCTCGAGGGAGTTGAGCGGCGGTGGCGGCATTGGTTGCAGATGCTGCGGCGAAACCACGCTCCTCGACTCGCCACGTGGGGACGGTCCCACAAAGTCCCCCTGCGTCCGCCCCATACCTCCTGACGTTCCCCCGCGGCTTTTTGAGGGGCGTCGACGCACACTCCCCACTGCCGGTGTTCGCCCCGGACTCTCAGGGCGCAAACGGTTTTGCCGGGGCCGAAAAATCGATTCCAATCTGTCCCTCCGCTCGCGAATCTCCTCGCGCAATTGTCTGAAAGTGCATGCACACGGCCTGGGCTAATATTTTGCCCTACTGCAATTACTACTGCCCTCGACAGCTTAATAACAATCGATTACAACAATAATAATACTAAAGCCGTTTTCTTATTATTTGAGCATCGTGGAAATTTTGAAATAGAAATCTTCCGGCCGGTAGAGCACTGGCAAAAGAGACTAGCTTAATTTTTCATTAAAAAAAATTTTGGCAAAAATGGGTAGAATTTTGGCGGCCTTTACCTGGAGTGCTGCATGCGTGCCTTGAAGGTGGCAGTCTCGGTGAAGAGAGTGGTGGTACTGCTGATGTACTTTTCATAATGTTCATTATTTCTGCAGGGATAGATTCGACGAAAGTTCCCCAAGTGCTCGTTCTCGTACTCTAGAGCCTTTGCAGCCCACCTCTCCATCTCCGCATTCATATCTTCTCTGGAGCAAAATTCAAGAAATAAGAGAACCTCATCACTTTGCCTTCTTTTTTAAGAGCAACCGTTTGCAAAATAATTACTCAACTTATCGTGATAGAATGCATTGGGCATAATACATTTAACCAAATGTCACTTTTTCATGCATAAATTTTGGTACTCATAAGTTAAATCAACCCGGTAAAGAATGCAGCAACCTCAATTTCTATTACTTATCATCCGTTGATTAATTCAATTTACTGCTCCAGGAAATTTTTGCCTGCAATTTTTCGGTTCCACGAACTTATCAGAGTGACCGTGAGCCACTATAGGATCATCACTTGAATGTTAAAACCAAATTATTTTTGGTATGCGATTTTTGTGGAAAAGAAAGTGTCAAACGCAGAACTTACTCTTTAGAACGGAAATTAGACATGATTACAGGCGCTCATCTCTGAATTCTGCATAAAAGTAATGATTATCTGCTAGACTTTTCCTATACCAAGTTGGATTTAGAAGTCCGATTCATTTCCATTAACTAAACCTGCAGTCATACAATGCAGAAACAGGAAAGCTAACCGGGAGGCTTTTCCGAAGTTTCGTCTCAAAAGACGCTGTCTAATGCGGCGTTTGTCCTCCTCGATGCATTTCTTCCTGTCCACTGCGTCGAAATTAGCCAGCTTCAGGGTGTCCCAGATGAGAGCCTCCTTAATCTCTTTGTCCAACTGACTGTCCGTATGGAAGCTAGGTGAATGATTCACCTGCATGGATTGATGCATCCAATATTTCAGGTACAATTAACCATTATAATAACTAGGATTTGAGCCCACTTTTTCAAAAGGACCTATCAAGTATTTTTTTCATAAGATTAATAAAATCTTGCTCAGTTGATATTTGTACACTGTTTTATGGATGAGGTCTGATTTTGACTTGACATTTAATTCTAAGTAAAATATTTCATGTTGGTAACCGATGGAGGGGGCTCAGTAATTAAAGCGCCACCATAAATTCGGATCTCATACAGTAGGTCATTTCCACGAGCAGTTTATCTATTTCAATCGACTTGTATTCTAATCTAAAATAAAAATCTAACAATACTGTTAATGAAGTTGGTATTAATTGAATATAACAATAGCATTTATTTAGTTATTTATAAGATAATGAGTGGCTCTAACTACCTAAACAAGTAAAAGCTTGTTGGTCATAACAATTGAACTGCCTACTTGACTGCTTTTAATGCGCATACTAGATCATGTTTAGAACTCGATCAATCGTGAAAACTCTAATTGCATCAATCCCAAAGAAGAGGCCCTTTATTCCAGCATATATGAAACAGCATGAAATTTCCCTTACTAGTCAGCCCTTCACAAACAACATGTCGTACTTAATCCAAAACTAGGCACTTGCAACTGACCTTTGCAATTTAGCACCAAAATAAATGCTTTCGGAACTTCCCTCCTTTGGTAGTAAGTTGTCATTTGACTTCAGATAATTTGCAATTATATTTCTTAGTTAACCAATTTAAGAATGCTGTAAAATATCCAATTCTTTATAAAAAGATATTACTATTTTGATCTGATTGTTTTTAGGTGACACTTGTTAAACAGGATTTTTCTCCGCGCCGTAGTCAATTTCACAACTCTTGGAGTTACCAATCGAAGGCATGAACATGTTGCATGCAAAGAGGTACATACCTCAATGACGTAAGGTCGCATTTTTCGATCAAGCATGATGTCAAAACCGAGGATTTCAAAGCATGCGGATGTCTCAATATGGTTGGGAAAGCAGGTCCTGTAGTTGTGCCTTAGCACGGGTAAGCCTGACATCAGCACCTTGAGGATCACATCGTCAATGTCATGCCAGATCTATAATCGCGATTCACGCTAACTTGGATTAATCTTTATACAAATCATCTTTGCACGCTGTTGCTGTCAGTAATGGTCTAACATTATGGAACCTGAGCACAGCGATATCACCTGAATCGTTCACTAGATAAGACTGCCTTGGACTACTATGTGGTTGAATCAGTTGTAGTTTTTATACCTCACAGGTAAAATTATTGACAATGTCAAACATTTTACAGCATCCATCTACTCTCTTCTGAGGTACGTTTACGGAGATAAGTTGTAATAAGTTTAATTTGTTGACTTTCAAAAACCGAGTGCAATGCTTGGATTTGCCATTTTGCGGGCTTTCTAATCGAAGGTCCATATGTGCACTCAACTAAAAGAAAGTAAATTAGTATCTTAATTAAGATCATAGCTAGAGCTCTGTTGGCATAACTCAGCTGCAGTCTTTCTACTCACATCTACGATGTATTAGTTTAACTTTCATCGAGGACAGGCATACTGTCATCAGCCAACCTTACCGAGCATGACAAGATCATTTCCATGGTTCAGCATGAGAATAGGCACACCGAAAATTAATAATTTATGTGATACTTCCCCAAAGTTCTCAGAAATTACCTTGCTGTCAAACAGTATGCATCTCCATTCTCTAGCGATTACCTTGGCTGGCTACGAATGCTAACTGGGATGTATCCCTCTATTTATCGACCAAATTGGAACTTTCTTCTGTCATACGTTGGAAGCGAACCTAATGCCCTTTGGCTGGAATGCGAGAGAGTTGGTGTTAAGAAATCGTCCTTTGAGATAACACTACCAAATAGAAGCAATCAAAAGTCGCTGCAGATAATCGTTCAGTTAACAAAAATGCAGCTTGTTTGTTGTATTTTTGGTCGTATCACCGAAGCTTTAATTCGTAATAGTTCAAAATTTGGTTACGTATTTAGTGTGGACGTACAACCGTGTCAACGCGTAAAGAGTGAGTGTGGGACACAGTAAGCTTTGGGAGAGGGAAAAGTCTCTCGCGAATTACTGCAAGCTACCTGCGGTTATTGTGGAAGTGAAAAAGCGAAGATTCTGGGGAGGAGACACTCACCTTATCCACGTCGTAGCCGTGCTCAATGAGCCAGCAGTTGACGGTGGTGATGCGCCGCTTGGTACCGGCCTCTTCATCCTCACGAACAAAGTTATTTGAGTGTTTTTGGATGGCGTAGTTAGTGAGGTGCATGAAGACATTTCCCACGTTTGCCGCTGTGGGCTCCCGATAAGGCTGCGTAGTGAAGCGCGCCAAGCCGTCCTTGAACATGAACACTCTCAGCGGCACTATCGACGTAACCAGGACGTAGAGCCGTAGATCAAACTTGAAACCGTCTATTAAAAAGGGCTGGGGGAGTAAAACGCTTTATCATCAAGTGTAATTAGCAATTGGAAGTTTCGGGAAATGTTGTTTTACTTATAGAGATCGCGCTACATCTCGATATTTTATGAGGAACTTGGAAGCACATAATTATGCTGAACAAATTTTTGTCCTAAAAATTAGCATATCAAGATTAATAGGATAAAAAAAATGTGACATGCTTTGTTCAAATTTAAGTGATAATGTAGTTTTGAAATCACACACAATTCCATTTGCCATTTGATTAGACTGTAAAATCTAGTTTAGCTCATCTTGAAGTAGTTGTGATTCGACTACCCACCAGGTTTGGGGACGACTTGTGCCATTTTCAACTTTAGTATGATATACGTAAGAGATTACAGGTGATATCAATATAAAGTGTGGTACCACTCTGTCAGAATAGCCCAACTAATAAAGGTTAATAAAGAAAAATAGTTTGCGTAAGGTGAGATTCACTCAATCTCAAATACACTGCGTTCATATTTAAGACGATTTGATGTAAAAATCAGCCTTTGGTTGAATGCAGTTAACGGTCTCACGTGTCCAATGAAGACATTTCAAAAGTGGTGTGCTCCCTTATTCTTACTCGACTGATGTACGTCTGGCAAATGAGATTTTCTGTCGCCTTGATCTCACGCGGGGTCTTTGTGATCCAAATTCCTTTGCCCTGGCAGCCTGTATCCGGCTTCAAAATGTACGTGCGGTTTTTCTTCTGTCGCGCGTATTGTTGCAGATCACCCCAACTAAAAATAACCAAGCTTATACCTACACACCACATTCCAACTTTTCAATTAATGTTTTAGGGAAAAATTCCCTAGTTATATCTTAAATCTTCTTTCCATGGGATATTGTGATAACAAGTTATGGCTTGTGCTGAAAGTGGCAATGGGAAATCTTGTTAGCTGAAATAACTTATTAAACAGCGCACCTTTATGGCTTTCAATGGGAAATTCAAGGGCTTTCCTGCAAAAGCAATAAATGTTTCAAAGCCGTTTGCTTTATTATACATATAAATGGAAACAGCCAGAGAAGATTCTGTTTGGGTTTCATCTAATGGGACAAAACTGGGAACAGTACTAATGCTGTTAGAGGTAGTGGCAAAGAAACTCCAACTAAAATATTCCTTAAGCATGACATGTAGATTTGTCCTCAAGGTATCCTGGCGCTAAAATTGGGATTTTAAACTTTGCGCCACCCAGCAACCGCTGGATGTCATAACCACGATCCAATGTGAGTGTTGTACTCACGCCCCTACAAGAACCACTCAATAGAAGCACACACAATCCAAATTTATTATAAAATGCTAGACTCATATGTACTGACGAGAAAAATGGTTATGCAAAGATGAAATTCAATTTTCAAATACCGTTGGTCATGAATCATGTTAAAACCTAAAATTCAAGAAGCTGCGAAGATTATTTGAAGCAAATAAATTGCGCTGGTCAGCATTTCAACGACTTAAGTTAATTAAAACACTACTCATTATTACAGATGCCTGAGTTCAAAAGTACACATGCAGAGTTACTAGGAAGGAGGATGAAAAATAATGGCCTAGACCCACTCGGCAGGCAGAATCCACGTTTTGGGAAAAATACTGTACTCCTTGGGGAACAGTTTCAGCATGCGATTAAGATTACGAGCAAGAGCGTCCTTTCTACAGATTTCCGACATTCCTGGGAAGTGGTTGATTTTCTAAAATTGATAAAGCACATCACAACAGTGCCTATAAACCAATATACTAGCCTAAATTTAGGTTAATAGTTATAGATTAAAATTTTATATATTAGCCATCAACAAGAAAATTAGAGGTCATATTCACACTGCTTTCACATCTTTTTTGAATTAAATAGTTGCATTGAAGATTATTTCAACTAAAAGTACCTTAAAACTTGCGGAATTCTATTTATCGTAGGTATTTGTGGTGCACAAAGACCCAGATGTAACAATCAAACCCCTTCAGATTTATCACATTTCTCTGTTTTTGGAAAAAGATATAATTTTTTAGTGATAATATATATTAGAGGAAAATTCAATCGGACTGACTAAAAGAGACGATGGTGCATGAATGGAAGACACCAATTTACCTACATTACCTTAAGCTAGACTGCTCGAAACGATACGTAGGTGGATTTATTAAAGTGACACACAAACGGTCGGTAAAAAATAATTTCATTGTCATTGTAAAAAAATACTCTATTTTTCGTCCCACAGAAGCGCTTCTAATACTACTGCAGACATCTAACTATATACAGCTAAAGCAGATATGGTTGTGTTAGTCATTAGTTGATGTCATCCATCATTGTAGAATAAGTACATTTGAAACTAATCATGTCTGCAGCTTATATGTATGCGTATGCTTCTTACACGATATCCAACTTTAAGTCCAGTTTGTTTGTTTGCACTTCAGAAGCATATAAATTTGATCGCAAACGAAAGATACCTGCCATTTCTTCATAGAGACCACCCGCTCAATGGTAACTGAGAGATCTGTCCAATAAAGGTTCCAATCTTCATCGTCTCCTACCTCTCTGAAGCCAAACCTTTGTGAAACGCGTCTGACTGATACGCGGATATGGGCAATGATAAATGATTGGGTGAATTTTGTAAGATTTATACTTAGTTTTAAAATTAGAGTAATTAATGCTATATTGCATTACCGATTTTGTTAATTAAGAAGTGGTAATGCGTAAAAGCGTATATTTCGGTGTAATTTATAAAGATCCCCGCAATTAAGAGTGACTAATTAAGAATACCCACCTGAGTCATATCGACAGTTTATTAAGTTGATTTCGAGCCTAAAATCGACCTGGTTAACGTATCTTTTGAAAACAATGATTACCTTTTTCTTCGTTTAGACTTCTTTTGTGGCATTCGAATTGAAAGAATAGGCTCTCCATAAGTGTCATTGGACAAAATTTGATTTTTTATACAAAACAGGTTCTCCTGACCGAGGGAGGAATCCACCTTCAATTCTTTTTCTGAATCTCTATCATACTCTTCATAATTATCTACTTCTCCATCCATATCATCTATCAGGCGACGCGGCAGTGTCAAAGTGCCCAATTTGTCAATAAGAGTAAATTTTGGTCCATAATTGGTGTTGTAATCATAATTAGGATGTGATGCTGTGCTGTTACCCTCCTCCGTTTCTTCAAGTGTCTCCAAAACTTCATCATCTTCTTCGTGGCTTGCAACTGGCTCACCTCCAACAAAACTGACTCCGCTTTCTAGTAAAATATTTTGTCTGGATAGTACGGTCGCGCAATAGACACCAGGGGCATCATTCTGCTAGAATTTTAGATGAATGCCATATTTTGCAGATAAAATCTTCAACTCACAAGTCAAAAGTTGGCTGTGTAAAAATCAGTCATTATCAAAAGATGACGTTTAGAAAAATTTTACAATTTGTTGTTAGTGAGAAAAAATTACAATTCATGAATAGATGGCACAACTACGCCAATGTTTGAACATTAATTGTAGTGGCCCGTAACGACTGTCACTTAATGTCCACATTTAAAAAAAACTTGGCATTTAAATTTTTTGGCCCAAAATATAATTTATTTGTTAAATTATGTGCATTACAAGTTGAAACATAGGGTTGCTTGATAATTCATGCTGACACCAAATTAGAGTAAGAAATTTAAGATGTTGTAACGCTCTTTTGTACTGGAATAATTTTGTATCATTACAGCAATAGGCAGAATGTGTCCAATAAGGGCATAACTTACCATAATTAATAATACCAGTTATCACGCATTTCGCGTGAAAATAAAAGGGGCGGTTAACTTGGCTGCCTAGTGCTGTAAGTTACTTGATTATTCAAACATTTGAAGTCGTGCTAAAAATTGTCGTTATGCCAGAACCAAACATTAGTTGGTTTGGATATCTTGTCAATCTACATTTTAGACAAGCCGATACGACGCTAGTCAAAATATAATGAATTCCAATGAACCAAATGCCCAAATGCATTTTACTACTTGCGAATGCGAAAATGTAGAACTTAAAAGTATCTTAGCCCTTGCCTTATTTTTATGTGTATTTCTACTACTATCGAATAAACTATCGCACTACAAAGCTTAATTTAATAGTGCAATACGTTGGGGGGCTGCCTTGTGTCAGGGCCATTGTGTCTTCGTCCGGTGGGCTAGCCTCTGGACCATGCCAGCAGTCTCAGACCTTATTGTATGTGAAATATGTACACATATATTTTGACCGATTATTACATCCTCTTTCGTTTTTAGTGCTATGATGTAAGACTGTTTTACCATTATTGTGCCACCCAGATTACTCTTGAAGTCACTATAAAGGAAAAATTCATAAGTATATCCACTGTGCAAGGGTAGGAGGGTGAATTTCTGGGTGAGCAAGCGTAATACGATGGTAGTTTATCCTTCGGTATTGTGAGGCGCCGCCTTTGAACTTATGAATTCGCCTTCTTGTACCTCGCTGGATAGGCTGGCCTTCGGGCCATGTCAGTAGCCCATACGCCTTCTCTGGGCTAAATATGCATTCTGTCCGAGTATTCTGTTTTCTTTCGTCTTTAGGGAGGTCTCGGGATGCTACATTGGTGGCAGCGGAAAGCGAACCCCGATCCTAAAGGACATGTATCCTTTTTTTTCCACTTCTGCGTGATAAGCCTTAGTGGAGCGGAAGAAGTACATATCCTGCGGATGGGAGAATGGTGACGACCCCCAATAGAAGGGTTAGAGTTGCCGTCTACCTTTGGCATCCATCCCAGTCCCGTGTTTTGCAGGAAAGTTCTTAACAACACTAGCCGTGAACCATCTGGAAGTTTCGTTACAGACTTCCCCTACCGTACCTGCAATAAGCTGTTGATAAAGTGAATTCGCGATACCTCCTCCATTTCCTTACTAGCTGAAATGAGCATGAACAGCTCCAAAGTGGGAACAACGTGGCAAGGAGGAACAGACGCGAAACCGTCCCCCATGAACCTATATTAAATCCCGTCCTTCCTTACACAAATCTACTTTTAGGCCAGTGTTCCTACATCCATCTATGGACACGTATAATGGCCAGCACATTTCCCCATTTCTGAATCAAGTTTACAAACCGGACGAAACTCCAGATCCAGTTAAGCTGCCAAGAGGGATCAGCGACGTTGAGGTCAAATATCTCCTCAGTTGCACGCTAATTTGTTGACTGGCACGGTCAGATCGCGGGTGTTTTTTTACAGCACCGACTACGTTGTGATGGCTGACGCGAGAGGTTGACCTGCTGGAGCGCCGGGGACGACGCTCAAAAGAGGAGGGAGGCTATGTAGTGCGATGGTTGTTTATCCCTTTGTTTTGGTGAGGAGCCACTTTTGACTTGGCTTTTGTACCACGCTGGGTGGGCTGGCCTTCGGGCCATGCCAATAGCCCAGACACCTTCTCTGTGCTGAATGTATATTATGTCTGAGTATTGTCTTTCGTCTTCAGGGAAGTCTCGGAACGCTACACAAAAGTCACGATCGGACGCCTGCTTCGGCGCGTAGCGGCAGTTTCTCAAGAAACTTGATGGTCCGCATTGTACTTTAGTCATGTATTACTTCTCTGTGTCACGAGAAAATCCTGATTTCTAAGTTACTTTGTTCCATTAAGGCGATTCCCAAATGAATTTTTAGCTCAACTACTACCTGGTTATAATTTTTCCTGTTAAGTCTGCAATTCAGCACAATATCTGCATTAGAGAGGTAATTATCGGGATATGTCAGAGTAACAAGTATTAATAAATCACCTCTCAAGTCCTCATAAATACCTAAGATATTAAACCTCGTCAAAGTTTTTTGCATGGATTACATACATCGCTTACCTCCTAAACAATTTAGTTTTTTTCTGTTGACGAAAAATGCCAAACATCATGGTGGAGAACAAGCACAATTTTATAAAGCGTATTTTGATCCATTGGTAATGGGCGTGAGACAGAAGAATAATAATAAAAATAGGCGAACAATTCGAGGAATATATCTTAGATTCCTAACAGAGCCCGAGCTTTCTCATAGCAGGCGTAGGATATGCTAACAGCCGGGATCACCTTGAGCATATTGGCGCCCATTCCGCGGTACATACCCATTATGCCTTCGGTTTTGATAATCCTTTGGAACAGCTTTTCCAATGAGATCTGCAACAATGGTAAATAACACAAAAGTGCACTTGCACAGGCAAGGCTTCCAACGCACTTAGAATTTGGTGAAGAATGTGGGTTTGGCAACGACCACGTGACCAAAATTCCAATTACGATGGATGGGTTGTGTTATTGTGATGAAATTTTTAAGATAACATATTATTTCCAGTGTAGATTTGCTTTCATCGAATTTCAGTGACGGATTTGTTTATGCAAACAAGAGTTCTACAGTAAGAGAGCATTAACGATTTTTACTTCGTTTATGTAGCCATTCCTTGAGAAGAAGTAGTAGCATACCATCACTTGTCTCTAAATATATATTCCGAAAAAACTGGGTCGTTCACCTTTATTTTAGCACTCGACGTTCTGCTATTACGTCTAAATATAAGGCTTTAATTTTAGGAAACTTATATCAGAATAAAGCTTTACGGAAGTACTGTATAGTGTCTTAAAAATGAATAAGTCTCCCAGTGTGCAATAGTACAGCTATTACCAACAACTGTGTGATTTACATAAATTCACAAAAATATCTCGAAGAATTTGACTCTCAACTAAAAGACGTTCCTTGTGGCAAAGAATCACAGACAATCTTCACGCAGGTGGATGCACGTGCCCTAGCCAGTTGAAAGGAGGGGAGTAGAGAAACGCACCTTTTCGCTCTCTGCCTGCAATTTAGTCTTAATGAGGGCGAGGGGGTAGGTGGCGACCTGGCCGCAGACGGAGGAGCAGGCGCCAGCAGTCAGTGAGACGTAGACCGGCGGTCCAGTCAATTTTTGAGTTCCCGAATTATCCGCGCTTCTGTTGAGTGCCTTCACGTAGAGCGTCTTGAAGGTCTCATAAAGGGCTAAGTCGATGCCAGCGTAAGGCAGGATGCCTATCAGGTTAGGGACATAACCTCGGTAGAATATCCACATCCCGTGCTCTCTATAGAGCTTCCTCGCGCAGTCAAAAATCGACGAATACTGACCTGTTTTGCGAAGGCACATACGCGTTTTCAGCACCTGCGGGGTGATCCGTGGGCAATACATTGTAGAAGAGAAACCAGCACAAATAACTTACGCAAAGACGAGCATAAAAGATGCATTAATCCCAGTATTCAAAGTGGATAACTTAATTATGAGGAGTGCTAAACATTAGGATTTTTATTGTCTGATTTATCGCTTAAAACACAACAGAACCTGCTTAGCAGAATCCGACTGTGTGCCTTAAGCTAATCGAAGCTAGTGTTTAGTGCCCAACACTGCGAACCATTAATAATTTTGTTATAGGCATTAGAACATCAAATTTTTAAATATGTGAATTCGATGCAAAATGATTTTCATGAGGTAGGTCTCGTCTTGATTCGGGAGGAAGCTCGGGTATCAGATTCCATCCGTTCGTCATGGCACAGGGATATATATACGTGTCAGGTTGACACCTTGGAGTTAATTTACATCCAGAACCTGCCTTGTTATGGTAATTTTTATTAGAAATTCTTAGCGAAATTCAGATTACGTCTCAATTTAAATAAAAGGTGCAAGTGATTGGGGGACTGCAGGGTAGAAAGTTTTTTGAAAGGGAACAAATTAATAAGCTGACATTGGCACACTAAAGACTCGAAGGCTTTAGCCACACAGCGCAACACTCACTCCCCACAATTTGGTGAGTAAATCCAGTAAGCTAAGAAAATAGTAATAATTCAGCTTAATAGCCAAAAACGAATATAACTATATTAAAAATTTTATCTAAGATAGTTCGAAATATTGTGATTTCACTTCTGCATGACGTGTAGAAACTAAAATGTTTGATGTTGCATTGACAGAGCAGGAAAGGGTAGTTTTTTCTTCTATCACCTCTCCATACCTCCATAGGATAGATGAGGGTCTGTGAGGTAGCTCCGGCAAGAGCACCTGCGGTGAACTTTTCCGGCATTGACAGCGGCTCGGTGGAACCATCCTTCTTAAAAAATAGCCTCTTGTATGTCTCGTAGGCTTGAAAGCGAAAAGCCTGTTCGGGTGCTATTTTGATGCAGTTGACACCATTGCCACGCCACATGGAAATGATTCCGCCCTCCTTGAGCATGCGCCGGAAGGAGCCCACCAGACCCGTGGAGGCAGCTCGACCGCCTCGGGCCTGGTAGATCGTTTTGATTCGATCCAAAGGCGCCGTAGCCGTCCGAGACACACACCCGGCAATTCCTAGCCAGGCACACAATAAAATTCCCACTCACTGACATAATTTCACCTCTTACCTTGGTTTTTCAAGCACGCCACTGAAGCGTTTAATGTAAATGCCTAGCTTACTGAAAAAGTTTGTACTCAGACTTAGTAAATAGAATGTCTGTTATTTCCTTAGTTTGATGTTCAGAAAAGCAAATAGGCTCAGCAATTTTACCGGTCTGGTGTATGGAGGAATGCCTCGTTCGGCATGATCATTCGGTACTCGCATAAATCATAGCGGCTCCACGCATTACACGCAAATCAAGTTCTCGCAAAACAGGCCAATGAAATGAGTATTCTTGTCTTTTTATTGCGCGACACAAATGACGACTAGGCCGTTTCGTTAGGGGTGATTTTTATGGAGACGGCAACGTAAAGATTAAAGAATCCGATTAAACATACCATTCGGATGAGTCAAAAGCTTCACGTAGTTATTTGTGATAGCCTAGCGGATAGTTTAAGTGCGGTTTTATCCTTCAGTTATTCAAATGGGTCGATTGCAGTTTTAATTGCATGCAATAGTAAAAAGTAATTTGAATGTGGTTGCCATTGGTGATGATTGTTTTCGCAGTAGAGCTTTGGTGAAGAGCAAGAGAACCAACATTCAGCATGTTTCACTTCCGACTAAACCACGCGATTATACTGAGACATTGATTTCCACACTCATAGCACAAGGTTGTATTTTTTGTCGCCCAAGGTTTTGTGTATTATTGTAGGAAATGATGAGATTGAGATGCTACAGCCAGAACATGCATTTTGAGGCATTCACCACCAGATACTGCACTGGTTCGAGCTAACTCGACTGTGTTGCCGACAGTCATTGTTCACATTTTGAACGCAAAAGAATCACCCAAACATTTATGCTCCAAAAAAGAATTTTAAGTCTTGCTGAAATGATTAAAATCGCCATTAGGAGGACATGAGGATTCGTTTTAATGAACCTATTTAAATGACACGAAAATTTGCGAATGCTTTTTCCATTGCAAGTTTGCCGAAGAAAGAATTTTCACAAGAACATAAAATATTTCTCAGGGAATCGTTTTGGTTCACAAGCAGCTTCTCATGACTATAATCCCTTTTCCCGATAGAAGCATTGACTCAAGGTTAGGTTCTTTAACTTGCCAGCCCCTAAAAGCCACACTGTTCCACAAACCCCTTAGCCTGACCCTCGATGTTTAAAAAATAAAGGCAAAAGTATATTCTAAAATGAGCGTATTAGCCCATTTTAAGGAGAAAATGTAAACAGAATAGCTAATGTGCCCACATCCAGTGTTATTGGCAATTTTTTTCCAAAAATGGGCCTCTTTTGAACGAATGT